TATTAGAATTACCCAGTTCTAACAGCTGCTGGTAATTGACTTGCTGGAATAGGTCCATTTCCAATTGGAACTGGTGGGCCATAAATAGTTTGAGTGGCAGGTTGAGCATATTGAGTGTATTAAGCATATTATATGGGCTATTATACTACTGGAACTGTTTAAGTCATATAGGATTGTTAAACAACTGGTTAAGCAACATAAGACTATGTGACTACAGGTTAAGCAACATAGGATTGCTAAACAATTGGTTGAGCAACTGCTTGTACTTAAGGTTAATGAACAACTTATCTTTCTACTGGATAATATTCAACTCTTTCTTAATATCTATCAACTGGTACATATTCTTAAAGGTAAATGGTAATGATACCTGTAACTTTATCATATGAGACTTGGGGAACATATTCTGTTTAGTATTCAATAGCTTGGTATTCAGTCACATATTTTTCTCTTGGAACCTATATTTTTTGTCTTACTTCTTCATATTCAATTACACTCTTCTCATAAGGAATGTATCTAAAGGAAAATCTTTATAAATTATACTCTACTCTGCTTTCTCCCTTAATAATTTGTTATTATTAAACAACAGGTTAAGTTACTACAGGTTATGCTACAACTGATTAAGTAACAACTGGTTATTGATAAACCATAGGTTATTGATATACAATTGGTTATTGAACAACAGATGGAGTAACATATGATTGAGCAACTGGTTAAGTGTAATATTAAGGAATGTAAGCAGGACTTTACAATTAGACAGGTGCTTAATAAGCTCTTGGTGGTGAATATGTAGGGTTCCATTAAGAGTATTATTATGGGGCTGCAGCAGCAGGTTACCATTATTATTATACAGGTGGTCTATTTGACATATATTAAATAAATATAATTTATTTTCATTTAATTTCTAAATCTTCCCTAAAGCTTTGAAATCGTATGTATTTATAAAACTGAAATTTAGGAATATATACTATTTCATTAATTTTAATTTTGCAATGACAATAAAAAAAAGTAAAAATTAAGTTTAGAAAAGATTAAAATTACTAAAATCATGAGTAAAATTTAATATTTTGCTTAGTTATGTTAAAGTTTGAAGTTTTTAGTTAATTTAACCTTAATATCTTTAGTCGACACAAAACTTTCAAATGATGAGAGCAATCCTTCTAATTAGTTATCTTTACTCTATCTTTTGAAAGTCAATATAATAATAACTTTGTTTATTTTATTAAGCAATATTTGATTACATAATTGTTCTTAGAGGAAATATCTACTATGAGAATATTTTTAATCTAAATATGCTTACTTTACCAATTATGTAATCAATTATTCAAATGAATTAAAATATTATTTTTTTTTGGATCAATAAGTAACAGCATCTAAAAACCATCACATAGTTAAACATTCCTAAAATAATTGTTTGAATAATTTAAATTTGTTTAACCATAATTTTTTTATTATTTTGATAGATTTACATATCATAAAGTCTGATATTACTAACTAAATGTTTTTAAATTAATTTCACTACATGATAATTCAAATATTATTATGGCTATTCAAATGATTGTTTGTTTATTTATAATTACTTGGCCTCTGTCTTACTATATTCAATTTTATTTTAGGCAATATCAATAAGATTTAATTGAATTGTGTATCTGTATTTTGAGAGTATATAATAATTAAAATTTAAGTTATATATTAGGATCTAAATAGAAATACATAATTTTAAATAAATTCTAATGGATAAATCCTTTTGTTTAATAATAAAAAAAATAAATTCATTTTATATCAATTTTTACTTTAAATTTATCATAATATAATTATATAAACAAATTTAAAATGAGATAAAAAAATATAACTATTCAAGAAGAACTTCGAGAAGTGCGATTTGCTGATATCAAATAAATTAAAAATAAATTCTTGTAGAAATTTAGAAAACCCTAAAATATAGAAGTTTATAATTAGATTCGAAAAACTCGTATATATTTAAATCAAAATTAAGCATTTTAACTTAGTGAAACATTTCATGAAATTGCACTAAAATGTAGATTATGCAAAAATTATTATATTAAATTTACAATTACTTAATGTGGTCATTCATTTTGTTATTATTGTATTTTTGAGCATTTACTTAAATCTCATGTAAATTATTAATTTATTTAAGAGATGTCCATGTTGTTAAACAACTTTGAAAGGTTTACAATTTATCTATTGTAATACGATAGATTAATTTATCAAAAATAGCAATGTTCTAATAAAAAATTCAACTATAATCAATAAAAAGAAGGAGTTTAAAGAATGGAAATTGAAAAAGAAAATAACTAATTTTAATTTAGGAGATACTTTAGATGTATTAGACACTGAACATATCTGGTGCGTTGGATAAATAATCAATATTAGAAATCAAAAAGAAATGCTTGTTCATTTTTAAGGATGGAATAAAGTTTATAATGAATTCATTTAAATTTCATCGCCACGTTTATCACCTTTAGGATTATTTACTAATAGAAGTGGTATTAATAAATAATTAAGAAGATATTTTACTATATTAGCCAAGTCTAAATGAAAATTCAATGTCTAATTATGTTAGATAAATTGGAACTCAAAATTAAGAGAACGATACATTTAATTTTTTGATAATATAGTAACAAACATAAAATTCAAACTTTATTTTAGCTATTGAATCACCAAATTCAAATACATTATCAAGTCTATTATAATTAGTTATTATCATCAGAGAAATACAAGAAGAATTGCATAATGAAACATGACCTCACTATAAATATTTATTATTAATGTATGAGGTCTTTTGTATTTTAATCATAATATTATTTCATATATAAATTATTTCTATGTAATCATATAGAGAGGCTTTATAACTGTTCTAAAAAAATTCAATGAATCTACCGATGAAAGAACATGAAGATAAATTAAATGTATTAGTAATTCCAACTAGATTATGTTAGAATACATATTACATGAATTAGAAAGAGATAAAAAAGAATTGCAAATTTTGAGATAAGAAATCATTCATGAATCATATTTATAATCCTCTATAAACGATGACACATCAACTAGTTTCATAGAAGAATTAGCAGACTTTACTAGAAGTTTTAGAATATTAGCAGAAGAATCAACCAATGAGACTAATGAAATAAACAATTAAGTGGAAACATTAAAAAATGAAAAAGCTAGAATCAGAAAATCCACTAATCTATTGAATCATAGAGTATGTGAAATGGAAAAATTCTTAGGAGTCGGATTAAATTAAGTTAATTCCTAAGAAGCCAACAATTGAATTAAATTTATACATCATAATTAACATAATAAATTTCTCTCATTTTTACAATTATTTCTGTCAATAATCTGAATTTTATCACATTTATAGATATTTATCTTTAGTTCTGTTTTAAGAAACAAAATTTTAATTAAATGACTAGATTAATTAAAAATAAATGAGAAATTCAGAAAATATCAAAAAATGTCAAACAATCTGGCAATAATAAAATAAATATTCATAATTAGGATTGAATAATAATTTAAAAATTAAGACTTAATAACTATAACAAAAGGATAAATAAGTTATGATCTTGTTATTAATAATTAATCATTAACAAAATTATATTTGTTATTACTTCTTAATAAATTGAAAACAATAGATTTTATAATTGATAGAACTAAGATATTTATTGGTTGGCATCAAATTTTCAAATTTAATTTTGTTTATTAATTTGTTGTTAAAATTAACAAATCTTATTTCTTTCTATAAAATATAGAATGAGCCAAATAGAACTAAATAACTATATATTTAGTTTTTTGAATTAAATAACTATTATTTTGATGGCCAATTTTAATAATGTTCATTATATAGATTCAGATAATTCAATATGCTCCAACTTAATTGATTCCTTTTTCAAAAGTTTCTTTTCATTTTCTAAAATTAATATTTATAAATACTGAATTTATAAAATTGATATTTTTAATAGATTTCTTATGCTCTTTTTTCACACTTATGAAATTCGTGGTTTTTCCATGGAAATCTTCTGTAGGTCTTAATTTTCTATAATAATATGGAAAATAATCTACATCATAATCTCTTGTAAATATGATTTTTTAAATTTACATGGTCATTTTTTCTATTTTCTCTTCATTTTCTTGTTAACATATTGTTTAAAATTCATCTAATAATCATAACGGATAGTATTACTTAAAAATTACTAATAGAAATATGAAAAATATTTTGATTTGAACAGTTTTTTTAAATAAGTGTCATTTATAGTTTTGAGCTTTGATTCTTTTCTGAAAGGTATGAGATCATCTATTGAATCATTACCAAGTATTTTCATAAATTCCTTATCATTAGAAAAGAAAGTATGATAAAAAAGTCTGTCTCTTTCTTCAGCTCCGAGATTATCTTTTTCTTAATAATTAATTTAAGTTTTAATGAAATCGAAACATCTTCTTATAATGAATTTTGTCATTTCTTCTTTTGTTTTATTAACTTGGATATATCTCCTCTTTAAGATATTTGGTATATCACAATGTAAGGATATTAGATTCTAATATCGATATTTATAAGATATACTTTCAAATTCTCAATAACAAATTTTTCAAATGTCTTCTCTTAAAGTAAGGAAATATTCTTTGACAAAAATCTTAATAGGAGGTTGAGTTCTTCCAATACTAATGCTTCTTTACACTTAGTAAGGTTATTTGAATCAGTATTGTCTGAAGCTTCTACATTCAAAGTAATCTCAGGGAATTAACAGGCTTAATCACACGTAACCTTTGTTGGAAATATATTATAGTATTAAGTTGGAATTGGATATACTTATTAAAGATTGAGTTATGGATAATTGATGTAGGAGGTAGCGTATACAATAGGAAGCATGAGATAATTTAAAAAAAAAAAGATGTAAAAAAAATTAATATCTTCAAATCATATCCTAAATGCATAAATAATATAAATAATCAATAAATAGTGTTATTATAAATGACTCAACCAAATATCAACTCAACTTAATCTGACTCAGAGATTCAATAGAGTAGACGATAAAAGTAATTGAACTCATTATTATAAACAATTTTACTTCTGGTATTGGATGAAACGATGTTATTTAGTCAAATTTACTGAATATCCTTTTATATTATTTAAATTAGACTTATTCTGAGATAATTGATCTGTTTTTTACCTACTAAACATATTGTAATTGAAACATTTAAGAAATGTGATTCTAATTTGAACTATCGTTACTAATATTTTTAATCAGAATAATAAATATTTTTATATTTTCGATATTTTTGCACTTTATTGTTATTTAAATCTATATTCTAAATTTAAGACAATTAAAGATATTTCTATTTATCATTCCTTATAATTATAGAAAGTATTATTTGGTTGAATATTAATTAGTTATTTTATTTTTTAAAAGTAATCTAAATACTCTATGTTGTTTGAATAACAAAGTAAGTTAATGTAGTTATAATTAAATGGATATTAGTATTTCTTTTCTAGATTTCATTTATATATATATATAAATATAATTAAATTAAGATTTATGAGTGACGATTCTGAAAGTTTGGATTTCCCTAACACTCCATTTTACACCTTTGTAATTTGTTTTTTTAAGTGGTTTAATTTAGAATATTACTGTTGGATTAACTTTATCATTGGCCAAATTATGTGCAAACAAGTGTAGATTATTCAAACCTGATTAAGGTACAAAACTTTCTGAAAATGATATTTAATGTGTCTGTAATGAATCTATTTTAATAAATAAAAGAAAATTGTGCAGCCACCATAAATAATAATTACTAAACATTCACAAGTTCATTAAAAGAGGCTATCAATTTTGAAGATGCATTTGGAGTTTTTGAACCAGAAGAATGAAATATTAAAAACAATAATCAATCAATATAAAACATTATTTAAGATAATATTCATAATATACTATTTTCAATCTCTAAATTTATCATTACAATAAATTTCAATACAATCAATTATATTAGACTTATTTCAAATTAGTTAATTTTATTATAACATATTTAAAGTAAATGAAACTTTGTTTTATTAATAAGAATCAATATAAATCATTGATAAATCTTAAAATTTATTGAAAAGATAATTATATTATATAAATTTATACCTTTATAGTTATAATAAATCATTTATTTATTTTCTAAAGTTCTCCTTTAGTTAAATCATCTGTAGATTGAAAACTGTATAAATGTCTATAAACATTCATATTATCTTAATCATCAATATCTAATTTAGGATATTCATCTAAATATTATTATTTTATTTAAGAAAGAAATTTCTATATTTCATTTTATTGATCAAAAGTACTTTATTCTTTTGTTTAAATTGTAGTATTATCATTACTGAGTTCCCCTTTTAATATTTCTATTTCTTCTGCTTTACCTTTAAGTTCATTTTATAATATTTTTATTTGATCTAATTGCATTTCTAATTTTTATAATTCTATACACTTTTCTGTATATTTTTATGATAACTCTTTATTTTAATTCATAATTTCTTTCATATATTATTAAAGTGATTAATTCTAATTTATTTATTATGTTAATTATTCTTATAGAATAGCCACTTTAGTCTTAAATTAATTTGTATCTTCATTTTTTAAATTTGATTTATCTAAAGCATTCTCTTAAATGAATGTTTTAAGAGTTTCAATTTAGAATTAAAGATCTTTAACAATTTAACTTTCACTTTTCTTAAATTCAATTTAATGAATTGTTGCTAATAATTTGGCTATTTCTCTTTCTTTATTAACACACAAATTAGATTTTTATTCTAAAGCTTATCTTAATTTGATTCTATCATCATTTGATAAATCAAGTGCTTTTTATAATGCAACAATTTTTTGATCTTTGAATACTATATCATTTCGTAAAACTTAATTCTCAAAATCATTATTTACTGCTTATTTATTTCTTTCTGGAGACAATTAACATTAATTAGTTATATTGATATTTTGTTTTATTAGTTCAAATTTCTATTCTAAATTTTTAATTGGAGTAGTTTTTGATGATGCATAGTAAGTTTAAGGTTGATATTATTATTATGTTAAAAGTGGATTATTAACTTAAGAAATTGATTATTTGTGCACAACAACTGGAGATTATGTTCTGTTAGGAGATATTAACTTAGGTTTATAAAACATTAACAACCAAAAATTTAATATTTATAAATAGTCTTTATATATATAGTTTCAAAAAGCTTAAGATTATATTGAATTATTGATAAATATTAAGTGAATATTTATATACAGTAATAAAAAGATATCATTTACATAATAATATAATTTAATACATTTAAAGTAATTCAATGATTACTAATTTCAATTCTCTCTGCTAATAATTAAAGAATATATGCATTTTCACAAAGTACATCTAAAGGTATCAATAAGAAAAGTTATTTTGTTCTAATCAACTCATTATACAAATATAATTTTAATTTTCTATTGCTAATTAAAATAAAGAATAGGTAAAATGCCAATCCAAAAATAAAAAGCAATAGATGAATTAATCTATTACTTTTTAGTATTATTTCTGATTCATATACAATAGAATCATGTAAAAGACTTAAGATTTAAGATGTATATAATAGATTTTAAATTTAATCTTCTAATGTTTATTTACTTATTGAATCTAAATGTTCATTAAATTATAATTAATTTTCATGATACATTATAAAAAGTTGTTTAATGTTTTATGATAAATTTACTAATTAAACAATCAAACCAGACTTTAAACTATCTAAATCTCTACAATATATTTCAGTAAAATAATCTAAATCATTATTATTATTATTATTAGATATTTAAAGAGAAAAGGCTTGACATGATTCACTTATTAAAGTGTCTCTAAAATAAGAATTGGGATATGATTTCTAATTATTCATTTTATGAATAAATTCTTGCAAAATCAATAATTAATTTTCCATATATATTAATGCTTCATCCCCTAAATAAAATAATTTATTACTCTTATTTAAAAATAGAATATCATTTTATTTAATTTATTCATATTTTATAAGCAATTTTTAAAAACTCTAAAATTCTAAAACATAAATTTATGATGATTTATATAATACTAATTTTTCAAATAAATCTATTATTGTATTTTCAAATTCAGATTGATAAATAAATTAACCTATATATTATGATGCAATAACAAAATAAATGATAACTAAAGACACAGTATATACTATATAAATAAAAGAAGCTAGAATCTAGAATAAATAACTACTTTTACTGAATTCTTAATTTTACTAAATTTTTTAAGTTGCATTACATTAAATTATTTTCATCATACCAGGACTTGACGTAATTTTTTGTTTTACTTATTCTAATAATTAATCAGTTGTTTGATGATTAACAAAATCTATATATTGTAAAAAGTGTAAAATAATCTCAATTGAACCAATCAAAGCTATAATTTAATTTTTTTGGAAAGTATTAAATAACTTTACTATTTTCTATTTTGCTCTTATAATTATTATCAATATAATTAAGTAAAACATAACTACTAAAAATATACAAAATAGTGTTAGATAAAATACAGATCTCATAAAAGATTGAGTATTATAAAATTAATTAATTGCTAATTAAATACCAGTAGAATTGTATAATTTTATTTATTAAGAGAACATAATAAAATTTCTAGCTATAATTTCTAGATAGTATTATTCATTAAGACCATTACTCAAAGACAGTATATATTATGAAAAATACCCTAAGGATTAATAAAAACTTTGATTTGTGATATTTTGGGCATTATTTATTGATATAAATGGAACTAAATCTTAAAGTAAATTTTACCAGTCATTTCTACAAGATTTGGAGAATTGTAATAAAGATATGAGATATCTTATTAATATTAGCTGGCACAATATTTATTATATTAACTATAATTAAATAATTAGGTATTCTCAATTTAATAGCTAAGTATGAATTAATTTATTCTTATATTGAAACTGTTTGAAATTGCATAATTCTTTAATGATAAACTTATAAATTAATTTTATTAATTTAAATGATAGAAATACCATATGTTACATAATATTAGAATTATGAATATAGAGATATTAATAACTCTGATTAGTTTATGTAATTTTGAATTCTAATCAAAGAGATTATGTTTAATATAATTTTTCTTTAATTTTTATTAACTAACTTATGATGATGAAACAGATTTAAGTTATTCCATTTCAAAAAAACCATTTTCTTAAGAAAGTGGTATATCTAATGAATTTAATGATTTAATTGATTCTCTATTTTCATTTAAACCTTCTAAAACTGCACTTGAATGAACAAGATATCTATTTTAATCAGATGAAAATAATTAAATAAATGGATTTGAATTATTACTATTGAAATGATTAAATGTACACAAATTGTGATTAATTGAAGATTTCATTTTTAATGTTTATTAATCTAATAATCTTTTATCTTAACTATTTGTCTAACTAACTAAATGAGAAATATTTTCAATCTAAATTTAAATATATTTATGTATTTACTTCATATTGATAAAGTGGATTAATAAGTTAAAATTGTATTTCTTTTTATTTAATCATATAATCATCTTCTAGTATTTTTTCAACCTCTAAATTGCATAATGTTTAAGAATCATTTTATAATTTAATAAAACCAAATGTATCTTTTTAATTACACTTTTCTATAATTTTTTATTATAATTTAATCTTCTCATTTTTATCTTAGACTGTTTTTATTTTTTATAAACTAATATGAGAATAATCAGATTTTTCAATTAAATTATAAAAAATATCTAGTCTTTAAGATTACTTAACAGTCTTTATATTTTAGATTTCTACACAATAAATTCTAAAATATATTTAAAAAACTTACATTCCTTAAAAAGTATAGAATTCTATAATTCTAAAGTTTATTCTAAACATAAACATATCTTTTATATTTTGAAAATATTTTTCATTAATTTTATCTTATTCTTTAAGAAATTCTTAAGTAGATTGATTTAATTATAATATTGTTGAAGTAAGTATATTTTACTTCTTTAATTTTTTAGGTATTATCAAATAGGATTATATTACTTCTTTTAATTCAGAATCTATTATTTTATTAGTATTCATACTCTTCCAACTTTTTATTAATTTTGGTATCAATTTTAAACAATCTATATTTTATAATTTATCAAGTTCTATTCCTAATATTGGTTTGAACACTTAAGTAAATAATTTTTCACTTATTTCTTCTATTAATCCATAATAATTTAATAAAATATAATGATAATTATTATCTGCTGGAAGAATCAAAGCAGAAGAACCAAAATCATTATACAAATTAGTTTCTAATCTAACTTTTGCAATTATTGGAAATATAAATCCTTTTTTATTTTTCACCAATAAAAATCTTTTTTCAGATTTCATAATATTTATTCTACCTTATTCTACAAAATTGTCTAAAAATTAATCATGAACTCTAGCAATAATTGTTGGTATAAAATTATTAATTGAATTATTTAAAATTTATGAATCATCTGCTTAAACTGCTTATTTGAATGTTCTTGTATAATTTTTAATTATACCTTTTGTATCAACTAAAGTCAAATAAACAAGTGAGGCATCTTTTTAAAAAAGAATTCCATTATTTGAATTCTAAAATTTATATACTTATGGTGAATCTAAAGATGGAATTTCAATTTTCTTATGATTAAAATAAATGTATTTGTAAAATAAAGATATTAAAAGTTAGCATTCTGGTGATATTGGATTTTATTTGAATAATTATTTTAAACTATTTTCAAGTTCTGTATTTATATTTTATAATTCTTTTCCATCTTTTATTAATTACATAATATTTCTATCTTAAAGTAGTCTATACCAATTCTTCTATAATTTTAAAGAAGCCATAAATTGTTATTTCCATAATTTAATTGCAATATCATAATAGAATACTTTGAAACATAAATATTTTTAATTTGTTATATTTTTCAATTCAATCATTTTATTAAAATCTTCTTTTACATAATACTCTATAGAATTCAAATACATTTTATTTAATAATTTCATATATTTTTCACTTTGAATTTTAAGTTATGTTAATTCATAGAATGCTTTTGCTGGCTATTTACTTATTTGTGAAAGGTACAAAATATAATAAAAATTAGTTGTGTAATCATTTTCTAAAGGTTAGTTTTAGCTTTACAATTTTTCTTCATAACAAAATCGTATTAAACTTTTAAGATAACTTTTAAAATGTAATCTTGATATAAAAGTATCTGATTCAATTCTATATATATGACAAAAACATGAAGGCTTATTTTAACAATTTATAAAATGATTGGTTGAAAAAACATACAATCTTAAATCTTTTGGTAATCTATACTTGACTTCATCAATCAGTTTTCCATTTTTACCTATTGCAGTATGACATTAAATATATAATGATCTTATGCGTTAGTTGAAATCAGTTTATTTATTAAGAGATTCCTACTTAATTTTTAGATGTGTAACATAAAAAGTTAATGGAGTTATCATTATTATGATTTCTGAAAATTCTACATTCAAAATTTAACCAAAAATTAATATGCTTAAGTTGATTAATAAAAATATTGTAAATGTTTGTATATACATATAATTTAAAGTGTAATCATCAAATTTTGGGTATTTAATTGAAAGATAAACAATTGGAAAAAGTAAACTAATATTAATTAGGTTTGCTATTAGTATATCTATATTAAGATTATGAACTAATGAAATCAGGACTAAAAGAAATTACAATAAGTAAGTTTAAATTTTAGTCTAAATAGATGAGCAATAAGTTAGATAGTCCTATTACTTAAATGAAAATTAATTGTTATGAACTTCATATAAGTATACAATTAATAAATTGAATAATATTACCAATATAGAAATCAATTACATAATAATGCTAAAGTTCCAAGAATTTTATTCTTAATCTAATTAAATATAAATACCTTGATTCATTTATAATTTAAACTCCTTCATAGCTAATAATATGATAGGACAATTAAATATATAAATAGATATCTTAATAAAAAAAGAAACATAGTATTCTAATTATTAATTACAAAGGTTCAGTATTTTTATATTATATGCTTTCTAAATTAGTTTTATTATTTACTTCTTATCCCAATTATTTGAGCAGTATCAAATGATTTTATAAATCTTTTTTATTACTTTTTTCTTCAAATTTTTATTATAAAAACAACAATAGTAAACTAGAAACAAGCAACAACTGTCCAATAAATATTGCAATTAAAAATATTTCAATCCAATGAACAAAATTATCGCCATTAAAATCCAACCTAACATGATTTTAATATATACGTAACATATTAACAAAAGTAATTGATTAATACTAATGGCCTTGAATAATTCTTAAATAAATTTGTAAATGTTTAATGTAATAAATAATAGGACTAAGAGTGCTAAATAATGATGAGTATGATGCTATTAGATTTATTTCTCGTTATTTTATTGTAAATTCTATAAAATTTAGATATATAGAAGAGTTTAAGTTTTGTAAGGTGATTAGTCATATCAAGAATTAAAAGTACCAAATGTAAAATTTATTTATTTTAATTTCTATCTGCAGAAAATTTGATGATAAAATAAAAATAAAAATTTAAGAGATTTTATAATTTATTCATATGATAATTATATTAAAAACATTTAAATATAAAGAAGTCTAATTTTCATTTTATAATTTTACAAATTGTATTTAAATTTAGCTAATTTACACTAAGATTTTAGAATGATAAGAAAAATATCATAACTAAAATCAATATTTAATAATTTTAAATCCTTAAAAAATGATTCATGAAAAATCTTTGAAAAGAATTTTCTATTAATATAAAATTTAAAATATACAATTTTTCAAATTAAATATGAACATAACTATAATATTTTTTTTTTTTGTTAATACCATAAAGGTTATTGTTTTTTTGTATTCAATAAATAATGACTATTTTAATTTAAGAGAAGTTTAAGTAGCTGTTTTTAGAAAATTGTTAATAAGAAAATTATTAATAATATTTTACACGTATTAAAATATGCTTGACCTCTAAGCAAAAACAAATAAAGAAATTTGGCAAGCTAAAAAATTATTGTATGAAAGTGATGGAAACACTAAAAAAAGCTTAATTGTTAATTTAGTTGCTTTGGTAAATAAATGAAATGATCTTAAGGGATTATTATGTATTTTGCTTTTTTACAGCATTGTAGGTTCAGATGATAAATGGACTTGTGAGATCGAATCTGCTAATAATAGTAATATTAATCATATATACATTTAAAGGAGGTCATTATATTTGTGTAGAAATGAGAAGAACAATGAATTGTAAAACTATCAGTGGACCAATAAGATCTGAAATATTCTTGAAAGTTAAGAAAGATCTTTAAGCAAGTGCTATAGTAATTTATTAATTATATTTAAGATTGAATGCCCTTGGGAAATTGCTATTTCAGAGATTAGATTATGCTTTATATTATTATCAATATCTAGTGTACTAATTGGAATTTATGCATTGAGAAAAACAAATAAAAAATATGCAGAACTGAGTTTTCAAATTGGAATATCATTTGCAATTCTTTTAGTATTTATTTTTATTAATAATATTTTAGTTAATATCTTCATATTTTGATTATGTCTCAATTAGAACTTCTCAAATAAATAATTATAATCTATGTAATTTATAAGAAGAGTTTTAAATTGAAGAGAAAATGAAGGTAATAAATCAATATATTAAATTTTTTTAGGGACAAATGGAATGCTCATTTTCATTTTATAATTTTACTGTGATTTTAGAAATAGCATGTTCTGTGGCAATGATAGTAAATTCTATTTACATAAATTAATGGAGATACAAATAGATTACAGAACTCAATGATTAGTTGTGAAAATAGTTTTATATATCAATCATAGAAATCATTATAACTTGATTTACTATTTTTATAAATTTTTGTTTGTTAATTCAAAGACATTATTAAAATTTGAATTATAACAATTATTATTAAATGTAATTAAATAAAGGATTTGATTTATTAATTATTTTAATAGAAATATCACTCAATAATTGCTTAAATATAGTCTATCTTTAACATAATTAAAAAATGAAAAGCTTTAGTAAATTATAATAACACATTTGATTTTATAAAAATTTGGAAAGTCTATATTTAAATTAATAAACTTTATTTACAATTATATAGGTAAGATCTCCTTGAATATTGAAATATTTATAAATTATTAAATAATTTGGAAAAATAACAAATATCGATAATAAAATTAAAAAAAATAATTGTAATAATGACACCTAAATTAGATATAACAAGGTAATAAATTAAATTATTGCTTATATTTTAATCTAAGTCTTATTGAATATCTTGTGTGAAAGCTTAGATATTAATTAGATATAATAGAATGGAATTGAATTCCCACTTCTATTTATATTGTTTTCTATAATACTTCTTAATATATAGTATTGAACTTCAATAATTTATATTGGACTAAATTGTTCTTTTAAATTCTTTATTTTATATTATTTCTACACCTTCATCAATTTAAAAATAAATGTTCCCAATTTAACTATTTTTAATAAAATTATTTCTTATTTCTTATCATTTAATATAATAAGCTTTTGATTTTTAGCTTAAAGTATATCAATTAAATTAAAAATTAGATCTAAATTTACTCATCTATTTTCTATAACATTGAATTTTATATGAAAGGATAAGTACTTAATATAGCATGTAACTTATTTTGGCAATATTAAATTTTGAATGATAAAATGTAAAAGTCATGATAATTATCATTTGTTTTTGGATTAAAAATTAGGTTTACTTACTTGTTACCAATCGAAAAAGCATTTGAATTAAAATATTTTTTATTTATTTTAATTAAAATTAGTATGGATATGATTTAAACCCTTTAGCTGTGGAAATAGATCAAAACAACACTACAATAAAAATTCTCAGATCTTAAGAGTACCTTTGAGTCAATAGATTCAAATAAAAATGGTACGATAGAATTAAATGAATTATCTTAAGAACTAATTAATAATCATGGTATTACATAGAAAGAGTATATAAATAATTATAATTTAAAATTAGCTAGATCCAATCTATATTTTAATACTTGAACATATCAAAAAATGGATAGATTACATTAGAAGAATTTGAAAAATAATGGACAAGTGCTGAATAATAAATTTAATAAGAACAAAATAGATAGTAATTCTAAAAATAGAAACAATAAGTCTAATCCTATATATAAACAAATTAATAACTAAAATCTTCAATCATATAAAAATCTACATTATAAAAATCAGGATCTGCTTAATAATTTTCAGATTTATTTAATAGTTATAAATCTAACAATTCACCAACTAAATACATAAATATCTAAGGAGATTTTTCAATTAATTAGTTTAATACTCCACCTCTTATAGATAGAAGAAATTCTCCATTAAAAGTTTTATCTCCTCCAAAACCAGAATAATATCCAAAAACAAAATAAGAATCTAGAGATGATAAATTAAGAGAAATGTAAAGATAAATATCTTATTTATTTAATTGTAAAAATGATTAAAAAAATTCAACTCCAAGATTAAAATAAAATTTAGATACATTTATGAATACAATGAAATTAGGTAATGGTAATGGTATAGGAAGAAGATCTAGTGGACATACTTTGAGATATGAAATAAAGACTTAGACAATTTCACCTAAATTATCTGATTAGATATCATTATAAAATTATGCTTATTAATTTAATGACATGAAAATGTAATTTAAATAAACATACACTGGAAATAAAAGTAATAATAACATTAAGGGTAATACATTTTTTAGGAAATGAATAGTTTAAGAAATGAAGTTAAATAAATAATTTATAAATCAATTCATATGTAATTTGTATTTTTAAAGCTTCTGAATTCAATCTATACCTGACATTTCTTTATGTTATATATGAAGCGTTTAAGTCAAGTAATTTAATTCTCTTATTTACTGCTAAATTTTAATTTATTTAATAGCCTCTTATATATTATCTATAGCTATTTACAATTATTATTAGGGCTATTATTATAATGGAATAGAACTCTAATAATAGCCATTGTTATTATTTCGATATTAAGTGGTAGGTTAAGGAATCTCAATTTAAATTTTGCTATTGCTTGATTCATCTTATTCTTCATCCATCATAGATTGTATGGCTTGGAAATTTTAAATTTCTAAATGATATAAAATAATTGATTAATAATACCTTTTGAAATAGTTTAAATAGGTTAAATTTATTATCCATTATTATTGAGTAATTAAAAATAATTTGACTCACCTAATGTTTTGAAAAACCATTCATGATGTAAGACTTCATAAGCTGAAGGTCTTGTTTATGGATTTAGAGATAATACTGATTTTAAGAAAGAAAGACATAAATCTGATGCTTTGACTTGTGTATAATCAATTTTGCCATGATAATTAAGTTAAACAACTTTATTTTATGAATGTGCAGCAAATGGCTACTTTCCTACTAAAAGAGTATATAAAATAATTCCAGCTGAATAAACATCTACCTTAAAATCATATTTTAAATCTCTTAACACTTCAGGTGCTACATAACCAGGAGTGCCACATCTCTAATATTGATATACAGATAATGGATTATAAAAATCAGCAAGACCAAAATCACATATACATATTGTATCTTGATTCTTGTATAATATATTGTCTGGCTTAAAGATTAGAGAAAGTTAAAATACTTTAATGTCTCTATGGATTATTTTATGATCATGTACATATTACAATACCATAAATAATTGTAACATGATTTATGCACACTAATGTTCAGAATGTCTTTTTTTCTACTATTTCATTGAATCTAAAATTAGTGATAAAATTAAAAAATACATTGCATCAATTCCATAACTATACAAATAAACTCTTTATCTTCATAAACCTCATAAATTTTGATTATACCTGGATGCTTAAGTTACCTCATTATTTATATTTCTTTAGCTACGGAAACATTATCTACATTTAGATTCTTTAAAGCCACCTTCTAGAATACTTTTAATGCATAATTTTGATTATTTTTCTTACTTGTTATCTTGTATACCTAATATAATATATCTGCAAATACATTTGCAAATTGTCCTTAACCAATTAGCTCGCCTATATCATAGTCTAATCTAAAATTATTTTGTATGCACTTATTTTTTATTTATTCAAACCAAAACTTGATATTTTAAGGGGTTGATTTCAAGAATACCTATTTGTGGTTCTTTTATAATAAAATTGTATTATCATTTAATAGCGAAATTGAAGTTGTTAAGAGTTCTATTTTTTTTAATTCTCCATTTTTTTTAAATCGAAACAATTCATACTAAGTCAAACAAAATTGCGTTGACTTGTTATGAAATAGGAATATCCCTTTGTATAATATATCTTCCTAAAACTTCATATCTTATATACTTCATTAAGCTTATTTTAGCATTATTCCCAAATTCCTTTCCCTTAAATATCAAAATAAGATGATGAATCACTCATATAATAAATGAATAATTAATTTTATATTTTATTTTACTTCTTCTTATATATAATTCAATCTCTTGGTTATTAAAATCTAGAATTCCAGTTTAACATTCTCTACAATTTTATTACCCAATCTAAATCTTAGTGTCCAGGTGGTACAACAACTATATTCTATATACAAACATACATCGCACATCATTTTTAGAAGGAGTAATATCAAAACAATCATTTCTTTTAAAATCATATTGCACTTGTCCATCACAAATTACTACTCCTTCTCCTCTTGAATTTGCATTCATTTTTATACTAATTTTAACATCCAATGGTAAAATTAAAGGTCGAAATGATAATGATAATGGACAAATTGGTACCAATGCTATACAAGGGACTCTATTTTAAATTAAAGGACCTCCAGCACTTAAACAATATGCTGTTGAACCTGTTGGAGTACTTATAATTAAACCATCTATATAAATCAATTATAAATTAATACCTCCTCTAGCTTAAGTTACAAATGTATCATTAACATAAATATCTAGACATACAACATGAATGCTATTTCCTTTGGTTATGAAAAAATCATTTAAAGCAGTATATACGTATTGACCATTTAAACTGCCTTAAATTCTTTTCTTCAACTCTATATTATATGGTGATTGTAAATTTTTCAGAACTTCATATTGATTTCTTAAACTGTATATACACATGAATCCTAGTGTTCCTTTACCAAATGTCACAAAAGGTGGAGTCTAAATTTATTGGAACATCCTAGATGCATGCCTACACTATTTTTGGAGCTCTACAAAATTGTTCCATCACCGCCGATGGTTATGACTACATCTACAGGTTCATTTTTATATTCTTCATCTATTATATAAGTATGCTAAGGGAATTAATTTCTAATTTATTGCATATACGGTAGACAAGTATGGTCTTTCTTTTTACTCACTAATAGGACTGCTAATTTTTTTAATTATTAATTCATATTATTTATAAATATTCAATTAGAAAAGGTTTTATAATTGTTTCAATGTATAAAAATGGTTTTAAAAAAGAAGTAACACTAATTACAATCCCAAATTTTCATAATATTAATATAATATTTGACTAATAATTTTAACATATTGATAAATTATAAATGAGTTCAACTAATAGAAGTTACTATCAACTAAATGCATCAAATATATTATCAACTAAGAGAGTTCCTAGTTTGACTCCAACTAAAAATTACCCAAGTAGTATTTCAAAAGAAAAAATGTATTGAATGATTTGATTTGTTAGAACTAAATAAGTTAAGGATAAGGCAATTAGTGGAAACAGCTAATAAAAAAATGATGTTTACAATTTGCCTATGTAAAATGCTCTATTTTTATAACAATAAAATGCCATATTATCTGCAAGAAAAGCCACAATAAATTTGAGTGACAGTTCAGACAAATTAAGAAAAACATCTCCCAATGATAAGTATATTATATTTATTATAGAAGATCTCCAATCAATCCTAGATTGTCAACTTTATAAAAAAATAAACAAATTAGTATCTCCTAATCCTAATAAGCAATTGCATAAGTTTTGGCAAAAATGTAAGAGAATGATAATATATCTTACATGAATAAATAATGTATTAATACTAATTTAACTTAGTGTATCATAATCCTGAAATTGAATCTACCTAAAAAAGTACAATTAATAGCAGAGAATATACAAATAATTCATCTAAACATAAAACTGAAGATTATCAAAAAATATAAAGAGAGAATTTCATTCTTTAACGGAAAGTATAAGAACTTGAATAAAAAGTAATAAATTAGATTTATTATATTAAAGATTTCAGCTTTAGAATCAGTGAATCAATAATTACTTACTTTAGTTAAATCATGTGATTGTCATTAAACTTAATTAAGAGAATTAGAAATTACAATATGTAATTTGAATTATCTCAAAGAAACAATTAATCCAATTTAAATTTAAAATATAACATCTCTTGATATCTAATCCAATACAGACCTTAAAAAAAAACTCTCATATTCTTAAGATTATTCAGAAATTAAGCCATAAAATTTATTTACTAATCATAATTCGACTAAAATGATTGAATAATTTATAGAATAACATTAATTAAATCAATAAGAACTCAATGTTTTTAAAGATTTAACAAAAAAAATGGATGATAAGAAAACACCTATACCATCAGTACTTAAAGCATTATCCTTAGTTATTAATGTATGAACTTTTATATAATTGTTTTATTTAAAAACTAACAATTTAAATATCAAAGTAATATAACTTATTTTTAATTACAAAATATTTCTTATTCATTCTATAATATAGATGAAATTTAAATTCAATAGTTTTATGTTAATATTTTCATCTTTTAGGATAACATTCCTAATTATCTGTATTTTATTTCAAATTTCTCTAATAATTCATGCATCAATCTTGGTTGAAGTGCCAATAAACCCAATATCTATTCAGAAGAAAATTACATAAATTATTCAATAGAAATTGCATTTTTAATACTATTATTTACATAATTTAATTACATTGATTCTTAAGTTGAATTTTACTCATCTTTTTATTTAGTATCAATCATATTGATCATTATTTATTAAAGAGTATCATATAAAATATTTTAAATTTTTCTTTCTCTATTAGGATTACTTGAAATTTCAGTAATAGATTAATTAATTGATGTATTAAAATCAAAATAAATTGAATTTGCATATCCATTATGATTTGTAATTTTCTATTTATTTTTGAATTATTTTAAAGATAGATTTGCACAATAAATAAGTAAATTCCTAATAGAACTATATTAGTTCTACTTCTTCTTTATTTCTTGTTTCTATTCAGTAATTTTTCTTCTCAAAATATTAATTTATTTATAAATTTCAATAATATCATTAACAGGCTAAAATTAAAATAATATTAATTTCATCTTACTTATTATTATCCTCTAAATGATGCTTTCTATAGAACTTCTAACAATATGATTTTAGATGGTTTTTTCAATTTAATTGGAGGTAATTATGATAAACTCAACTAATGAGTATTTGTATCTTAATTAGTTATGAATAGATTAATATTGCTTCGATTACTACTTATATCAAGACTTTGTAAATGAATTCTTTACTAATAAATAATTTTAAATAAATTACTGTTCTAGATGTAGATTATGTATAATTTGATTTAGAATTAATAATTTATTATTAAATTTACCAACAATCTCTTACACAATCTCTGATTTACAATCGCTTATTTTAAACTTATTCTTTAAGTTCTTTGATTGTAAATTAATTTAATTACAATTCTTGTGTTAATTATGTAGTCTAATAAATAATAATAATAATACTTTTTTTATCAATGCTAAACGATATTAATCCACTTTTGATAATTCACTAATTATTTATTTAATTTAAGGATGATTGTCAAGACTAAATAATAAATTATTAGTACTCATTTTATTATCTCAATTTTTCTTCTAATTTGATGATTTATTATTTAGTTTTTTCTAATTAATTAAGTAAATGAAAATATCTTTAATTTAATCTTTATTCCTTAAATTATTTGATAATTTACATACTTCCATTTATATTGCTATCAATGTTTTATCATTAACTTGTTCAATATAATCTTACACTTCGCCATGTTGATGTTAAACAATATCCATGGCATCATTCCTCCTTAAAAGAAGAATAAATAGAGAGATTGATACTTCTTATCTAAATCAAAGAATATTTTTGGAGGTGAGAAAATCTTGGAACTTTTACTATCATATAACATTAAATTTAATTATAATATGATAAATTCATTAATCAAGAAATAACCTAAGTTAATATTCCTTCTCTCCATAATCCTTTAAGAATCTAGCCATTTACAGTTGTAAAAGTGCCTTTACCATCAATAATTCCATCTTAAAATTGACCTTCAAATACTTCCCCATTTGTAAGTTACAATTTTCCAAAACCTTACATTTTACCTTCAGAGAAATTCCCTATTATATAAATCATAAGAATACCTTCATATTCAAGCCAACCATTTTGAATTTCACGTAAATCTTAATAATCAAAAGGACCTTCAATCTCCTCTGCTTGTAAATTATTCAATTTGCCTTAGCCATGATATTTATTAGCCTTCCATTAACCATTATAAACTGTATTCTCATTTTAATCAGTTAAAATGCCTTAACCTTCTCTAGTAGCTGGTTCATAACCCTAACCTCTATAAATAAAACCATCATCATATTAAAGAGCTAATTCTTGTAACTAATTATTTTAAACTTATTGTTATTTTGTCGACTATTCTTATTTTGGTTATGGTTTTGATTATTATTATTGTTCTTATGGTTATTTAACTTCTTGATTTTAATTTTTTTAAACTAGATCTTTCGGTCTATCATTAACAACCTAGAATTACTTCTTTAATTCATCATCTTTCTTAGATTAAGATGGTTATTGAGTATTTTAAGGAGGCTTATTGATTTATTGTTTTTGAATTGATTATTATTAGTACTCCTATTATTAAACTTTGAGTTGAGTTTAAGTTTGAGGTGATTAAAGTTTTGTTTAGTTTGGTATCAATGTTTGTGAAAATTATTAAGGAGAAGATTAGTTGGCTTTTTTCTAATCTTAGTACTATTGCTATTGCTATTAATTTTAGTATTTTTAATCCTTTTTTTGAGAAGGTTTAATTTATTATTATTTTAGTTGATCATAACTTTAATTGATGACATAATTTATATGCGAATGTGAATGATAAGTCTATGGTTACAATATAGGTTGATAATAAACCTATAAAAATGATATTAAAAAAATTACTTGATGTGAAGCCTGATATAGGGTTTATCCTAATTAAGTGATATTTTATGAATAATTAACTTAAACATATTAACTGGGATATTGTGGAGGATAGAAACTAAAGGAATATTATTATTACATTTATTTGTAATATAGTATTAAAAATATTATTATTTAATTTAATATATTTTTCCATAATTTTGCAGAAATTATTAAGCCATTCTATTTACAACATTTCCCATAACGATTTAATAATCATATTAATTGTATTTAATTGCTTCTAAATTATATTATTAATTCAAATAAATTAATATATATATATATATAATCAATGTGTAAAAGAAGAGTAATCCCATCTATTCTTATCTAGTTTAATTTTAATGCATCCTGGTGAATCATATGTGGAATTCATACAACATGACCAACCTTCACTTCCATCTTTTAATTTTTACCACACTCCATTATGATAGTATTTAAATTCCAAATTATGTTTAAGTGTCTTACTCATATCCGGCATAAATGTATAATTCTTATCCTTATCCATTATCCAATATTTAATACTTGAATTTATTATTAATTTTTGCTTAAATGTGCCTCATAAGCTAATCTAAATACTGCACCATCAGTTGCTTATTATGAAGCAGCAGGATTTTTGATTAAGTATTCTTGTCTAATTTAAGCTCTAAAATCTTTTTCATTTACTTTCTAAGATCTTAGATTCTATTATAATTGAATTTAATGTTCTATGGGTTTTAAATAATTCTTAATTATTTCTTTTTCTTTTGCTTTACTATGATTTTTAGCTTTTTGAGTTTAATTCATCAGATTTTTTTAGAAATCAACTGAATTTGTTTCTACACTAATGTTCCATTTATCTGATCCTTTTTTGGCAAGTTAATAATTATCTCTAGTTTCTGTTCCTACATATATTTTATTTGGTTTCTCTTTTGGAATAGGATGATCAAGTAAACCTAATTTTATTTTTACTAACTTTCTCTCATGAGTTTCTTCTGATAATGGATTTTTTGGAACTGAGACACTATAATTCCATTGTTTTTTTCTTAACCCCAAAATATCCTAATAAATTAGTTGGTCAATTTCTATACAGGATCAACAAAAGTTTAAATAAATTATTTAATTTATAATGCCTTCTATGGAATATCTTCTTTACTAAAAAATTGTTCATCCTTATCATAATTTACTTTATTATTCTTGATGCTTCCTATTTTATGAATCTTTTATTCTGTGGATAGAATTTCTTATTCTCCTTCTCCTTATTTCTGTCTTCTCTCATAAGCTTCTTTTATGAACATTTTCAATTTTTAATAATAAAATATAATAGTTAGAATATTATAATTTAATATATATATATTTATATATCAATCTTCATAGAATATATCTTCTTTTTATTAGATAATTTCTTCTTATTTTTATTCTACTTTCATAATCTTTTTACATTTCTTATTAGTTTTCTTACTTTTTTTCTTGTTTTTAATTTGTTTCTACTTAATAAATTTCTTAATTTAGTTTTTATCATTTTATTCTGTTTTCTCAATTTTTTGTTATAATGGTTATATCTTTTTTGTTTCTTCTACTTTAGCAACATCATAAGTAAAGAGTTCATCAAAATTTTTAAATAAATCACACATTATTATAAAAATGACAAATAATTTCAGGACAAATCTTGTTTCATTTGACAATATCTCTATAGATTATTTTGCATATCTCCACCCATTATTGTCTATTTGGATTTGGATTAATTGGTGCTTATACAATGGCAGCTATATTGTTACTCTTATCAAAGTCCATCCAACTTATACTAGATACAAAGCGTATCAATAGTTATTGAAGAATAACTAAATAATCTAGTATAATTATTAATTATGGATGGCTACAATCCTTATTCAAATAATCATTTATCAAATGTATTGCCTAATAATTATATTCTCTTAATTATTCAAAGATATTTTCCAAAATCCAATTATTATTGAATAATGACATGAATCTAGGATCCTTGACATATTAATCAGGCATTTAGAGTATAAGTTATTTCACATTCAATAATCTAATTTAACATTCTGGTAAGCAAAGATTATAGGGTTAAAACTAAATTATGTATAATCATCAATTTACTATTTGAATGCAACATTATAATAGACAGAATTAAATTTTGAGTTGTAAAAACATGCATTCTGTTCTTGTATACATTTTACCCAAACTACATTATTCAAAATATGATGTATTGATGAATAGTTTTGCAATTTTATACATTAAATTACCAAACTGTTAATTATATTTATCTTATTGATAAGATTCAACAGTACTATGTCTTGTGTCATCTTATAATGTAGTAAGACTTTCCCTATGAGCTGATGGGAATCTCATTGGGATGAAGGAAGTCTAATTATATGTTGTTAACAATCCATTTAATTATTGCAAAGGTTCTCTTTCAGAATAAGGAGAGGGATTTTTAATATGCAAATATTGTTATTGTGGTATTATTTAATTTTACATAGGAATTTAATTATTTATTTATATTGGTTATTTTTATATTTTGAATTATTATTAATATTGAATTGGAAATATTGCTTTCTATTATTATTAAACTATTTATATTGGAGTAAGACTTCGAACATGATGGTATTATTAAGGAATATTTTTTTGACTTACATTCAATCTTTGTTATATTCTCTAACTTAAATAATCTAAACATTATTCAACTGACCATCTCAATTATTTATCCCATTAAAGCATATTCTATATTAATATATTCAAATAATGAGAACATTAAAATGGATAATAAAGTACTCCAGTCTGTTAATAAAATTTAAGTTTTTATATTAATTCTGGTTCTGTTTGTGATCTAAATGGCTATTATCCAAATACCATTTCATATAAAACTACTCCAACTGACCATAAATCACTTTTAAAACTATATTGATTATTAATTAAAGTTTCTGGAGCCATATACATAGGTGTACCTACATTGTAATTTTGTATTTCAACTCCATTTTAAACATTTTTACATAATGCAAATCCAAAATCTGCTAATTTAGGAATTCCATTATTCATAAATATATTTGCTGGTTTAATGTCTCTATGAATAATATCTAAGGTTCTTATAATGAAATATATACAATTATTCTTGCAATGTTATAGACCATTTAATACATGAATGATTAAATCAATTGCTATATCTTCAGTTATTTTTTGTTTCTAAATAAACTATTATAAGTCCCCTAATGATTAAATTGAGAGTTTATACCTTGATTGCAATATTCAGTAATAATGTAAACAAGTTAATTATTTTGAAATACATCATAAAATTTCAAAATATTTTACTATTTAGGTATGATTTTCAGAATTCCAATCTCATTTCTCATCATTTACATCAATATTTAGTCTCTCATTTTTGAACAATCGATTTGCTTAACTCAATGTATTTGTACTTTAATAGCTACATTCTCCTTTGTATATATTTCATATCCCAAAAACACTTCACTGAATTATCCTCCACCTATGTTTTTTTCCTCATATATGTAATTATTTAATTGTTTCTGCAACATTTCCATTAATTTACTTTGAATAAGAATTTTAATTTTATATAAATTACTTAAAAAAACATCTTGTTAATCAATAAGGATCATTAACTATTAAAATAAATATCTTCCATTATTAAACTCTTAATTTTGTTTAAATTTGTTAAATTTATATAATTTTATCTCAATACAAAATATTATTTAATATTGATAGGAATGAATAATAATATCTTGAATAAATAAATCATTTATTATTATTAGTTATTGTAATGATTCCATTCAATATTTAATATGTAATTTCTTCACTCTCTATGTTTCTTTACGAATCAATTATTCCAGCGAAAAAGTTTTACCCAACAAATGATTTATCTATTGCTTCTTAAATATACCTAAATATTGATATAAATATATACCATTATATAAGATCTTAATTATCAATAGTATAATTTCCTTAAGGTTATAATGTTATGTTGGAAGGATTAGCTGATTTTATTTTAAAAGCAGCTTACTCTTTAATTTTGCTAAAATCTAGTTCTACTTAAATATCATCAAATTCAACTGTAAAACTTAAAATTGGATTTGGATTGACAGTTAAATTACAAGTAAATGTCATAGCTACAGTAAAGTATTTGGTATTATAAGAAACATAATTAGCTGAGGTAGCAATACATGTTCCTCCAATTTAAGAAGCATAAGCATATGAAGTATAAACATTATTCATGATATTTTATAATCCTCCTGTACTCCATGAAAAATAAGGAACTTTCCAATATTAAGGATTCAATGAAGTTTTAAAGTAGTTTTATTAAAATGCATAATTGAATGTATTGATTATTTCATCCATACTAATTTATTCTATATTAGTATTTGATGTTGCAGTACAAACTGTATTGATTGGTTAATTACAAGTATATTAAGTTTATAATTACTAAATGTTCATTTCAGCTGATATAGCATATGATACAGGAGCATATTGAATTTATACATTATTGACAATAACTTAATAATTGAAATTCTATGCACCATTTTTATATGTTTTAGTTGAAGTTTAACCTTTAATAATTTCAAATCCATTTAATTCTCTAGTTAAGGTAGACTTTAGACCTGATAATGATGAACTAGCGTAATACTAAGTTAAAGCTGTTTATATTAATGGATTAGTATTGATAGCTTAAAGAATTTCTTGAATTTATCCAATTTCATGTGGAAAATTAGCATATACAGCCTTAAATACAGCATTATTAAAATTGACAGTGGAATTCACATACTAAAAACTATATTTATATGGATTTGTTTTTGTAGTGATTCCAAATGTATATGATGCAGAAGAGACACTCTCTAGTATAGCAGCTCCTTATCCATTTTAAATAGTTCCATTTTAAAATAAAAAACCAACTTCAATTAGAATAGTTGGATTAGAAACTGTAATCTAACCACCTTCACCAACTCCTTATTATCCTGTGTATGTTTAATTATCAATTAAGGCTTCTGAAATAAATTTATAAGCTGTTAAATTCCATCCATTCTGTATTATTTAAACAGGAGTCGAAAATTTACTTGGAAGACCCACTGAAAATGCTTTTTCGAACAAATAAGTAGGCAATAAGCCTAAAGTATAAAAAAGATTATATACCTGATCTAAGCTAACCATTACATTAGGCAACACCAATTTCTGTACATTATTGTAATGTAAGGTAAATTAATGATGAAATCAATAAAATATTCATTTTAATAATGTAAATTCTAAACTCATAACTTTGGTTTTTAGGCAGCCTATTATTCTAACCTTTCTAGATTTTCTTAAACCTTATTGAATAAGTCAGCATTTCCAGTTGGATATTCATTCTTTCCATTAAAATCATTAATTTTTGCCCAATTCTTTTATACTTCACTAATTTTAACAGGTAAATCTAAGGAAACTCCTTCAGATCTTTACCATCTGACTCTAGAGAAGAATCCTCCAGAACATTCATAAATACCACCATTATATTCTTTATTTGATTCATGAGTTAAAACAGCCACTTAAAAATATTATTAAATAGATATACATATTGGTGTAAGATTATTTGGATCAATTCCACTCATTACATCAGGTGGCATAATTGTTTCTGTCATTCTAGATGCTCCAACTGGAACTAACACATTACATAATATATTTCTTCTTTCTCCTTCCTTTGCTAATGTTAATGTAAGTCCAACTATTCCTGCCTTTGCAGCTGCATAATTGGTTTGACCTAATGTTCCATACAATCCAGATCCACTAGATGTATTAACTATTCTACCATAACCTTAATCTCTCATGATTGGCCAGGCTGCTTTAGTTACAGAATATGTTCCATATAGATGAGTCTTTAATCATATAAAAATTAGTCTTACTTTGATTACAATATCCCAATCTTCTTCTGTCAACTTAGCCAATATCTTATCTCTTAAAATACCAGCATTATTAATAAGAACATCAAGTCTTCCAAATTCTTTTATAGCATGTGCAATAATTTTATCACCATTCAACACAGAATCATAATTTGCCACTGCTATACCTCCTTTACTCTTTATTGTTGCTACAACCTAAATTTAGAACATTAATTACTTCATCTGCAAATTTAGGATTTGTGTTCTTTCCGTCCAAATCACAACCATTATCATTTACTAAAACTTTGGCTCCAACTGATCCATAAAATAAGGCATAAGCTTTTCCAAGTCCTCGTCCTGCCCCTGTTATTACAACTACCTTATTATCAAATCTCAAATCAGACATTTTAATTATTTAGATATATATATGTGAGTATTATTTAAATTAGAATTTCAATTAAATATATTTCATATAAATCATTCCCCCCCTAAATTCCGATAATTAACTCTATTTTTATTATTTCTAGTTCGACGTCTACCATTCATTTACTAATCAGAATTCTAATTATGAATTATTAATATATTTTTACTTTCTCTTCTTATATAGATTATACTTATTATGATAATAATAATTATTATTGTTATAATAATAATTATTATTATTGTTGTTATGGTATAATATTTTATTTTATGATTGGAGAATCTTATTAATTTTATTTCTTAATATTCTTTTTGCCAGAATTTCTCAGAAAATCGAGATCTGACTTAATTTCATCATCATATAGATTCAATCGAAATGCTATTAAATAATTTTAAATTTATAAATTTACTAAATTAAACCTTATTATCTTTAGTGGCTACAAAATTAATATTTTTCTCTCTTGTTCTAGCATCCTCTTATTCTATAATAGTTCTTTATTTTGGTTGATATTCTTCTATAATCTTCTCTTATTTCTTCTATTACTGAAACTATTATTATTATTATTATTATTTTTATTATTATTATTGTTAATGTTATTATTATTGTTTTTTAATTTTAGAACAATTTAAACAATAATAAACTTTATTCTCAGTCTCTTCTTTAATATTCTAATTTCTATATTTAGCTTCACAATTTAAATGATTCTATCAATATCTATTTATATATACCCATTTCTCACATTCATCACATTGAATCCATTCTTATTCATCTTGATCATATGACCCATTCGAATATACCTAAAAATCTTAGAAATTCTTCCAATACCTATTCACAAAAATCACAATAATTTCCACGATTGTATAACCTTAAACATTTGTCACAGAATTAAAGAGTCTCTCCTTTTTTTGATTTGGTCTTACGATCTCCTTTATTGTTGCATTTAGAATTATGACATTTCTAAATTTAAGGAGGTTCATCATCTTCAACAGTAATTGGATTTTGTGAAGTATTGTTTTTCTTTTAACCCATCATTCCAAATTAGCATAACAACTAATTCTAATTAAACGCATTTATGGCATTGCTATTTATCTATAAGCTTTTCTATAAAAGTTTCATATAATCAATCGAATTCATTACACCTCCCAAACCTAAGCAAAAATAAGCCAATTCAAAAAACTATAAGGTCACAATATTGTAATTGATGTGGAATTGATGATATCTTACCACGATTAAAATTGAACAAATCCTATGGTTATTAGGTTCTAATAAGATTGTCCTATAACTATTGAAAAATGTTTGGAAATGGTAATGTTTTCATGTTGCTACTAAAAAGATTGGTGAAAAATGGTTGTTATCTAAAATAAGTAATTAATTGCCAAATATATGATTTGAGCATATGAAGTAATATAGTATATAGAATATGAAGTTAGAAGTTTACCTCAATTATTGCTAATACTCTTCAAGTTAGACTGGAGTTAGTTGCTGCAATAAGGAATTTTAGTTATTCAATCCAGAGTTCATATTATTTTAATGATAGTTTAAATTAAATTGGTCAACCCTATTTAATCATAATTTAAGCACTAAGAACTGTCTTATTTATTATTATATAAAATCATATAAAAACACCCTGAAAAATCTAATTCTCTTCTTTTATTCTTTTTAAAAAAATACAATTATTATAATTATTTTATAAATTACATTTCAATCTTTATGTGTAATTAAGAAAAAATTTATAAAATAATCATTGTTATTTTTACTAAATCTGGATATTTTTCTTATTTTTAAAGTTAAATTATTTATTAAAACAAAAACAAACACTCATAATAAAATTATTCCCCAATTAGATTCTCTATAATATGTAAATTTATTCTAACTTTAATTAAGAATTGAAACCAAAATAAAAGAGGAAAGTTAAATATAAATATATAATTGTTTAAATAGTTGTTATTAGGTTCTAAATTCTGTGAAATAATGTTAAATGAATATCAAATATTAAATAATAAATATTATTGATAAAATTTGTTAAAATGTCAAATGGATATTACGATTGGTTGGTAAAAGTAATTGTATTAGGAGACTCAGGAGTAGGAAAGACTAATATCCTTACTTAATATTGTGATCAAAAGTTTTCATAAAATTATATGGCAACTATAGGTGTTGATTTTAAGATAAAAACAATCACTGTACAATTGATAAATATGTTAAAAAGGTTGAAGATAAGAAAATTAAATTATAAATTTGGGACACAGCAGGATAAGAGAGATTTAGGAACATTACATAAACATATTATAAAGGAGCATTTGGAATCATATTTGTTTATTCCATAGTAGATAGAAATTCTTTCAATAATGTTGAAAATTGGATCAAATCTATAACAGAAAATACAACTGATGAAGTGTAATATGCAATAATAATCCCTTAAGTTGTTCAATCTTAGTCGGAAATAAAATGGATTCTCAAGATAGAAGAGTTCAATCATCAGAAGGTTAAGCATTAGCAACAAAGTATAAAATGCCATTTATAGAGACTAGTGCATTAGAAAATAAAAATATATGTAATATTAAAATAAATATTAAATTTTAGAAAACATTTTCGATATACTAGGTCTAAATTTGAAGAAAAGATTAGAAAATGAAAGTCAGAAACCATAAGTTAATGCTGAAAACTAATCAAGTTAATTCAAATTAAATTAGGAAACTGCTTAGCCACAACCAGCACCATCTTCTTGCAATTGTTGAAAATGGTTTTTTTACAATTTATTAAATATAAAGTTTATTCAAAAAAATTAAAGCATTTATTCATATTTATTAAATCTTGTTTTTTTTTTAAGACAAAATATATTAAAAATAAACTCATTTTTAGTTAACTATTGCAAAGGAATGACTTCCACCACATGCAATCTTTATCACATTTTCCATTACTAATAAAGGAGAATATCTACTACTATTAGGGGATTCAGTCTCTGAACCTCTTCCTAATTAACCTTCTTTTCCCCTTCCATGCATATATAGTTTATTATTACTTACAATACCTACATGAGCTTATCCACAAGAGACCTTATCAATATTTTGATCAAATTATATTTAATGAGGTGTTGGTATATCTTATTTACTAGGTGTTCCCAATTAACCATCTCCTCCAAAACCCCAAGTATATAAAACACCTTCTTTACTCAAAGCAGCAATGAATTGTTCACCACAAGAAAATTATTTAATTTTTGGCAATCCTTTGATTTGTTATGGTATTTATACTACTGAAGGACTTGGAGTACCTAATTAACCAAAGTAATTACTACCCCATGCGAACATACTTAATTAATATTCATATATACTTTCCATCAGAATCAAGTGCAACACTGAAATCAGTACCACTATCAATTTATACAATATTTTTTAAATTTTATATTTGTTTAAAATTAGGTTCTTCAATATTTTTTGTTTCATATCCTAAAATACCTTTTTTATTCAATCCAACTGAATAAACATTTCCTTCATCTGATAGTATTATTGTAAATTGATCTCCTAAAGCTACTTATTGTACTTTAAAATTTAATTTTACTAATTCTGGTAATTTAGCAGATCCCAAATTCTTTTAATATTCATATTTTTCTCTAGATGGTAATTTTGCTGAGTTATCAAATGTTTAACCAAGTTTGCCATGATCTTAATTACCCCATGTATACAACTGTCCATCTGTGGTTATTGCAGCCATATGATAATTGCCACATGCAACATATTTAAAATCTAAATGTTTTAAACATTCAACAAGTGTAGGAATATTGATATTTTCTACTTATCCATTGCCTAAGAGTCCGAATTTTGATCTTCCCCATGTATACAATTTTCCAGATTTATCAATTGCTGCAGAAACACTTGATTTACAAGCCACAAATAAAACATTTTATATAGGGACTAATTAAGGAGAATATTAAGAAATGGAATTTCCAATGCCTAATTATCCAAAATTATTCCATCCCTTAATATATTTTTATAAGATTACCCATGCATATAATTATTCTTAAGAAAATACAAAGCTAGAAGTAAATGTAATGGATGATCCGATGAATGCAATTTTTAGACAATTTTATAAGGCTCTTCTCCACATTTAATATTTATATATTATTAATTAATATCATTATTAAAGGAAATTTAGTTGTTATTTTTGTGTATATTTTTAATGAAAATAATTTACTATCATTAGAAGATTGCCCTTTGTTCTGCTGCATATTAAGATTCCATTCTCAGATTTAGGCTCTTAAATACACATTCGATAGAGTCAACCAACTAATCAATCATTTCCTCGGTATGTAAAGGAGTAGGAGATATACGTAATATCTCTTATCTAAAATAATATAGGAATATCATATTACCCTCTTGGAACTGTTGGATAGTTGATCGGTTATATATAGATATTGTATTCGTTTAGTAGTTTTTCAGAAGCCTCTTTACATAAAACAGGATCTCCTATAAAAACTGGAACAATATGGGAAGCACTATTGAGAGCTGGAATGCCCTTACTCTTAAGTTTAGCTTTAATAAGAGAAGCCACATATTGATGTCTTTCTCTAATTTCTGGATGTGTTTTGAGATATTTAACAGACTCCAAACAAGCTGCTGCTATTATTGGAGACATTGATGTTGAAAAAATAAAATTACTAGCAGTACTTCTAACTGCATCTACAATTTCTGAATTTGCTGAAACATAACCTCCAGAACATCCAAATGCTTTGCCCAATGTTCCTGTAACTATATCTATCTCTTTTTATAATCCAAGTTTTTCTGTTACACCTGCCCCTCTATCACCATACATACCTACAGCATGTACTTCATCAATAAGAGTAAGAGCATTGTATTTCTTTGCTAAGTTGATAAACTCTTAGATTGGTGCAACAGTACCGTTCATAGAATAAACAGATTCAAATACTATTACTTTGTTTTATTAAATATCTAATTTTGTACAATATAAAAATACCTAATTATTTTAATTTCTCTTCCAAATCTTTATAATCATTATGTTTAAAAATGACTCTATCTCGTTTAGTAGCTCTCATTCCTTCAATTAGAGATGCATGATTCTTGGCATCACTCAAAAATGTCACATCCTTTAAAACTTTACCGAGTGTATCCAATGTGGCCATATTGGCAACATACCCACTGTTCATAACTAAAGCACTGTCTTTCTTATGTAAATCAGCTAGTTCTCTTTCCAACTCAACATGGTAGATACTTGTGCCACCTATATTACGTGTTCCACCTGCTCCTATTCCTGTAAGATCAATTGCATTTTTTGTGGCTTATGTTACCATTGGATTTTAAGACATTCCTACTGTTAACTCATTAATCTTACCTAAATAATCGTTGCTGCACCATAATGTAATTGCTTAATCTCCAGAAGGAGTCTTATTGATGGCTCTTGGAAATTCTCCATTTGTTCGTAATAAACTCTTGAATTCTCTGTATCGTCCTTCATCTTTTATTTACTGAATAACCCCTTTGAATTGGTTACTATAAAATTAAGTATGGTCAATTGGACACTTCTTTGTCTCAGATCTAGAAATCTAATTATAATTTACTTCATTTCCTTAAAATGAAGATAAGGGCAAAATTTAGTATATTTGGTTATAGCTTATTCTGATGTCATATTTATATTGAAGGTCTTTAAGAATGGACATTTAGTATGTTGTAAAGTTTTCTGATGCAAATTAATACCAACTCTCATAATAAATTTAGTTAAAATGTGTATCCAATATTAATAAGCATTTAATACACAATAATTGCATCATTATACATATAATGTCGTTTTTAAATTATTATTACAAAATCCATGTAAAACTCATAAAGTGAATTGGGGCAACATGATCCATGGTCATTGTATTTGCCATATGACAACAAATATGAGCTTTAAGGATGTTGCTTCAAAACTAGACCTAATTGGAGAGATATGAAAGGTATCAAAACATTAACAACAAGATAGAACTATTATTACAAATATTTAAGATCATGAATTACCAGATAATACAATTAGAACCTGTAAATATACACTATGGACATTTCTACCTTTGAACTTAATGGAATAATTTTCAAAAATGGCAAATATTTATTTTTTAATTGTTGGATATTTGGAAACTATAGATTTAGTTTCAATTACAGACGGTTAACCTGTTATATGGTTTCCATTATTTGTAGTCATTGCAATATCAGCATTCAAAGATTTTTTAGAAGATCATAAACGTTAGATTTCTGATTAAGATGAGAATAATCGGTATTAATTATTATAATTTAATTAAAAGTATAGCATTGGTGTTGACATCTTACGGGTTGGTTGAAAAGAAATGGTAACAAATTTTGGTAGGAGACATTATTAGAATTGAATAAGGAGAATATTTTCCTGCAGATGTAATAGTAATCAAAACAAGTTAAAAAGGAACATGTTTCATTGAAACTAAAAATCTAGATGGAGAAACTAACCTTAAAATCAAAAAATAACATAAAGGTCTTTAATTCACAAGAGGTTTAAATGATCATCTGTTACAAAAAGAGCATATCTTAGTCCATTATGATAAACCTAATCCATATTTGTATAAATTTAATGGTACAATTACAATGCCTCCTGATCATTATAGTGATGGAGATTAATCAAGAGATTCGATTATTAATTATGATGCATTACATAGAAAAGTTTATTAATTGGATGAAGTTAATTTTATTCTTAGAGGATGTTCATTGAGAAACACACATTGGATTTATGGATTAGTTGTTTATACAGGATTTGATACTAAGATCATGTTAAATTCAACAAAAGCCAGACCTAAGTCAAGTACTTTAGAATCATAAATGAATTTCTTTATTATTCTAGTATTTTTTATGTAAAATTATATCATATTAAAATAGATAATTAGTAATTTGTTTATTCTCAGCATAATATTCAGTTTTTTGGTAATTAGATAATTTTATGGATATTCCTTATTTGGAATTAGATGAGAATGATCTTTAAACAAATATAGTATTTAGAACAATGGAGAGATGGGGAACTTGGTTATTGATTTATACTAATTTTGTTCCAATATCTTTATTAGTGACTCTAGAAATGGTATGAAAATAATTTGGTATCTAGTGTAGGTTAAATATTTACAAGGTATGATGATAGAAAATGATAAATAGTGTAAGTCATAAAATCATAGAACTGAAGTATAAACTTCAAATCTTAATGAAGAATTAGGTAATGTAAAATATATGTTTACTGATAAAACTGGAACTATAACAAAGAATTTAATGGAATTTAAAATGATATCCATTTATGGTAAATCATATGGAAATTTAAGCAATAGAAGTTAAATATTAACCAATGAAGATTTAATAAAAATGCCTTAAGTAACAAATGTAGATTTTAAAGATAAACAACTCTTCAATGATTTAAATTAAAATGATGAACATTCTACAAGAATAGTAGAATACTTTATGCATCTAACGTTATGTCACACAATATTGGTGGAATATGAGTAGGGCAAAATTAAGTATAATGCATCTTCACCAGATGAATTAGCACTACTTATGGGAGCTAAGTTTTGTGGATTTGAGTATATTGGATTAGATGATGGAATGATGATTGTTAAGTATAAAGATTAGTTGATAAAATATAAGTTATTATAAGTATTAGAGTTTAGTTCATCAAGAAAGAGAATGTCTGTTATTGTTTAAGATTAAAATGATTAAATTATGTTATTATGTAAAGGAGCTGATTCAATGATAATAAATTTAATTGATAAATAAAATAGATAAAATTAAGAGTTATTATCTATCACAGAATAACATTTAGAGTAATATGCTGAAAAGGGATTAAGAACTTTATTGTTAGCCTATAAAGATTTGAGTAAATAATAATATGATGAATGGATAAGTAATTATTTGTAAGCAGGTTTGTAGACTATTAATAGAGATGAATAATTGTTAAATTTACAAGATTAAATAGAAAACAACTTAGTTTTAATTGGAGGAACTGGAATTGAGGATAAATTATAAGATGATGTTGGTAATACAATGTAGAAGATATTGAATGCAGGTATTAAAATATGGGTATTGACAGGTGATAAATTAGAAACTGCTATAAATATTAGTTATGCTTGTAATTTGTTAAATGATTCATAATAAAAAATTGTAATTTAAGCAGATGATTAATTTGAAGCATAATTTAAAATTAATTAAGGTTTAGATTTATTAAAATCTTAATTCTAAAATAATTCAACTGCATTAATCATTTCAGGTGATTCATTAATACATTTAGATGAAAAGTATTAAATTAAACTTATTGATTTGGCTAAATAATGTCATACTGTTTTAGCTTGTAGAGTATCACCTAAATAAAAATAAGAATTAGTGTAATTGGTTAAAGATAATATATATAATATAGTGACTATGGCTGTAGGTGATGGAGCTNTAGTGTAAGTCATAAAATCATAGAACTGAAGTATAAACTTCAAATCTTAATGAAGAATTAGGTAATGTAAAATATATGTTTACTGATAAAACTGGAACTATAACAAAGAATTTAATGGAATTTAAAATGATATCCATTTATGGTAAATCATATGGAAATTTAAGCAATAGAAGTTAAATATTAACCAATGAAGATTTAATAAAAATGCCTTAAGTAACAAATGTAGATTTTAAAGATAAACAACTCTTCAATGATTTAAATTAAAATGATGAACATTCTACAAGAATAGTAGAATACTTTATGCATCTAACGTTATGTCACACAATATTGGTGGAATATGAGTAGGGCAAAATTAAGTATAATGCATCTTCACCAGATGAATTAGCACTACTTATGGGAGCTAAGTTTTGTGGATTTGAGTATATTGGATTAGATGATGGAATGATGATTGTTAAGTATAAAGATTAGTTGATAAAATATAAGTTATTATAAGTATTAGAGTTTAGTTCATCAAGAAAGAGAATGTCTGTTATTGTTTAAGATTAAAATGATTAAATTATGTTATTATGTAAAGGAGCTGATTCAATGATAATAAATTTAATTGATAAATAAAATAGATAAAATTAAGAGTTATTATCTATCACAGAATAACATTTAGAGTAATATGCTGAAAAGGGATTAAGAACTTTATTGTTAGCCTATAAAGATTTGAGTAAATAATAATATGATGAATGGATAAGTAATTATTTGTAAGCAGGTTTGTAGACTATTAATAGAGATGAATAATTGTTAAATTTACAAGATTAAATAGAAAACAACTTAGTTTTAATTGGAGGAACTGGAATTGAGGATAAATTATAAGATGATGTTGGTAATACAATGTAGAAGATATTGAATGCAGGTATTAAAATATGGGTATTGACAGGTGATAAATTAGAAACTGCTATAAATATTAGTTATGCTTGTAATTTGTTAAATGATTCATAATAAAAAATTGTAATTTAAGCAGATGATTAATTTGAAGCATAATTTAAAATTAATTAAGGTTTAGATTTATTAAAATCTTAATTCTAAAATAATTCAACTGCATTAATCATTTCAGGTGATTCATTAATACATTTAGATGAAAAGTATTAAATTAAACTTATTGATTTGGCTAAATAATGTCATACTGTTTTAGCTTGTAGAGTATCACCTAAATAAAAATAAGAATTAGTGTAATTGGTTAAAGATAATATATATAATATAGTGACTATGGCTGTAGGTGATGGAGCTAATGATGTAAATATGATAACAGCAGCTAATATTGGAATAGGTATCAAAGGTGTAGAAGGTAATTAAGCAGCAAGAGCAGCAGATTATTCAATTGGTGAATTTAAAATATTACAATAATTGTTACTCTATCATGGAAGAGAATGTTATAGAAGAAATCAAGTATTAGTAGGATATAACTTTTATAAAAATCTACTTATTGTATTACCACACTTTTGGTTTTCATTTTACAATGGATTTTCACCTCTTAATTTATATGATCCTTGGCTTTATCAATTTTATAATATGTTTTATACAAGTGTACCTATTATGGTTTATGCAATTCTAGATTAATAATATTCATCTAAATTTCTATTATAAAGTATTCTATTTATATATTATACATAGATCCATAATTATATTAAACTAATAATAAAGTAACATTGCTTACTTTCTTTTTTTGGTTTTGTTCTGGTGGTATATAATCAGCCATAGTTATTTATGCAGTATTTCCATCTATGGTATAAACAAGTATAGATAAAGAAGGAAGAATCCTCTTTCTTTCATCAGTAGGTATGGCTGTATTCTGTTATGCCATCATTATAGTAAATCTTAAAGTCTTTGTCTTTTCTTATATCAATTCTATAGGATCTGTACTATTTATATTTGGATCTATATTTATGTATCTGTTAACCTATATGATACTATCATAATTCACAAACAAATTGGATGTTTCACATACATTCATTCATTTATTTTCAAATATTTAATTTTACTTTATTTTGAGTGGAATATTAGTTTTAACAATTCTTTTTGATTTAGCATTATAAAGATGGTCAATATTTTCGGAATAATAATTATTTGAAATCCAAAAAATTAGGGATATATAAGAACCTGTTTCATCATAAAAGTCAAGATTTGGAAGTACTCCTCCTTCATCATTGATGCCACCTGATAAATTTGAAAATCTATTCTAAGAAGATGATGTATATGATGATACATCAGCTCTTCTCCCAGTTAGACCAGTTAGAAATAGAAAATATACTGGTTATGCCTTTGCTTAATAAGAAAAGAAACTTGATGAAGCTCTTAGGAATGCAGAAAATTGAAATCATATAACAGAAAATGAATTATTTTCATTTATATGTAAATATATATAACTTCTTTATATATAAGAAGAAAAATAATCTCTAAATCATATTAATTCTTAATATTATTCCTAAAATGATATAATTTTTATATCAAATTCAATACTCCTTTAAGTTGAGTATTAAATATAATCATAAATCTATATATGATTTTTAATTATTGATAAAAAAACAATGTAGATACTATTAATAATGAAGACATCAATGTTCTTTTAAATATTTCTAATTCAATAGTTTAGTTCTGTTAGCATTAAAATAAGATGTATCAAAATTTAAACATCAATTGTAAAATATACACAATATGCTTACCTTTATTTATCTATTTAATATAAAATTCCAAAATCCATTATATATATTTCAATTTATTTATTAAAAAGATGGTTCTTGTATATATTGACTCATTGCCAAAAGAAATTAAAAATCATTTTAAATATACATTAGATCCGTTTAATCCATCTAATTATTCCAAGTTGAATGAAATTAAACTTTAAATAGATTAATATAATGATGATCATATAGATTAATTAAATATCCAAGAGATTATTGGCACTAAGTTCATAATGTAGAGTAACTTATAAGAATTATAAATTGTATGAGAAGCAGATAACAGACCAAAAGAAATCTTGGATGAAATAAAAGTAAGAGAAATGAGATTTAAAGATAGAGCATTCATATAAAAATCATCTTAATTGACTAAAGGGGAATTTTAAGAGAATAAAATAAGAGCCCATTAAAGAATATGAATTATCATTTATTTTTAGCATATTTGCAAGACGATTATTAGGTTATTATCTTGGAATTTATTTCTTTGAATTTAATTATGATTAATAATTAGAATTAACTGCTTTCTTTTTGATTGGAGCATTGATTATTGAAATTGGGTTATATATAGTAAAATTAATGAAGGATTAGGAAAATAAATTAGAGATAGAATAGTAAATAAAAAAAGACTTTTCCAATTAAATTAAAAAAAGAATGATTAATTTTATAGTTAATTATGTATTTTAGCAATAAAGCTTCTTCATTTAGTAATGCAGAAACCAATACAGATTTGAATATGCAGTATGATTCAATGATACATGTCGAATAAATGTCTAAGATGAACAATACTAAAATTCGTTTGTATTGTTAATTATCAGAATATGAAGGGAAATTGTATAATTCATATTTATAGAGTAGACCTAACTTTAATGAATTACTATTTGATCCCTCTAGTTTGGGTAGATATAAGAATTTTGTTGGAGCATCTTCGAAGATTGCAAACTATATAAAACTACTTGATCCGAAAATAAGAAAGGAATTTATTGTTGAAGAAAAGTATGATGATTATTTGAAGTAAATGATTTAATAACTATTATATAAAGACAATCAAGTAACAATAAAAAAGAGTGCGATAGAATTAAAGCTTTAATTGATCAACATAATTCGATTTATACACTTAATCTTAAAGGTATAGAAGGTATTGAATATTCTCGTAAGAATAATTAAAGGAAAAGAATTCCTTGTAAATTGACATCTATTTCTACTGCAAGACAATCAGAATCAACAACTAATGAATATATAAAAGATGTAGATTTAAGGAGAATTCATGCAACTTAAAGAGGAAGAAAAGTCAAAGTAAAACCATTAAAATATAAATAATAATCTGAATTGATTTTTAATGATTCTCCAAGAAGTGTACCTTTATAACCAGTTAGACGATCTTAATTGTACTAACTCCTTGTTAATTGAATGTTTACAATATTATATATATAAACTTATAAAAGATTCTTGTATAAATTAATTAAATATTAATATGTAAGAAGAATTATCTTATAATCCTGAAATAATGAAATCCTAATTAGGAATGTTGCCACCAATTGAATAGTTTACATTACAACAATTAGCAAATAAGAGAAAAGTTAACTTTAATATGATGCTTTCATTACCAGTTAATTATTTAAATGTCTATTTGTAGTTTTTATTAAAGGATAAATAATTAGAAGATCGAAAAGATACTATTGCTATATATAGAAAAAGAAAATTTGAACCTTTATAACCATAGAAACACAATATTCCATTAATAAATAGTGGTAGAATTCATTGTACTGAATTATGGTCAGATAAATATTAGACAACAGCCTTACGTGATTCACATATTGAGAAAAATCTAAATAAGTATAAATAAATAATCAAAACTAATATTCAAGAATATTTAATCAAATTTGAAATATAAGCTAAAGAATAGTTAGAAGAAGCACGCAAGTATTTTTATTAAATGAAATTAATTAAGTATTAAATATTCAGAAATTTACAAAAAATAACCATCAATTTCAGAAGATGATTTTATTCCTACATAAAATGAATTGAATGTAAGTCTATGCACATAAGATGAAATATTTAATTTCTATAAAGAACCAAAGAAATATAATGTAACTTAACTCCAAAAAACTAGTTTACGTAATTTAGACAAGATTACAAATAGTAGTCTAAAATAGAGTTATATAGATAAATTTGATAAAGTAATTAGTGTTTGTGATAGATATTCTATTAATTCAAATAGAAATTCAATGGATTATATTAAGTATAATGATATATAATAATAATAAGTACAATTGAATATGGTAAAATTAAAAAGAAGAAAAGAAATATTATTGATATCAAAACAAGTAGTAGCCATATTAATTGATACTTAATTATATATATATATATATATTTATGATCAATAAAGATATTCAGATTAATGTCTTAATTCTTTAAAAAGAAGATGCAAAACAAGATTTTCTTAGATTCATTGTCTTATGATTACAAAAGTAAGGTTAAAATTTATGTTAGATTATTGAGACAGCAGTTTAAGGAACAGGTGGAGTTTAAGACTAAATTTCTTTTGTTTCTGAAAGAATTTTTAATATGGGATCTTTCTTTAATTATTCAAATATTTTGGGACTGTACTTGTTCAATTAAAGTAGTACAAATTATTATTATTTTTATGTAAATCCTAATTTCTATGTTACTCTTCGAATATGAATGCTAGGTGTACTAGGGGAATCAGACATTAAATCAGATCCTTTTTTCTCCAATGTTCGTTAATAGTAAGTACGATCTTTGGCAAAAGTTCTGTATACTTTAATGTCTTATAAACTTCCAAAAATAGAATCACGACTTGTCATAGTATGTTAATGTTATGGATTAAATTAACTAGGTTTTGTTGTATNAGTTTTTATTAAAGGATAAATAATTAGAAGATCGAAAAGATACTATTGCTATATATAGAAAAAGAAAATTTGAACCTTTATAACCATAGAAACACAATATTCCATTAATAAATAGTGGTAGAATTCATTGTACTGAATTATGGTCAGATAAATATTAGACAACAGCCTTACGTGATTCACATATTGAGAAAAATCTAAATAAGTATAAATAAATAATCAAAACTAATATTCAAGAATATTTAATCAAATTTGAAATATAAGCTAAAGAATAGTTAGAAGAAGCACGCAAGTATTTTTATTAAATGAAATTAATTAAGTATTAAATATTCAGAAATTTACAAAAAATAACCATCAATTTCAGAAGATGATTTTATTCCTACATAAAATGAATTGAATGTAAGTCTATGCACATAAGATGAAATATTTAATTTCTATAAAGAACCAAAGAAATATAATGTAACTTAACTCCAAAAAACTAGTTTACGTAATTTAGACAAGATTACAAATAGTAGTCTAAAATAGAGTTATATAGATAAATTTGATAAAGTAATTAGTGTTTGTGATAGATATTCTATTAATTCAAATAGAAATTCAATGGATTATATTAAGTATAATGATATATAATAATAATAAGTACAATTGAATATGGTAAAATTAAAAAGAAGAAAAGAAATATTATTGATATCAAAACAAGTAGTAGCCATATTAATTGATACTTAATTATATATATATATATATATTTATGATCAATAAAGATATTCAGATTAATGTCTTAATTCTTTAAAAAGAAGATGCAAAACAAGATTTTCTTAGATTCATTGTCTTATGATTACAAAAGTAAGGTTAAAATTTATGTTAGATTATTGAGACAGCAGTTTAAGGAACAGGTGGAGTTTAAGACTAAATTTCTTTTGTTTCTGAAAGAATTTTTAATATGGGATCTTTCTTTAATTATTCAAATATTTTGGGACTGTACTTGTTCAATTAAAGTAGTACAAATTATTATTATTTTTATGTAAATCCTAATTTCTATGTTACTCTTCGAATATGAATGCTAGGTGTACTAGGGGAATCAGACATTAAATCAGATCCTTTTTTCTCCAATGTTCGTTAATAGTAAGTACGATCTTTGGCAAAAGTTCTGTATACTTTAATGTCTTATAAACTTCCAAAAATAGAATCACGACTTGTCATAGTATGTTAATGTTATGGATTAAATTAACTAGGTTTTGTTGTATCTATTTTCTTGAAAGATTTCTAAAATTTAGTCTTCATTCTTCCCTTTATTGCTCTTCTACGTAAGTCTTTAACTCTATCTAGAAATTGATGTTACTCAATTATTGTTTTTGGGTACTTCATATCTATGTTTTGCTTGCCATAACTTAAAAAAATACAATTTTTTCAGAAATTACTCCATCACACTCACTTTTTCTTCTTTATCTAAATGGAGTATCAATAATTTTGATTAATCTAAAACTATGTATTTCACTATTTGTTTTATGTAGACTCTTTAAAACAAAACTAGTTTCTACTTTTCTATAAAACTTATCTTAAATTTCAATTTTCTAGAACTTAACTCTCTAATTTTCTGAACCATCATTAGCAAGTAATCTGGGATACTGTTTACAATTATTATCTTATGTTATACTCATTAAATTCCTCATTAAATTAATTAAATGTCAACATCAACAAAGAATACATATAAATTGCTATAATAAATAAAATAAATTTCAAATTTTAAGTTTTATCTAATGCATTAGTAACCAAGACTATCTCCAGTTTCATCCAGTCCATTGCATCAAAATTAAATCATTACTTGTAACACATTTAATTAATTTTAGAACAAATAAATAGATAATAATGTTACTAATAGACAATATCCAATTCCAAAATGTCATAAACTAAAAATAAAATATGTAAATATTTGATATAATTTTGTTAGTTTAAGATTCTTAATAGTAATTAAAAGAAAAAGATAATCTAATTAAATAATAATTATTCTCTAAAGGATTGAAATAATATCAACAAAATGATCTATAAAGTAAATCAAACAGTATATAAATTTCATAAACTAATTAAAATACTAATTCAAATTTAAACTTATTATAATGCACATCTTATTTTGATGATGCACTTAAAAATTAAAAAGAAGAATTCTTAAAATTAATTGAACAATAAAATAAATAAATTGAAATTCTCCATTAATAATAATAAATTATATTACATCAAGAGAGAATGAAACAATAAGATTATGAAACATAATTATGTTAAATTAAAAATTAATTAAAATAGTAAATTAATAGTAAATGTAAAGAAATTTTCAATAAAATTTAAAAATAATAATAGTCTGATTTTCAATTATTAGAAGCAGAAATTGCCAAACTTTCTTAATTAATTAATTAATCCTCAAATCTAACTAAAATTAAATTATCTTCTAGTGGAAAAGAGAATTAATTATAACAACCTTAAGATAAATAAATATAACATTTAGAATATAATAATAATTCTTTAGTAAACTCAGATTTATACATTAAAAAATTTAACTTTGAATCCATCAATCAAAAAACAAATGATCTTAAATTACCTGAGCATATTAGTGTTTTATTGAATTCAAATAATTAATCAAATAGTGAAATTTAAGAAATAGAACTAATTTAATCAGAATTAAATTTATTTAATGTTTCAAATCAATTAAAATAAGATAATATATAAGAAAATATGCCATCTCCATTAAAAACAATAATCACAAAAAGAAAGGATTAATAGGGATTTGATAAATAAGATTCTCCATTTAAAAATCTCAATGATTAAGATATGTTAGATAGTCTAGATGATATTATTGTTTAAGATTCTACATAATAATAATAATAATTATTATCACATAAAAATGAATTCAATCTTCTTAAATGTAAACATATTTCTTTATATTTTAGCTTAAGGAATGTCTGTTATACAAGAAGATGAAGATGATGATGAAGAATTAATCTATCAAATTGATGAAAATGGATTTATTCTCACTTAAGATGGACATCCATTAATTGATGAAAAAGGAAAAAGAATTTAACTTACAAAATAAGAAATGTAATTTTATAAAGTTTAAACTCTTAATTGAATGTTTTTATTTATTTTCTCTTATTAATCTTTTTATATCAATTTTTTAATTTAAAAGAATTTTAATAAATAATTCATAATTTTTAGATATAAGAATCGGCACAACATCCAATATGTCCAAATTCATTCTTTCCTAAAATCCATCCTTCTACTTATGAAATTGCTTCAATCTTTTCATCTATTAAAATTAATTCACTATTAATTACTTTTATTTATCTATAAATATCTTGGATCTATTGATGCAAAATATTATTTAGCTCTATAAGTTGTCTTTCTAAATGTAACTTCTTATTCTAATTCAGTATAAAGATCAATCAAATGTTCATAACTAATCTTAATATCTAATGGCTTAGGAAGTTCTATTGATGGATCAAAGTACTAAATTGAATACATTTAAATAATTTTTAATAATTCCTATTAAGTTTGTGGTACTTCATAATTATATAAACAACCATTTTATTTGACTAAAATTTATATGACAATTTAAATACTTGGATCTTATTTCTTTTCACTGAAACTGTTTTCTGTATGATATATTAGAGAGGGACTCTGTTTTTTCGAATTATCATTACTTTTTATTTTAATAAAATCAGAAACAACAGAATCTTTAGATTCGAAATCTGATCTTGTTTTATTTGGTGTTAAAGGACTATAATAATTGTATTGACTATTTATTAATCTTGTTTTTGGATATTTTTTAGCTTATTGTTCTAAATCTTCTAATAATCTTTTATTTAATGGATTTTTATAAAATTCATTTTAACTAAAAAATGGAGATCCCCATCTATAAAATCCTTGTAATTTAGGACTCTAACATTTTATATCTTTTTTGGGGCTTCTTTTAGGTGTTGAAAAGGGTTTAAAATTTGATTAAGCTTATTTATAAAGGATTAAAAGTTAAATTAAATGGCTTGCAGAAATCCTAAAAAAAGAATTTGATATAATATTATTACTCAAGTAAAGGATTAAGAGTTTATTAATTTTTCATAACTTCATCAGTTAAAAGATGAATTATTTAATCAACAGTAATATCATCAAAAATCAATTAAAATATGGTTATTATATCATTAAATTTTAGTGTTATATCATCTAATTGTTATTCCTTTTTTATTTTTGTAAAATCTCTCATTATTTAATTACACTTTTAATAAAGTTAGGCATTATTTCTACATTAATCAGTTTAGAATAAATATAAAAATATAGCCGATAATTTAGTATTATGTTATTCTAACGAATTAAGGTAAGAATTAAAAATCTCATAAGTTTTGCTTCTTGATTGATTTTTTTAAAACTAATATGATATCATTTATACTTTACTGTAAATTCAATAAAGAAGCAAATCAAAGATTATTATTTAGATTTAATGAATTAAATGATTAAGTCATGACACATCACCAAAATGTTGGAATATAAGTTAATTTATTTATTTGGACTAATAAAACCAATATTTTCAATCTTGGCAAGAATGTTTCTAATACTAACAGGATTGAATGAATCAAATTATTCCATTTAACAAACAATTTATAAATAAATATAGTTATTTTATTTGATATGAAAAAATTAATCATTTTCCTTTTCATATCAAATAAAATCACTATCTATTTAACTTATTTTTTATACATCAAAATAGTTAAAAATGCATATACAAATAGTAATAAATTTTATGTTTATGGAAAGTTTAATTGTTAAATTTGATTATAATAGGATAGAATAATATATAATGGAGTAACTGTCATTATGAAGAGTTTTCAAAATTGATAAACACAAATGTGAATAGATTAGTTATTAATTAATTTTATTAAATATTATAATGAGCACAGTGACTAATGAATCAAAGAAGAAGGAAACTATTGACAAGGCACTTATTTAGTAGTAAAGGGAACAATTAAAGTAGACAGTTTTAGAAAGATTTATTAAAGATTTCGGTAAGAACAACAAAAACAAAATATAAGTAACTTACATTTTAGAGAATAGATAATCACTTAAATAGTGAACGATTATTTTACAAAAACTAGAGTGACTGATGTAACTTTGAAATCTCTTAAATAATAAGTTTAATAAGCAATTCAAAATGCAGGATCAACTACACAATCATAAGCTGAAAAATCAATATAGGAATCTTAAGGTATTAGATTACTATAAATAATATAAGTCACTTAATAATAGTAAGCATAAGTTGTTCAATAACAGAAGCCACCTAGTAGTCAATCTAGAAAATCAAATTAATAACAATAATAATTGTAATAATATAATTAAGATGCTCATTCAGAAATATCATCTAAAGTATTCATTTATATGTATAATGTAATAAGGCTCCAAAATCTGTGTATATGATGGAAGGTGATGAAGATGATGAATGGGCTACGTTAGTTAAGTTCGATACTGAATTATATAAGAAGGAGAAGGAACTTGAAAATGTTAGAAAATAAGAATTCAAAAAGAAAATAAAGTCTGAATTAGATAGATAATTAAATGAAAAATAAAATAAAAAATAAGAGGAGGTTTAAGATGAAGATGCTTATGTTAAATTACATCATTATTAATTAAATGTTTATGATTAAAGAGAGAAAGAGAAATAAGATAATCTTAAAAGCAAAATATTTAATGAAAAATTATAGAGAGACAAATAAGTTAGAGATGAATAACAAAGAAAGTATTAAAATAAAAAAGATATTATTTAGAAAAGTAGAATAAAAAAAGGAGAAAGAGTTAGATAGTCTACTTGTTAAAAAGATTAGAGAGGAATTGGAAATGGAATAGAGAGAATAACTTAATAGAAGAAATAAAGAAAGAGAAAGATTCTTAAGAATGATGAAGGAAAATGAGGAATATAGAAAAAAGGCATTAGAAGATGCTAAATTAGAAAAAGAAGCTGAAACTTAAATGTAATAACAATACATTAATTTGTAAAATCAATTAGAAGAATAAAGAGATTTGGAAAGGAAATAAAGAGAAGAAAAGATGAAGAAAGTAATGGGAATGTTTGCTGAAGGTGTTGTGAGAGATCAAAAGGAATTGATAAAATAAGAAGATGAAAAAATGTTAAGAAATATTATAGCATAAAATGAAAGAGAAAAAATAGAAGAGGAAAAGAAGAAAATTAAATAATTAGATTAAAGATAATAATTAAGATCATTTTTAAATTCTTAAATAGAAGAAAAAAAGAGAAGATAAGAAGAAGAAGAAGAATTAAACAAAAGATAAGCTGAAATTTGGAAATAAGATTTGAATAATTATAATGATCATGAGAAAAAGAAATTTGATGTATAAATATTTAGAATAATAATTAGTATATAAAAGAAGTAAATTTAAGACATGCAGATATATTAAAAAGTTAGATTGAGGAAAAATAAGGTAAAATTAAAAAGAAAACAAATAAAATGAATACAGCAGAATTGCTTTAAAATAAAGACAAACTTAAAGTTATTGCATAAGAAGTTCCAGAACTTGGAGAAAAAGTAAAGAAGATTGAGATTTGATTTATCAAAAATAAATATATTATATAATTTAGTTATATATATCTAACATTGGAAAGAATAAAAGAATATTTTAATTTATTATTAATATTCTTTTTAATTGAAGAATCAATATGACAATTGAATTTTTATAATTATAGATTTTTATCTTTAGACTTTTTTTATTTAAATGAATTAAATTTATACATAATAATATATCTTCAATATTTTGACTTAATTATTTATCAAATATAAATAAATATCTTAAATTAATACTATGTTAAATACCTTATCAAATTTTTTATATATGATAATATCAAATAAATATACTTTCTATAGCATTATTTTGAATTAGGCAAATCATTTATACATAAAACATATAAATTTTTCAATAGATATAGATATCATTATTAATGTAATAAGAAGTAAATATTCATTTATATTTATTTAGAATTAAATTTAAAAAATAAGATTAACTTTTAAGGTAACAAATCATATGCTGCAAAAAAGCTTAAATTTAAAGTTAATAGTAACACTTTAGAAATAACTAAATTGAAAATGAAAATATACTTTAAATTATCCTAAAGATTAGCGAGAAATTGAAAATCAATGGTTATTCTAAAATATCATTCAATATTTTAGTAATAAAATTGATAAAATGACACATATTCACCTCTTGTAATGGATTTAAATTATGATGTAAGTATATTATTCAATACTTAATAAGGATTTAACTATATTTAGTGATATAATTTAAGTTAATGTCGAAAAGAGGATATAATCAAATTAATAAATTAAAGAAATAGGTGGTAAAATAAAATGTAGAATAGTGAAAAAATAACTGAAAAAAATGAAGTAGTAAATAGTAAAAATTAAAATAATAATTTGGATTACCAACTCAATTAAGCCAAAAAAGTATATTAAAATATTACTCATCGTATTAAGTAAGTGGTGACTAAATAACCTGTTTTATTAGAGGGAGGATAATTGAAATAATATTAAGTATAAGGATTGGATTGGCTAGTGAGTTTATATGATAATAATTTAAATGGTATATTGGCAGATGAAATGGGTTTGGGTATGACTATCTAAGCAATCTCCTTTTTATGTTATTTGATAGAGACCAAGAAAAATTATGGTCCTTTCTTTATTATTGCCCCATTGTCGACTTTAAGTAATTGGGAGAATGAATTCGAAAAATGGGCTCCAAAAATAAAGAAAGTAATTTATAAAGGAGCAACTTAAGTTAGATAGGAAATTTCTAAATAAATGAGCACAACAATCTGGAATATTTGTCTTACTACTTATGAATTTTTACTATAAGATAACTTAGAATTATCAAAATATCAATGGAAATATATAATTGTTGATGAAAGTCATAGTTTGAAAAATTCTATGAAAAAATTAGATATAACTTTAGGTTAATAATATTAAAACGAGAGGAGATTACTATTAACATCAGCTCCTTTATAAAATAATATAGCAGAACTAAGGGCATAGTTGAAGTTTTTATTGCCAAAAGTGTTTTCATCAGATGAAGATTTTGAGAAGTGGTTTTAAATGCCTTAAAGCCAGATGGGATTTAATGAGAAAGATTGTTAATTGGATGAAGAAAAATAATTATTGATTGTTAGCAGATTACAATAAGTTCTAAGACCTTTTCTTTTAAGGAGGTTAAAAAAGGATGTTGAAAAAGAGTTGCAACAATAGACAGAATATGTTATTAAGGTAAAACTATCAGCTTGGTAAAAAAAGATTTATGACTAAATTTATTAAAGAGACATCACCATTATTGATTAGTAAATGGGACAAAGTGGATAATAAGCTATATATAATATAATGATGTAATTAAGAAAAATATGCAATCATCCATATTTATTCATGTAGAATTTGGATTTGAATAAAATTACAGATGAAATATGGAGATCAAGTGGAAAGTTTGAATTATTAGATAGAATAATTCCTAAATTACTTTACTTTAAACATAAGTTATTGATATTTACTTAAATGACCTAATTAATGGATATAATGGAAACATACTTTAAATACAGAGGTTGGTAATATTTAAGTGTAGATGAATCCATAAAATTAGAAGAACGGGAAAGTAGAATAAACTTATTTAATTAAGAAAATTCAATATACAACATATTTCTATTGAATACCCTGAGTCTAGAATTAAATTTATAATAAACTGATACTGTCATATTGTTTGATAGTGACTGGGATCCAATGATGAATTTATAAGTTTATAAAAGAGCCAATAAAATTGGGTAAAAAAGCAATCTTAAAATTTTAAGATTAATAACTGCAATATCAATAGAGGTAAATATTCTAACAAAGGAAGTACAAAAGATAGGATTGGATGCAGTTACTATATAAGCTAATTAATATAATTAGAAATCTATAGATTTAGAAAGGTTGTAAGATTTCTTTAAATAGTAAAATAAAGTTGATCTATTTGAAACTGGGGATATACCAGATGACAATTAAATCAATGAATGGATCGCCATAAATGAGGAGGAATTAGAAATGTTTAAAAAATTAGATAGATAAAGATCTGAAGAAGAGAAATAAATCTATAAATTTCTAAATAAAAAAAATAGAGACAATTAATATTTTAATTATAGATTAATATAAGATGATGAAATTCCAGAATGGATTACATCGAAATAAAAAGAAGAGTAGGAATTCAAATAAGATGAAAGAGATGAAATAGAGAGAAAATAAAATGAAGCTTAGTATTTTTATTATGATTTTATGAAGGAATGTAGGGAGATAGATGCAAATGATTTAGATTTAGAAAATGATAGTAAAATAGATATATCATAAAAATAAAATGGTGCATTTATTGAGAATAAAGAGATTCCTTAAGAGGAAAATTTAGATTAAAAAGATATTTTTGATGACAAATAAGAAATTTTAGATGAAATAGAATAAATAATTTAAAGTAAATGAAAAATAAATTGATAATATAATTTTATTTCGTCTGTTCCCCCACAAAATATTATTATATATATAAATTTTATCAATTTTCTTTATTATTATTCTCTAAAAGTCCATTATCCATTTAGTCTAAATAATCTTCTTAATCTTCAAAATGTTCATTATCATAATTATCATTTTCTTAATTTATTTGTGCTTCTTCAGTTTCAGGTTGTTATTTTAATTTTAATGGTATGTAACTTCTAATATAAGTTTATTCATTTATAAATATAATTTTGAGCCCTCTCTAATTATATGTTCTACCATACATCGATATAACAGTGCGTTAAGCATCTTCAATTGTTGTATATACTAGAAAAAGAGAACCTGCTTCGGCTAAAGAGGTTAAATTACACAATTACCTCCAAGACCTGCTTAATAAGGTTTAACAAAGAAATCATCTTCTATATGACCACATTATGAAAAGCCTTCAATTAAATCTTCTCGCATTTCATTCCATTCATTTTTATTTAGATTTATTGCCATAGCAACATTTAAGAAATTTCCAACCTTTATAATCCTGGATGGGATACCTGCCTAAGCCAGAATTTCATCTTCTTCCCTCTATCCTCTGGCATATCCAAGTGATTTTAAAGCAAGATATGCGGCTGCTTATGCTTAGGCCATATTATGAGCTTATTAAACTAATTATGATTGATTTACAGATTAACCTTTATAAAATATGTATTTATAATATACCATAGAGACTGTCACCTAATCTAAGAATTTTACATGATTCATCTAGTAACTTGATATCCTCTAATTTGAGCATTCGATTTGATTCTTCAACAGATGATAATTCTAAAGTGCATGTTCGATCTTTTTCGTTTAGGTGACAATATAGAATAGGCTTAGCATTGCCAACGTCATTTAAGTAATTTCTATTCATAAATCTACTCAATTCAGCATAGAGATCTCGATTAGTTAAACCTGTCGGTATATTACATATTTGAATTCTTCTCATTCTACTAGTCAATGACATTACTTTTTCTTTATCTTCTCTCACTTTATCGTGCAAATTAGTTTTAGGTACCCATGTAAATCCATCCCAAAAGCAATCCTATTTATCATAACCAAGAGCATCTAATTAAGATAAGAGAAATTTTGATTACTTGATTTTGCTACAGGATTATTGGCTAGAATTTGTTTTTAATAATGTTTAACAGCAGAATTAGATCTGGATCTCTTTCTTCTTTCTTATTTTAATCTCGCAATTCTTTACTAAAGTGAAATATAAATTTTTATACTTCTTTTGTTTCACCTTCTTCACCTTATTTTTATGCATCAACTTTATTGTTATCTTTCTCTTTCTCTTTATCTTTTTCTTTCTCTTTCTCTTTCTCTTTCTCTTTCTCTTTATCCTTTTCTTTTTCCTTTTCTTTTTCTTTTTCTCTTTCTCTTTCTCTCTCTTTTTCTTTTTTTTTCTTCTTTTCTGATTTCTTATTTGATTTCTTTTTCTCTGACTTTTTTCTCTCCTTAGACTTTCTTTCCTTAGATTTTTTACTTTTTTATTTTTTTTTGTCCTTTTTTTCTGATCTACTTCGCTTTCTCTTCTTCTCTTTCTTGTCTTCACTACTGCTTCTACTTTCCATATCTGAATTATATTAATTTAAATATTATATGATTTATATCATCTCACTTTCAAATATATAGTGATCATTCTGGATTCTTTAAGTCAACATTTGTATTTCCATTAAGCATATGTGTTAAGATCTCTTTTGTGTATTTTAATCTCTTGGCCATCTCATGATTTTAACTATCAAGGGCAGTAGCTAAGGGATAATGACTCCTTTCTCCTAATTTATTAACATAGGTGACCAATTTATTCTCTGAAGACAAGATGATTTCAGTTTTATCAGTGAAGTTTACCTAAAAAAATTTTAAATAATAAAATACTTAAACTATCTTATTGGAAAGTCTAAACATGATAGCATGTCTTGTTTTCATCCATTTTTTGACATAAACAGATTGGGATGGATCATAATCGTTGGTTTCAGCTTATGTAATTGATTTAGAATCAGCATCCAAATATGATTTAAAATGTTAAAGGAGTGTAACTTTTTTCTGTAATTCCTTTGGATAACTATTTATAGAATGTTTTTCAATAGCATCTTATTTATCGGTGCCTTTTCTTTCTAAATATTCAAATTCTTGTGTTCTGGGATCTAAAATGACTTTGGTTGAATCATTGAAAAAGACTCCAGTAGCACCATTACTGAGAAGATAACCAAGTCCATATTTGCTACTGTAATCAACCCATCTTCTTACAAAGATTTCATTTTTTTGTTTACTAGTCTATTGATTTTATATAGTGCCACTAGTATAAAATTGGTTAAGAGATTTAGTGCTAACTGATTATTTGAAATCCTATGGTTTTTATGAGGAGGGTCTCTGACTACTATTGTATCCACCATTGTATCCTGTATTCAATCCAGAAGTGGCTCCAAATTGATCCTCTAATAAATTTGAATAGACAAATACATCTTTCTGATGATATATTGGGTCTCACGGTGGCCATCTTTGGATTAGATTAAGCTGTTTCAGAAGCTCTACTTGGTTATTGGAACTATTTATTATATTAAATTGAGGGAGGACAAGCTAAAGTGGATAAAGGTAAAACTCTAGAGATTTTAGGTGATTAATATACTTAGGAATGGTACCACCTGAATTCATGAAGGAATGTGCCATTATTTCATCTAATGAAGGTCTTTTACTAGGTTCGAGAACCAAGATCTTTTGAATAAGTTATTTAGCATTGTCTGATATTTGAACTTGATCTGGAAAGGAATATTGATTCATTTTAATTTTTTTGTAGGTAGATTTAACATCAGGAGTTTCAAAGGGTGGTTTACCAATTAACATTGCATAAATAATGACTCCAAGTGACCATACATCAACTTCGAATGAATGTCCTACTTTTCCATCTAATACTTCTGGAGCAATATAATTTGGAGTTCCACAAATAGTTCTTTTTTTCTCTCCTTCAAATTCTAGTTTAGTAGCTAAACCAAAATCCCCTAATTTTAATTCCATGTTTTTATTCAAGAACAAATTCCCAAGTTTTAAACTATTTTTTCATTATAAAAAATACTCTCTGTGAATAACATTATTGTTATGTAGATATTTTAATGCATTTATCATCTATGCAACATAACATTAAACTTCAATTTCAGTCAATCTCTTTCTTCTTTTAATTAATTCATTCAGTGTTTGATTGCAACAGAGTTCCAATAATATGTAAACATTTTCATGATCTTCAAAGACATGTTCAAATTAGACAACATTTGAATTCTATAAACTTTTGTGTATTTTGATTTCTGACACTAACTAACCCAATAACTTTTATATATACCTTCTAACGGGCTCTATTTCTGGTAAGAGATGATTTAGCAATGATTTTTGCAGCTAATACCTTCTTATTCTCTAAATTTGTGGCCTCATAACACTTAGCAAATCCTCCCTTTCCTAAAAACTTGCCTCTTTGATAACGTTTAATTGCCACCTCTCCATTCACCTTAGTAATCTTCTCCTCAAATATTACTATTTGTTCACTTAATTAAACTCAACATAATACCCATCTTGATTATTGTTATCATCCATTGTAGGTTGTTAGATATCTTTATATATTAAATTTATTATTATATCACTTAAAATGTATATATTCTTATGCACCAATCATTTCTTAATCTTTCAACTATTCCATCTCAAATTAAAATCTTTAATCTTAACATGAAACTCTACTTTATTAACAATAATAATTTATTATCATACCTAACTCTAAAATAATTAATAATAGTATCAATTTCAGATTCTAAATTATTTTGAATTTTTTTAATTTCTAAAACTCTCATCTTTACTCATTTATAGCAAATCCTATAATTATAACAACCTTTATCATTCTATATATATATATTTTTACTTATTGTTTCTATCCAAATTTAATAAAATCATTTCAAATTTCTATTAATATATCTTATTAGGATATTTTACAAATAAATTAGAATGCAATTATAATGAATTTAAATGAATTCTATAATTTTTTTCTTTAAATCAAAGATTTTAGAATGTAACTTCTATAAGGAATATAAAAATGTATTTGATTTATAGAAAGATATATTCACTTTAAAACTTAGTAATTAAGATATTTGAGACACACTCTTAATTTAAAATTTATTCTAATTAAAGATCAATAAATCCTCTTTAAATTATTGATATACATAAGGTTCTTAAATTAAATTAAAAATTTCTGATAAATATATTTGATTTTTCATTTGAGTATGTAGAAATAATATTTCCATAACAAATACTCTTATTTTTAGTTACTTTATCATTATTTAAAATATAGATATAATTCTCTTATTATATTTTTACATTTTATAAATCAAAATCATTATAAATAAATTAGGTTTAATTATAAATAATTGAAATTATTTGAGTTTAGATTTAAATACTATTTTATTTTATTATTTTAAGTTGCTCAATCATTTATTATAAAGAACTTAATATGTAAATGAATTCAAACATAAAAGTAATTTATTGTTTAAGTAATTACATATCTATTTTAATATGAATGTATTCCAAATAATAATGAATTGATCAATGAAAAAAGATATCTAAAAAGCATTAATAGTGTATTTGTTTATTTTTATTTTAAAATTTAAAATAAATCAAATCCATTATTTTGCATGGTTCAAGTCAAGAGATAAGACAGAAGAAAAGTTTATGAATATTTATTAATGGAAGGTGTTATTGTCATTAAGAAGGTAATTTTTAATTAGATTTCATTAGGATATGGCTCTCCCAGTTCATTCTGAAACAGGAGTAAAAAATTTGGAAGTTTGGATGCTCTTGAGAAGTTTGAGAGATAAGAAACTTGTTGATTTAGTGTTTTCATGGCAATACTACTACTATTATCTCAAGGCTGAAGGAGTTAAATATGTTAGAGATAAGTTGGGTATGAAGAAATTATCTATCAATAAGGCATTGTTGAAGATGTTATTCCAGCTACTTTCAAGAAGGCTGATAAAAAGTTCGAAGAAGATGTTCCTGAAAGAAGAGGCCCAAGAGGTAACAAACCATTCGGCAGAGGAGGAAACAGAGGACCAAGAAGAGCTGAAGAATAAACAGAAACAGCATAACAATGAAATTGATACATACAATCGTACAATATATATATAAATGGTTCATCTCAATCACGCTTTTTCTTAGAACCAACATTTGAACGATTATCTTCTGAAGGCATTCCTAAAAACATTTTTTATATTTTCTAATCCATTTCTTTATACAATATTCGCATGATAATCATAAACAATATTAAGACTCCTCCAATAATACCAATTGTAAATATTAAATTAAAATGATATTTTGCTCTTCTCTCATACATCAAATCAATAGAATTTACAGAACTTGATACTTTACCAAAAGTATTGATTAATGCAACTAATTCATTTCTTTTTAATCTACCAGAAAATTCACTTGGAGATTCTGAAAATAATATTTTTAGTGCAGTTCCTAAACCATAAGTTTACATTTTTCCAAATACTTTACATTTCTAACATTCTACACAATCCATAATTCTACTGATATTATGAATATATCTTTAATAATCCTTTTTTTATTCCTAAATTGTAAATAAATGTTATTACAAATGTAATTTATTTAAAAAATTATTGTTCATCAAATGGTCTGGAACATTATGAATTACTTAAAGATAAAATTTGATTTAACAATTATTTAGATCTCAAATCATCTTCAAAAGATAAAGAATTGATATCAAATGATTAAATTCCAGGAGTTGCCAAAATTATTGCTCTAAATAAAACAGAATATAAAAAGAAAAGATTTTTAATTCTTTCTGGATGATTTCCTACTCTTTGAAAATACAAAGAATAATTTGGATAAGTTTTATTAGTTTTTAGATCTACATAAAATTCACTTAATTAAGTTGATATAGATGTATGCAAACCTGAAATTAATTTATTTAAAGCTCTTTTTTCTTTACACATTTCGACCATTGAACCTAATAATAAAATAATTATAATTAAATACCCTAATAACAATTCTCTTTATAAATCACATCCCATATATGTTAACCTTAATATCCTGTAAAAGCTTCTGGATTTAATTTAAGATCAACATAAACTCCCTTATCATTTTCAACATCCTCTACATGCCATATCCATTCAGAAGGTTCTATAATATTATATAATTTTAAAATTTACATAAAAATCTCTCTGAATCCCAAAAAGCAAAATCATCTTTTGGGTTATTAATAGGCCAAGATTATGGAGATAACCAATTTGATGGTATCTAAGATAATTAATTAATAATAAATAATACTTCAGATTAATTGCATGTACAAATAACACATTTTTTACTTGTGCAAATATATTCACCAATTCCAAAAGGACAATCGTTTTCCAAATTTACCCTAAATATTTTGAAATATTTTTTGAACTGTTTTATGAATAATTTATTACAGTCAATTCATCTAATAATGGGAATATTTAATCATTAATATTTTTAAGTATTTTCAAATCCTAACAACTATCTTCGACAATGCCTTCATATTGAAATTATTTTTCCAACTTTATATGCTTGAATTTTTGAATACCAAAATGTAATTAATAGTGGTTATTATTAATCCTGCTACATATGCATATATTAGCCATACAATGCATTTCCCCATAATTTTTATCTCCCATTCTCTCTTTTATCTACGTTTTGCCTTTTCTTCTCTTAATTAAGAAAGTTCATCTTAAAATTGATTTTCTTATTCAGGTTTCATAATTAAGTAAATGAAAATATAATTTTTGTTTTAATAAACTTAATTGAATATACACGTAAGTAATAAATCTAGAATAAATTAAAAATTTCATTTATATTTTTGACCACTAGCAGACCTTTAAGCTCTTTAACTTATAGAAATAAGTTAAGCAGTTTTTTCAGTCAATCTTTTGAGTGTATATATTTCATCATTTCTTTAACCCAATAAATCATTTAATCTTTCAATTTCATCTANTCAAATCATCTTCAAAAGATAAAGAATTGATATCAAATGATTAAATTCCAGGAGTTGCCAAAATTATTGCTCTAAATAAAACAGAATATAAAAAGAAAAGATTTTTAATTCTTTCTGGATGATTTCCTACTCTTTGAAAATACAAAGAATAATTTGGATAAGTTTTATTAGTTTTTAGATCTACATAAAATTCACTTAATTAAGTTGATATAGATGTATGCAAACCTGAAATTAATTTATTTAAAGCTCTTTTTTCTTTACACATTTCGACCATTGAACCTAATAATAAAATAATTATAATTAAATACCCTAATAACAATTCTCTTTATAAATCACATCCCATATATGTTAACCTTAATATCCTGTAAAAGCTTCTGGATTTAATTTAAGATCAACATAAACTCCCTTATCATTTTCAACATCCTCTACATGCCATATCCATTCAGAAGGTTCTATAATATTATATAATTTTAAAATTTACATAAAAATCTCTCTGAATCCCAAAAAGCAAAATCATCTTTTGGGTTATTAATAGGCCAAGATTATGGAGATAACCAATTTGATGGTATCTAAGATAATTAATTAATAATAAATAATACTTCAGATTAATTGCATGTACAAATAACACATTTTTTACTTGTGCAAATATATTCACCAATTCCAAAAGGACAATCGTTTTCCAAATTTACCCTAAATATTTTGAAATATTTTTTGAACTGTTTTATGAATAATTTATTACAGTCAATTCATCTAATAATGGGAATATTTAATCATTAATATTTTTAAGTATTTTCAAATCCTAACAACTATCTTCGACAATGCCTTCATATTGAAATTATTTTTCCAACTTTATATGCTTGAATTTTTGAATACCAAAATGTAATTAATAGTGGTTATTATTAATCCTGCTACATATGCATATATTAGCCATACAATGCATTTCCCCATAATTTTTATCTCCCATTCTCTCTTTTATCTACGTTTTGCCTTTTCTTCTCTTAATTAAGAAAGTTCATCTTAAAATTGATTTTCTTATTCAGGTTTCATAATTAAGTAAATGAAAATATAATTTTTGTTTTAATAAACTTAATTGAATATACACGTAAGTAATAAATCTAGAATAAATTAAAAATTTCATTTATATTTTTGACCACTAGCAGACCTTTAAGCTCTTTAACTTATAGAAATAAGTTAAGCAGTTTTTTCAGTCAATCTTTTGAGTGTATATATTTCATCATTTCTTTAACCCAATAAATCATTTAATCTTTCAATTTCATCTATTAACATTTATATTTTTTAATCTTTTTCCTTATCATTAGGTACTTACTTTTGCTAGATTTATACCTTAGAATATTTAATCTTCCATTAATTAATATCTTCATTTGCTAATTTTAATGTATGTTCCTTCTCTTGTAATTAATCTTATAAAGATTATATAGTTTTTTCCATTTCTGTTAGAGCCTTTAAATATGATTACTTTTATTCATCCTCTTCTTATTATTTATAAATTTATTGTTTCAATTCTATTAATATATTGTTTATTTTACCTTATAATTATTATAATCTTGTTGAATCTAATTCAGCGTATCTAATTTTCCATTATTGAATCTCCTCTGATTGAGATATTAATTTAGTAGAGGAATCTTAAAATACAGATTGTATGTCTGTTAACTCTTAATATAATTGTTCTGCTTATTATTTGGATTTTTGATACTATATTAAATATTGTAATATATTACATCTTAAAATCTTATATCAGATATTTCTTTGATTAACATGAGTTCATGTTCAATTCCTTTTAATTTATTGATTTGAATTTCTTATTCCATAATTTATTCTCTTAATTATTCATTTTCTTTAATTTTATCATTCAATTATAGATTAACTTTTTTGTTCTCTTCTACTAATTGATTAATTCTTAATTCTAACTGATTACTTAAAATTCATTAATAATATTTTATACTTGTTCTCTTTTTTATCATTTTCAATACTATGAATACTATGCTTCTTAATATTCTGAATAACTGGAGACAAGGGATTAGATTTGGAATGGATTAATGTTTAACATATAGGAGATAATTTCATTTAATAAATAAATATAACAGATATTTAGTGATAAAGATAATAAATGTTATTAATATAAACAGATTAAAGTATTAATCAATTGAATATAGACATATGAATAAAATTTATATTGATTTAAGCACTAAAACTATTATACAATTATTGAATAACTTAATTTAATTAATTGAAATAATACAAATGTTACCATCAGGATCTGATTCTTAATAGAGAAGTCTTGAAAACCCTGATAAATAGACTATGAGAGTGGATTCTACAAAAAGAAATGATAAATTGATTGAGGTTCCTAGAAAGAAGTTGAATATGAGGTATATTAAATTCAGTGAACAGTTAGATTGTATACAGAATCTGAACAAAAGTTTCAAGATTATATTAATTCAAAGATTGTTACTATTAGTATTATAGCATTAGTTGGAGCTTATGCAATATTAATATTTATTATTGTGGCTCTTGAAGAATTGTTAGATGAAACTGAATTCATTAATGTTTCATCAATTTTGAGTTGGATTGAACTTGGAATATTGATAATATTCATCTTAGAAATATTTGTTGGATTATATGCATGGGGGATAAAGGTAAATTTGATAAATAATGTAGAAATATTATAAAGATAAATGGTTGATTTTAGACACTCTAATTATTTTACTGTCACTCTTTTTTGTGATATTTGAATTGGCTGATCAAAAGACATCTAATGTTATCAAAGTAATCTAAGCAGTTTTTAGATTCTTAAGAATATTTCTTTTAATAAGGAAGGCATAGACATTTAGAAGATTGGCAACGATTTCAACTATTTCAACACCAGCTGAGAAAATAGTGAGATTTTTGGCTGAATTGAAGGAAGTTTTAGAAGATGAAAATATGAAATTAGATATTAATTATTGTATTGACAAGATAGGAAATAATCAATTATATTAAATGGGTAAATTGGATGAAGATAATGCTGAAGTAATTAAATATATTAATAATTAAATAGGCAATGGCATGGTTGAATCAAAGTTAATAAGGTAAAACTGAAGTCAAAAAAGTTTTAACTAATGAATAATAATAATAATAATAATAATAATAACAAAAGAAAGTAATTGCTAATTTTTAAAAACTAAATATACCAAAAAGAGTAAGTTTAAAATAATATTATATAGTTACTGGATATATTAATTAAATAACATGATGATCTATATATTGATCCTTTTGAATGTGACAAATTATGTGGAGGAGAAGGTCTTGTAAATTTAATGTTATTTTTCTTTGAAAATTATAATCTTTTTGATGTGTTTTTAATTAAACCTAAAGTAGTAAGAGGATATTTTGAAGAAGTTATGAAAGGATATCTTGATAATCCATATCACAATAAAGTACATGCTTAAGATGTTGCATAAACTTGTAATTTCTTATTAAGCAAATGCAAATTTATTGAAATAGGTTAATTAGATGAATAAGATATTGCATGTGTATTAATTGCTGGAGCTATTCATGATTATGGACATCCAGGTCTTACTAATGCATTTCTTATTAATAGTAGAAATGAATTAGCTTTAACATATAATGATTAAAGTGTATTAGAAATGTTTCATCCATCTTAATGTTTTAAAATTGCTTGGGGAAATCAAAAAGTCAATATATTTGAAAATCTCTAATTTCAAAAATACAGACGCATCAGAGAATCAATTATCTTAATGGTACTTTCTACAGATATGGCTCATCATGCTTCTGAACTTGCTATCACTAATAGTAGAATTGCTGCTCGTATTTATTATTTATATTTTCAAAAATAGCTGATTTTGAACCTAATGGCAAAGATAAACAAAGATTAATGGACTTGATTGTACATTCATCAGATGTATCTAATCCTACAAAAAGTTTTGAAATCTACAAATAATGGACAGAAAAGGTCTTAACTGAATTTTGGTTATAGGGAGATAAAGAGAGAGACCTTGGATTACCAATCTCATATCTATGTAATCGATATACAACTAATATGGCAGAAGCTTAAGTGGGGTAATCTTTGTTTTAATTATATAATCAGATTTATTGATTATGTTGTGAAACCTACATTTGCATGTGTCTTAGGATTCCTTCCAGCTTATGAACCTTTCTTTTAAAATATGGACAAAAATAAAGCTAAATGGCAAGAACTTATAGAATATTATAAACAATAATTAGCCTCCATTCAACCTAAATGAAATTATCATTAATTATAATTAAATATATGTTGCAGTTCGGGTCTCATATAAATATTTTAGACAAATCAAAAGATCAAAATATAATAGTATATATTTAAATTGATCTATTTCTAATTTTGAATATTAATTAAATGATTTTTTTGATATTAACTTATAAAAATTGATTAATCAATAACAAAATCCATTTTAATATAGTTTATTGTATTTCTTTGTTTAAAAGTAGACTTAAATTTATATAATATATGATATATCAAAATAATTAGATAAAAATTCATCATATAAAACACTATTATTAGAAGATATTTAAGAAAAAAAGGAATTATTATAGAAGTATAAATCGGTTATATAATCATTTGTTAAATAAAGAGTTATCCTTATTAATTACATATTATATAATGAATCTTTATAAGTTTAAAGCATAATATTTTTTCATTATCCATTAAATTATAAATTTTCTAATTTATTTATTAATTAAAGATAATATTTCATTCCTTTTTTATATTTCAATATTCCTCTTTTATTTTATTTAAACTATATGTTTTTTAATCAACATCTTCATTATTAAGTATTTTTTAAATAATATTGATATTTTATGAATTTTAACAGAATATATTATAATTTATTTTTGATATATAAATATATATTACTTATTTAGCAAATAATTGAGATAAAATCTATAAAAATATCTAAGTTTTCAACGTTTAACATTAATAAGATTCTTAATTTTAGTTAGACTATCTTTAACACTTTAAAAATATTGTTTCATTCTATTTCTCATTTGTTCAGCTTCTTCTAAATTCATATTTTCATGTACATCAAATTATAATGTTGAGAATTTTTAATTAGGATTTCTTTTCATTTCTTAGTCAACTTCTCTATTGATTTATGCTATTTATTTAGCAAACATCATTTCAGATTCACTATTTTTAATATTAATTTTTGGAGTTGTAACTTAAGTTGTATGTTCCCAAATTTCAGGTAGTTTTTGGATTGATTTTGATTTAATTTAAATATTTGGTAAATGTCTATTAATTGGTATTGGATTATAAATTCCTATTGCAGGAATCTGAGATGTAAGAATTTTAGTACTTCTACTAATTAATTAATGTTTGTGATTTAAGCCTTTCTATTATTTCCTCATTTATAACCCTCTTTCAACAGAAGTATGATTAAGAGTATATGATTTAATATCTATTGTTTTATGTAGATCATCAATTTAATGGTGTGTTGGTATTAATGTCATATACTTTGTGATTGGATCATATTTTGGTGTGTCTTATTCAGTATGTAATTTTGATTTAATAATAGTGTCTGCAAGTAATGAATTTGTTTATTCACTTGTTCTTTGTTTAATTCTTTTTTGATTTGAATTAAGATTATAAATTTCAGCAGCATTAACTAATTTTCCAACTTGATTTCTTTCAAATATAAATGGTACAAATCTACCTTCAGTAGAATTCAATTTTTCAGGTTTATCTCCAAAAGGATAAAAATTAGATCCATTATGTAAGAAATTGACTAAAGTGGTCTTTTACATAATTAAAAATATTTAAAATAAAACAAAAAATATAAATTTGTATTATAACATTTTAGATTTCATGAGATATTGTATGTTTTCTATTATAATTTCAACCATTCCAAATATACTTAAATGATTATTTACAAAAAAATTGCGCCATAAATTAATTAAGTATTATTTGAATATCTAAACATGGGTGATGCCTTTGAAGAAATATTTGCATTTAGTTCAGTTAAAAAAAATACATACTTAACAAAACTATAAGAGATATAAGCTTTAGAGAATTAAAACTAAATGGATGTTGAAAATGATGATGATTTTATTTATTTAGGAGATTGCTTCAATAAATAATGGCCTGATTTTACTCATAGTTAATATTCTTATCCTAGAAAAATTACCATAAAATATGAATATGATAAGTATGAATTAAGGAATATGTTATGTTCAACTTTAGAAAAAAAGTAGGTAAGCATTACATAGAGAATATAAAAATTTGAAGATGAATATAAATAATGGGAAAAACTCAATTAAAAAGAGCCAGAACCAAATGTGTATTTTGGAAGAATTCTAAAATTTGAAAAAGTTTTTGAAAATTAAAGTGATACATAAAGCACATAAAAATTATCAAATTCTAAATAGGCTTTATATTTAGACTTCAAAGAAGATCAAATACCAAAAAAATTAAATTTATCAAATATTGAAAATGAAGGAGCATATTTATATCCTGGTAAAATAGTTGGAGTAGTTATAAATCAATCTACTGATAAAGAATTAGAAGTAAATAAATTCTTATAAGTCTATCCTGAAGATATGTCTATATAAGTAGAACCATCAAATTTTAAGAATTATTAATTATAACAAAGATAGGATTCTATTGTTATGGTTATAGCAGCTGGACCATTTGAAAAAGAAGGTAAATTTGGTTATAAAGGATTATTCAATTTAGTTGAAAAAATTAAGAAAAAATAAATTTCATGTGATATATTAATGTTATTGGGACCTATTTTGGATGTATAAAATTAAGAAAACTTGGATAAGTATAATTTTGAAGTAATTATTAATTTATATTTATTAAGTATGAAGAATTTCTTGAATTAATCTTATAAGCAATAATTGAAGAACTTCCAAAAGTTTAAGTTATTGTAGTGAATTCAACTAAAGAAATTAATACTTTTCATCCAGTACCTCAACCTCCTCTTAATATTAAAGTAGAATAATAGAAAAAGAAAGTTTAAGTAGAAAATTTAATGTTTGTTGGAAATCCATGTATTTTACAAATTGAAGATATGACAATTGGAATTATAAATGAAGAAGTTATATCTGAAATAAATTCTGGTTCAGAAAAAATTGGTGTTTAAAAATTAAATAAAATTGAAAGTGCTTTAAAATAAATAATTGAATAAAAAAGTTTTGTTCCTATTAATCCTACTAAATTTCCTTGTGATTTGTCAAAATAAGAATTCTTAGATTTCGATCAATGTCCAGATGTCATTATTACTCCATCACATTTTACATAATCTGCTAAATTAATTGATTAAACAGTTTTTATTAATCCTTAATTCTTTTAACCAGCATAATAATATGCTATTTTAACTTTTAATGGTAATAATGAATTGGATATAATTTCAAGAAAAATAAGAGTAGATTTTGGAAAACTTTGAATTAAATAATTCAATTTATAAATTTTAATATTTATATTGAAATAATTATATATATATATTTAAGTTGATCAATCTCCTTTTGGTATATCTGTTCCTTCTTCTTGAGATTATTTTTAAAAGGAAACTTAAGAATCTTATTTTTATTATTATTTTTTCATTGTTAATTTAGTTTAGATATTTTAATTTTACAGGATTTATTTTAATTATTCAAAATCTTCATCATCACCATCACTATCTCCTTATCTACCTGCTCTATGAGTTTTTATTGTATTATTTTATCTAGGTAATTTACTTAAGTCTATTCTTGTATCAAAAGCTATTTGAGATTTAGATCCTCTACTTGATATTTATGGTTTTTATGCAGCTCTATCTGTATGATTGCCCATATTTAATTTTTATTTTAACATAAATTCTTCTATTTATTTATGAACTGGTTTATTCACATCAAACCATTTTGGTTATTTAATAACATTGTCTCTATCAAAATGTTTACGATATTTATATAGATCAGATATTGAATTTCTAATTTGAAACAATTATAAATAGAGTTCATAAAATTAAAGACAAATATGTGTGGCTAAATGTCTATAATAATCTAATAATTGTAATATCTATTTGTTATTCATTTTGAAATACTTCTTTACTAAGGAAATTGTAGAATACTATTATATCAGACCAATATACTAAGACAATCTCTTTTAATAACATATCTTCTGGAACCATTTATAATGCTTATTTTAAGATTTCCATTTAACCTAATCCACTATTAACCTTTAATTTTTAATTTAAACAAATACCAAATTACTAATCTTAAATAACCAAAGTAATTTAGTTTAAATATCAATGAACTTTTATCCTTCTTAAAACAATGGATATTATTGTACTTTACAAGCATGAAAAACTTAGATGTTCACTGCAAGTTTTTACAGATATTAAAAATAACTTAATTAAATATTAGCTGATAGCCATTCTTCTTTTTATTAAGTTGTTTTAACAAGAACAGGTGATTTTCTATTTAATAAAGCATTAAATTTCTAATTAAGGAAATGATCAGCAAAATCAATACCCAATTAAAATTCATGAAGCATTAAATGACATGTTAATAATACTTTATTTCTAATGATATAAGAATTAGCAAATTCCCTAAACAATTATTAATTATACATTACTATTCATTAGTTAATGTAAAGTATTATTCTATATAATATGAAGGTGCTTTAGTTATAAATTCTGAATGGTTGTTTTCAAAACAAGAAATTAGGAACAATAGATCATCCAACAATATTTCATCAGATTAACTTAATAGGGATGAGTTTGCTACTCTCTTTTGAAATGGTGGCCTATTCTTAAAATACCCCATAAATTTATTGATCATTATTTTAATTTATTTTTTATCTAATTATATATATATATATAGATCATATCATAAAGATTGAATATCATCACCAAAAGCACAGTCAATAATTTGATTAAGGAAATCTTCTAATTAATCCAATCTTAATGATTAATTAATATGAATATTGTCACTTTTAGATGGTATATTTTTATCAATTGGAAATTGCATTTAAATTCCATCAGAAACACTTAATTCAATTCTAAATCTATTAGGATCTTCTTTTTCAGATGATAAATCTTCATATAGTTTTATAACAATATTTGATAAATATTAAAGCATTAATATCTGTTACAATTGTTTTTATTTAAATTCATCTTCAATTAAATAATGTCCTAATCCATAATAAAGAAAGTTAAATAAAGAATATAAATGAGAAGCAGATGTAAAATACAATCTAGTTCTAACATGTCTCCATGGACTATTCAAATCACTTTCATCAGTTTATCTAAATTTCCAATAATCTTCTTCTTATTACTAATTTTTTGATTCTGGTTTATTCCACCATAAAAGATCTTATTTTATTTTATCACATAAAGGACCAACAACACGTTTAGCTATAGATAATTTTTATTTAGTAGTAATTCCATATTCAAATGGAACCATAAAATGACTAAGTAATTCAGCTAAACAATAAAACTCTTTTGAATTTTCATAAAATTATAATTTATCTTAATTATGAAGCATATCATATTTAACACTATCATAAATATCTGGAATTTTAGAAATATTGAATTTCTCTTTTTATAAAAAATCATATTCTAATTTATACCATCTTTTAAAAAATAATGTTAAATTTTCTGATTCAAACATTGTCTAAGCTCCTTATTCCATATCACTAGGAGTTATATAATAATTTTTATCTAAATGGATATGATGTCTAATTAGTTTATTCTAAATTTACCTTATATTTTTAGTTAATTATTTAATGTATGTATGTAATTAAATAAGCATAGACTTTGGATTTTTAAATTTGCTAATTAAATCATGTTAAGTTTAAGTCATATTAAAATGTGGAAAATATTTATAAATTTATACTAACATTTCCTCATCACTTGTTAACATTTTTTAAAGTATATTTTTTATTTCTATTTCCTCTTCAATTTCTAAATTATTACAATCTAATAATTCTTAAGCAACTTCATTTTTTTAAACCATTGTTGCTAAAATAGGAGTTACCTCTCCTTCATAACCCAATAATCCTTTTAGAAAAGCTGCTGCAGTATATTGACATCTACCTTCATCTGATGAAAATGTTTTTAAATCATGTCTATAAGTAGAATGTAATCTAAGTAATCCATCTTTCTCAGTTGGATACATATCATGTCTAAATACTTAACCTAATCTAACAGCATGTTCTTCACCTAATTAAGTTAATTCTCCACCCCATTTTAAAATTAACAAGACTTCAACTGGAAAATCAACTATTGAACCATTTTTTTCTATTTTTTATGTTTTTAATGGTTTAATTTAGACTTTCCTATTAATACCTTCAAAATGTCCACCTAATTCAAGAACTGATTTCATTTGTAGTAATTTAATAATATTATCATCACAACAAGAAGTTTTTGCAATACATTCTCTTGTTAAATTAAGTAATTTAAATAATTATTTTGGATGTTTTAATTTAATTTCTTTTGATGGATCAGGTACATCATCAAAAAATGATAAAAATTATTCATTAGTAGATCTCATTTTCATTTTTTATTTAGGTGTTCTATCTCCATGTCTAAATATTGCTACTACAGATCTTAATTCAGAATTCTATTCTTTATTATCTATATCTTTTGAATTTGGTCTAAAAGAATTCTTATAGAATCCTTTAACTAAATTGATATCAGAAATTTGTTTCAATAATAAAGTAGGTCTTAATTTAGCCAATATCATATTCTATAAAATAGCAGCACAATCTTAATAATATTTAGGATTTCCTTTTACAAATGACCAACCATTAACATCACATACATATGATTTATTATTACTTCTTAATAAATCAAATCCACAAATATTTTAACCAAATATATTCACAATCTTTATAGCCATCATTTTTTCTTCCATTGTCAAACATACAGGATATCTCATTTCCTTACCATTTTAAGATCTAAGCACCTTACCATCCAATACTGGACTTTTTCTAGCTTCTGCATGTGCATAAAACTCTCCTACAGTATATACTTTAATATCAAATCCATTTGTTGGTAAAAATACTTCATAAATATAGTTTTCATTATCATTTCTTATACTAATCTAAGCTGGATCAAATATACTACTCTAATTACCAACTTTTCTAAACAGCTTCTTACATCCACCTCCATCTCTTGAATTATAATAAATATATATATTGTGATCTTCAGCATCAAATGGTTTTTCTACAAAAGGCTTAACTAATTTCTACCCATTTATTAATAAATAATCATCACATTCCTCAATCTTAGTAATCTAAAGATCTTTATTATCTTTCTTAATATCAATTACAGTTGATAAAGATCTAGCATCATAAGATCTCATTCCTTATTTCATTTTATTTTTATTTTTATCTTCCATTGTGTCCTATCTTGAAGGTAATATTAATTCTTATAATTATTTTGCTGTCTAAACTTATTTTATATATTAAGATGAATCTTCATTCTATAAAAAACTTATAACACTATCAACATTATCTTCCTCCTCAATTATTTCCTATTCATTTTTTCTAGGTTTACACTTTTTTTCAATTTCTTTTCTATTATAATCATCAATAATATATTTATTTGGATTTTTAAATACGAAATAATGTTTAGGTACTGGAACTTTATTTTTCTTTAATAAAGTATAAACTCTTTCCCTATCCCATAGTAGTTGTTATTTCTTTAGATCATTTATAATAAATGGTTTTCTTAAATCAGCATAGGCTATAGCTTTATTTAAAGGAAATCCATCAGAATAAAAACTTATTAGTGTTTCTACTATTGGCCATGATTCTATTGGATCTTCAAGAATCATTTATTCAGGAAATATCTCAATTTAAAAAAACTCAGGATTTATACGATTCAGAATTTCTTGCATTTCTTTTGATTAAGACTTTTTAGCCATACAACAAACTCCAATTGTGACTATTTTATCATCTTCAATTTCATCTGTAAACTATGACTAACTTTCTGTTTTCCCTAAAATTATAATAAATTCATGCCTCTTTCAACCGAATGTGATCTTATTTTCCTTTTTATCTCTTAATCTGAATCCATTTAATACTATTTAATATACTGTAAATAAATAATGATATATTGTAATTAATTTTCAATAAAAAATTAGAATCAACCTTAATTATTTATTATCTTAAAAAATTCAATAGGTGTGATTTCCTTGTGTTCTGGACTAATAATTTCAAAATCCTTTTTTATTCTTGCCTCCACTTATATTTTATCATGTTCATTTAGATTCAAATATTCAGATGTCTCTTTATATAGCCTTAAGAAATCTTCTGCACTAAAGGATCCTTTTTTTTATAAATCAAAAACACTAAATATTTATGCAAACTCTTCACTTTTCAAATTCTCTGTATTTATTTGAGGATCTAAAAATAAGGATTTGAATTATTCCTTATTTAATGTAGTCTAATATTGTTTTAATATATAATTACTGATGGCATTTGATCTAATGTTCTAACAACATAATTGAAAAATTATGCTTCTGATTTATCAATATTTAAATATAAAAGTAATGCTAATAATGTTGATTTCTCTATCTAATCTATTTGTTATCCTTGCTTTTCAACTGTAAATTTATTTAATAATGATTACTCTTAAGAGATTCAAATAATTCTTCCAAATCCTATGTAATATCTTCTATTGAACTTCCTATCTTCTAAGCAGGCTATTAGTTTTATTGTTATTATTGACTATGTTATGAAAACTAACTTAGGGATTACTGTGACATTTAATTAAATGAATTTATTTATCAAATATTTATGAGCTTCGATAAACTAATGCTAAATCGACCAAATTATACTGCAAAAAATATATTATAACCATTATTTGTGTCAGCCAGACCTTTGAACTATGTTCTAACTCCTACTTTGAATAAAACTGAAAATAAAGATAGACCATAAAATTTTATAGAAAATTAAAGAAAGACTTTACATTAAAAAAATGATTCAAATAAATCTTAATCTATTAACATAAAAAAATAAAGAGTTCAAGATGCTTATAACTAATTATCAGATTTTAATGATAAAAAATAAATTATTGCATCTCTTAAAACTCTGAATTCAGCTGATGAGAGGTTGAACTTTTCTAATAACTTAGAATTCAATTAATTGATAAAATTTTAGAGAGAAAAGATGAAATGATGGTAGCATAATTAAAATTAAAAGCAGTCAAATTAGAACCTATTTTCAACGTTATTAGAAGGAAGTTGCGAAAATAGCGTTTAGGAAGTGCCACTCCAAATTAATCAAAGAAAGGAACTATCATTATGAGATAAAAAACATCAGATGACTTACCTAAAACTATGCCAGATCAAACTAGAGATAGTAAAGAAAAATAAGATCATAGTATATAATAATAAGAAACCATCATTGAAGATTAAATCATTGAAAAAATATAAACAAAATTTACTGCTGGTGTAGCATTTTCTTGGCTTGCTAATAGACATGATACTAAATAAAGTATTTTTAAGTTTCTATTAAATTAAGTCTAATTAGATCCTGATCCAACTGAAAGATAATATTTAAGAAGATCAACTGCCTTACAATATGGTAAAAACACAATGAACAGACTCAAACAATAGGTTTCAAAAAAAGTAAGTGAGAATTCAGACGAATTAATAAGAATTGGTAATTATAAATTGGAACCAAAAAAAGAAAAAAATAATCTTAGTAAAATAAAAGCAAAAGTTGATTCTGGGTTAATTAAACCTTAATAACCTGTACTACCTAAAGTTAATATTATAAAACGATAAGATACTCTAGGATATGTTACATCTGAAAGAAAAGAAATTTCTGCACTTGGAGAAATCTAAACATTTAGAAGTGACAGTAAAATAAGATTATTAAAACTCTGATTTTAATATTTGATAGAAAAAGAAATAACAAGTTAGGTTATCGTATCAAAAAACACATATAACATTAATTTAATGATGTACACTCACTTTAATGCGTCGAATATATTATTTGATTTTATTCCTGTTTTCTATGGTTCTTTCTTTTACTTATCATAATGTTGACTAAAAGCAAACTCTTTAATTTCATTCTATATTTTAATATTTAATTTACCTATGTATTTCCTCTAAAATTCTATTTTTTTTAACCATCTTCATCTCCTTATTAACCTTATTATTATTTTGGTTCATATCCTCTATTATCTCTATTATTATAATTTTTATTATTATTATTTCTGTAATTATCTTTATTATAATTTCTATTATTATTGTCTTAATCATTATTATTATTTCTATTATAATTTCTATAATTATTTCCATCATTATTGTTCCTATTATCATTATCAATTTCATTATCTTTATCATCATTTCTATTATTTCTATTATTGTTATTTCTGTAATTTCCTCTATTATTTTAATAATTTCTTTGTCCTCCTCTTTGATTATCTCTATCTTCTTAATTATTTTAAACTTCTTAATCATTATTATCATTTTAATTTCTATTGTATTATCTATCTTTATTTCCTCTATATTTATTATTATAATTATTGTTATTATTTCTAAATTAATTTTATTCATCCTTGCCCTATTCATTCTAATCTTAATTTTGATTATTTTATTCTCTGTCATAATTATTATATTATTTATTATTTTATTTATAACCTCTGTTTTAATTATCATGACCTTTATAATAATTTCTAGATTGATTCTACTCCTTTTGTACAAATTGTTAATTATTTTCTTCTTAAACAATAGGCTTATCATCTGTTCTTTCTATCTTTTAAGTTTATTATTATTATGTGGCATCATTTTATTAACTCTATTAAACTTCATTTTATGGCTATTATTATTATTCAGTTTATTATTATAACTAATAAGATAAAACTTAAATTACATTATCATCAACTTTTGAAGAGGTATTTCTAATAATTTTAGGAGGTTCAAAATTATTTCTTTTGTTTTAAAATTTTGTGTCTCTGTCTCTATTTCTATTTCCAAATTCATTTTGTTCATCATTATGTTATTATCTTTATTAATAAGGTTATTTTTGATATCCTCCTCTATTTCCATAATTGTTTTTTTCATGATGATCTGAACCTATTCTCATATAAAGTTTATGGATTCTTCCATCTAATTCCTAAACAATATTTTTAAAAAAAGATGCTATACAATTTATAATTTAAAAACATCCAAAAGTCTAAGAGCATTTTCTTTATCTACATCAAATCTTGTTTAATCATCATTAGAAATAAAATTTTTTATTTCAATATCTTTTAATTCTTATTTCAATTAAATCTCACCAGTATTATAATGAAGTAATATATTAATACTATCTCCATTATAATTATTTAATTATTCTTTCTTTTACTCAAGAAATCCTAAATTGATTATTAAAATAAATACCAGTGTTATCCCTATCTTAATTTTTTCTTCTTTCATTTCTGCCTTCTCTATCTTATCTATCATTTCTATCTTATCTATCATCTTAGTTAGAATTATAATCTCTATTTTTAAAATTCTTTTAATTATCACGATTTCCTCTATAATTACCATTTCCTCTGTAATTACCATCTCCTCTATAATTACCATCTCCTCTCTAATTACCTTCTCCTCTGTAATTACCTTCTCCTCTATAATTACCTTCTCCTCTATAATTACCATCTCCTCTGGTTCTTTTATCTTTGTTATCTCTATAACCTTTTTTATATTGATTATTTCTCTAATTATAATTTCCCTATTAATTAGAGTGTTCAGGATTATCGGTATCCTTATCATTTCTATCATTTTCTAGGTTCTAATTATCTTCTCCTTATGTTTAATCTTGCCTCTATCTTTATTATCTGGTAGATGAGCCTTGTTGTGATTAATTATTTCTTTGTTTATTTCCTCCCTATTAATTTTGAGTTTTAGGATTTTGAGAATCAACTTAAGGTTTCTCATTTTCTTCATCGGATGATAAATCTCCCCAATTTTGTGTTTAATTGTCAGTCATGCACTTTTGTAATTTAAATAAATATTAAATATTAAAGATATTATTTAAATATTTTAATAATTAACATTCACTAATAAAAACAATAAATACACCACATTAATTATAAATCATTTAATCAAATCAAAGATTTCATGTGATAACTTTTCATAATAAAATAATCATCATATATTCAATTTTAAGTCATTTAATTTCTAAATTATAACATTTGATTTTAATATTTCGAAAATGAATATTATAGATAAATTTTTTTTTATATCTTTTATTGACTTATTTGATTGATTTTCTTTAATTTTTATAGTCTTAGATACTATATATAAAATATATATTTCAATATTAAAAAAACATAGTTAAAGTTGATTATTATAAAATGTTAAAAATATTGATTTTTTACATATTTTTTGACAATATTAATTTTAGAAATATTTGATCCAAAATAATGGATTAAAAGAGTCCTTAAAAATAGTCATCACCAATAAAAATCTCTATTAATAATATAGATAAAATCTCCTATTCAATTAAGGATTCTTGGAAGAATTAAGAGGAAGAAAATCAGAAATTGTTTGATTAGTTTTTATAATATTGCAAATCCTAATATCCCGTTTTTAATATTAAATTTACATGTTCCATAAGTGGGGAATGGTTAGAGTAACCTGTATAAAAATTAATTATCAAAGGTGTCATTTATGCAATGCATAATAGAAAAAAAGCATTTGAATGATTGTTTTGATCTTAAATAAATATTGAAATATTTGATATAGAATGACAGTAATTTTATGTAAGATGGATATATTTAGTGTCCTCTATGCAGAGCAAAAAGTCATTTTAAAAAAGATATACCTTTAATTCCAAATTTATTATTCCAATAACTTTAATAAAAAGTATAAATAATATAATAAAAAATAGTTAAACGATAAATCAAAACCAATAACATATTATTTATCCACTTAAATATTAATTCCTTTATATCCTGGCTTTTTAGGTAAGGAATAATTTAAATACAATAATCAAATTTAATAAATATTTGGTTAATAAAATGATACTCAATAAAATTTCACTACAATAAGAAAGTAAACTAAAGGGAATGAATCCTTTAAATATTATCATCTTTGTTTATTAGGGAATATGAGAATACAAATTCCAGTGAGAGGGAAATAATGTAATCATTTAGAATGTTATGATTTTCTTTATTTAAATTGGTACATGCAATAGCGAGATCGTAATAATAATTATATTTTCAGAAAAATAATTTAAGTGTCTATTTCTTGGATGTTAGGAGATTATTAATTTAAATGAATTATAGTTGGATTAAGAATTATATGAGATAGGATTAAAAAGCTATAATTTTTCATCTGATTATATNTTTTGTAATTTAAATAAATATTAAATATTAAAGATATTATTTAAATATTTTAATAATTAACATTCACTAATAAAAACAATAAATACACCACATTAATTATAAATCATTTAATCAAATCAAAGATTTCATGTGATAACTTTTCATAATAAAATAATCATCATATATTCAATTTTAAGTCATTTAATTTCTAAATTATAACATTTGATTTTAATATTTCGAAAATGAATATTATAGATAAATTTTTTTTTATATCTTTTATTGACTTATTTGATTGATTTTCTTTAATTTTTATAGTCTTAGATACTATATATAAAATATATATTTCAATATTAAAAAAACATAGTTAAAGTTGATTATTATAAAATGTTAAAAATATTGATTTTTTACATATTTTTTGACATTATTAATTTTAGAAATATTTGATCCAAAATAATGGATTAAAAGAGTCCTTAAAAATAGTCATCACCAATAAAAATCTCTATTAATAATATAGATAAAATCTCCTATTCAATTAAGGATTCTTGGAAGAATTAAGAGGAAGAAAATCAGAAATTGTTTGATTAGTTTTTATAATATTGCAAATCCTAATATCCCGTTTTTAATATTAAATTTACATGTTCCATAAGTGGGGAATGGTTAGAGTAACCTGTATAAAAATTAATTATCAAAGGTGTCATTTATGCAATGCATAATAGAAAAAAAGCATTTGAATGATTGTTTTGATCTTAAATAAATATTGAAATATTTGATATAGAATGACAGTAATTTTATGTAAGATGGATATATTTAGTGTCCTCTATGCAGAGCAAAAAGTCATTTTAAAAAAGATATACCTTTAATTCCAAATTTATTATTCCAATAACTTTAATAAAAAGTATAAATAATATAATAAAAAATAGTTAAACGATAAATCAAAACCAATAACATATTATTTATCCACTTAAATATTAATTCCTTTATATCCTGGCTTTTTAGGTAAGGAATAATTTAAATACAATAATCAAATTTAATAAATATTTGGTTAATAAAATGATACTCAATAAAATTTCACTACAATAAGAAAGTAAACTAAAGGGAATGAATCCTTTAAATATTATCATCTTTGTTTATTAGGGAATATGAGAATACAAATTCCAGTGAGAGGGAAATAATGTAATCATTTAGAATGTTATGATTTTCTTTATTTAAATTGGTACATGCAATAGCGAGATCGTAATAATAATTATATTTTCAGAAAAATAATTTAAGTGTCTATTTCTTGGATGTTAGGAGATTATTAATTTAAATGAATTATAGTTGGATTAAGAATTATATGAGATAGGATTAAAAAGCTATAATTTTTCATCTGATTATATATTTGAACGACAGTCCTTAACATTATTAGATACATACTCGATAACAAATTATGATCCTCAAATTGTTGCTTACAAAAAGTTAGTTCCAACTACAACAGAAACCATGAACTATATTAAATCTATCTATGATCTAACAGATAGAATTTATTCCTCCACAAAAAATCAAGAATTAACAGATAAATTTTATGAACATCCTTTAAATGGAGATCTAAATATTATTAAAGATTAAATTACTAATTGTAAAATTGAAATACCTTGTAGATGTATTAGATGTGATAAAGTAAATGTTTGCGATCTTAGATACATGAGTTGCATATTAAATTAAGTATAACACCCAGAAAATAGGAATGGAGTCAAAACTTATTCAGTCTCTTGTCCTTTATGTCATAATCCTTTTTCACCTAAAAAAAGACATAGGGATCAAAGTGTTCATGAATAAGTTTATGTGGATACAAAGATGCTCAATTTTATAAATACAATTAAGAATTTTAATTTTTTGAATAAGGAAAAATATTAACTTTTTTTATAAAATAAACTTTATCCATCTCTGAGATTTGAAGAATTAGAATCTCCAATTTAAGAATTAGATTAATTTGATTTAAAATTGAGAGTAAATATTTAATCTATTAAATTTTAGTGTTTAATAACAAATTAGAAATTAAGAAATCCCATTAGAGGTATCTATTGTCAGCATCCTGAAGCCTTTGATGAAAATAGTCTTACTGATTTATGTTCTACAGGTCAATTAGATTTGAACTTGGCATAATGTCCATAATGTCAATAAAGCATTTATAAACTGACACATGATAATATTTTGAAAGAGTTAATAGGCTAATTATAAGGAGACTTTGAGGAAGTTTAAGTCTTCCCTAAACTAAAATCAATCAAATAATTAAAATGATTATTTATGAAAAAATGAGAATCTTATTTATTTATTTTTTGCATAAAAATATAGCTTATAATTAATATTAGGTTTTCAAAAATTGGAACATATTTATCAAGCTATTTTTAATCAAAAAGGAAAAAAAATTAGTATATTGATTAGAATTATTTTATAACGTTATATAAATTTCTTAGATCTATGATCTAATATTCTTGGGTAATATAATTTAATTATAAAATAAAAGTTGAATAATTTTTATAAAATTTCTTAAATAATAATTGTTATTCCTTTTAATTTTGATGATATAACTATAAATTTTACCTATTTTTTATTAGAAATATGTAAAGGATTGTTTATTTTTAAATAGTTAATCATCAATTAAACATAAATTAATAAATGAAGCAAAATAGATATATCTATTTTTAAGTAATTTATAAAATAATTTATATGAAGAAGCTAATAAGCATAAACTATTAAGAATATCAAAAATTTTATTTTTTTATTTGGTTTTTATAAGCTATTGATACTAAAATAAAAGCTAATTTATAAAAAATTCAAAAACATTTTTCCTTTGTCAGAATTTAATTCAATGAAACAGTTTATAAAAAAAATAATAATTCCAGTGTGGTTTCTTTATCTTACTATAAATGAAGGGGATATTTGATTGATTACTTTAATAGAAATTATTCATTAAATAAATGAAATTTTAATGCTACAGAATTTTTTCGATATTTCTATTGATAATTTGCTATTTATCAACAGTGATTGCAAATGATAATTGTAATTTTTATCCAAACTCCCCTTTATAATGTATCTCTAATACTAGTATTTTTAAATGTATTATATCCATTTCATTTTTAGGTCATTTTAACCTATCAATAGGAAAATGCTTAGAGACTTCATAATAAAATTTGGGTTGTTCACAATATTTGAATAGGGAAGCTTGTATAAATTAATAAACAAACAGTTAAGGTGAAAATATGTACTGTAAGAAATTATAATAATGAAATAGGTGCATTTTTTGAAAAATGCCAAACTATAGATTATGCTGAAGTNTGAGATAGGATTAAAAAGCTATAATTTTTCATCTGATTATATATTTGAACGACAGTCCTTAACATTATTAGATACATACTCGATAACAAATTATGATCCTCAAATTGTTGCTTACAAAAAGTTAGTTCCAACTACAACAGAAACCATGAACTATATTAAATCTATCTATGATCTAACAGATAGAATTTATTCCTCCACAAAAAATCAAGAATTAACAGATAAATTTTATGAACATCCTTTAAATGGAGATCTAAATATTATTAAAGATTAAATTACTAATTGTAAAATTGAAATACCTTGTAGATGTATTAGATGTGATAAAGTAAATGTTTGCGATCTTAGATACATGAGTTGCATATTAAATTAAGTATAACACCCAGAAAATAGGAATGGAGTCAAAACTTATTCAGTCTCTTGTCCTTTATGTCATAATCCTTTTTCACCTAAAAAAAGACATAGGGATCAAAGTGTTCATGAATAAGTTTATGTGGATACAAAGATGCTCAATTTTATAAATACAATTAAGAATTTTAATTTTTTGAATAAGGAAAAATATTAACTTTTTTTATAAAATAAACTTTATCCATCTCTGAGATTTGAAGAATTAGAATCTCCAATTTAAGAATTAGATTAATTTGATTTAAAATTGAGAGTAAATATTTAATCTATTAAATTTTAGTGTTTAATAACAAATTAGAAATTAAGAAATCCCATTAGAGGTATCTATTGTCAGCATCCTGAAGCCTTTGATGAAAATAGTCTTACTGATTTATGTTCTACAGGTCAATTAGATTTGAACTTGGCATAATGTCCATAATGTCAATAAAGCATTTATAAACTGACACATGATAATATTTTGAAAGAGTTAATAGGCTAATTATAAGGAGACTTTGAGGAAGTTTAAGTCTTCCCTAAACTAAAATCAATCAAATAATTAAAATGATTATTTATGAAAAAATGAGAATCTTATTTATTTATTTTTTGCATAAAAATATAGCTTATAATTAATATTAGGTTTTCAAAAATTGGAACATATTTATCAAGCTATTTTTAATCAAAAAGGAAAAAAAATTAGTATATTGATTAGAATTATTTTATAACGTTATATAAATTTCTTAGATCTATGATCTAATATTCTTGGGTAATATAATTTAATTATAAAATAAAAGTTGAATAATTTTTATAAAATTTCTTAAATAATAATTGTTATTCCTTTTAATTTTGATGATATAACTATAAATTTTACCTATTTTTTATTAGAAATATGTAAAGGATTGTTTATTTTTAAATAGTTAATCATCAATTAAACATAAATTAATAAATGAAGCAAAATAGATATATCTATTTTTAAGTAATTTATAAAATAATTTATATGAAGAAGCTAATAAGCATAAACTATTAAGAATATCAAAAATTTTATTTTTTTATTTGGTTTTTATAAGCTATTGATACTAAAATAAAAGCTAATTTATAAAAAATTCAAAAACATTTTTCCTTTGTCAGAATTTAATTCAATGAAACAGTTTATAAAAAAAATAATAATTCCAGTGTGGTTTCTTTATCTTACTATAAATGAAGGGGATATTTGATTGATTACTTTAATAGAAATTATTCATTAAATAAATGAAATTTTAATGCTACAGAATTTTTTCGATATTTCTATTGATAATTTGCTATTTATCAACAGTGATTGCAAATGATAATTGTAATTTTTATCCAAACTCCCCTTTATAATGTATCTCTAATACTAGTATTTTTAAATGTATTATATCCATTTCATTTTTAGGTCATTTTAACCTATCAATAGGAAAATGCTTAGAGACTTCATAATAAAATTTGGGTTGTTCACAATATTTGAATAGGGAAGCTTGTATAAATTAATAAACAAACAGTTAAGGTGAAAATATGTACTGTAAGAAATTATAATAATGAAATAGGTGCATTTTTTGAAAAATGCCAAACTATAGATTATGCTGAAGTATAAAAATTGGGTTGTTTTGGGTAGTTCAATAAATTAGCATGTATGAATGTATAAAAAAAAAAATGCTTTTGGAATAATAGATGCCAAGAATTAAATGAAGAGAATAATAATAGTTCTCAACAATGTGATTAATATAATGTTTCTGTTAGCCCTTATACTTGTCAATAAATTCAGTCTGGATTATGTAATATATATATATATTTAAATAGGTATGAATAATGGATATGATGGAGATTATAGATGTGTTGAAGTTGGAAGAGGATAATTATCAAAATTAAAATGTAATGATATAGGATTAAATGATAAAGCATGTATTTCTATAACAACAAATGATTAATATTGTAATATTTCACAATATTAAAAAATTAGGTATATTTTAAGATGGTCAATGCAATTCAATATAACAAGAATAAGTTATAACATGTGACCAAAAATTAAATAAAAATGCATGTATTTCTTTAATGAAACCTAATGGAATTTAATTATTATGTGAATGGGTAGATTCATAATGTAGAGTATTTTAAGAAAAAGAATTTAAATGTGAAACTAAAAATGAAGTTAATGCTTAAGTTTGTACATAATCATAATAATTTTGTATGTATGATGAAAAATAAAAAAAATGTAAGAGTCTAGAAATAAATGAATTTAATAAATTAGGATGTAATGCTCCAGGATTATCTAAGAAAGCTTGTCTTAAAATAAAAACAAAAAGATGTTCATTTTATAAAGGAAAATGTTTAGAATTAAATTAAGAAGATCTTAATCTTTATTAATGTCATATGGATTTAAACGAAAGAGCTTGTGTTAATTTAAAAAACCATTCTTAATTATGTTTATGGAATGGTAATAATTGTTAAGCAATATTTATTAATTAAAATACTAATTGTCCTTTAGAATTAAAAAATTCATTAATGAAAGTTAATGGAAATGTCTGTTAAGCTATATCTAAACCAAATGTGATTTGTAAATATGACATTAAAACTAATTTATGTGTTCAAAGTTCAGTAAATGATTAATGTTCTACTCCATTTCTTAATTAATTAGGATGTTTAAGTATTTAAAAACATTAATAAACATGTTAATGGACTAATAAAGGATGTGCATTAATAAAGATAGAATAAAAATTAACAACTTGTGAAAGTTTAGGTTATGCCAATCCAATTTCTTGTTCTCAAGTTTATGAAAATGATTAAATAGGATGTTATTTTGATGAAAAAAAATAGTAATGCAAATCGATCTAAGTTAATTCTGGTAATAATTAAATAAAACAATTATTAAATACTATTAGTTGCAAAAATTTATCTTTAGGTTTAAATAATGTAATGTGTGCTTCTATTAATACTGAATCAACTCCATGTAGATGGTTTCAATAATAGTGTGTATATTTCTCTGGGAGAAGTGATATTTCAGAAGTCCCATGTTTACATCTATAATATTCTAATTATTAGGCTTGTGCTTTGGCTTCATTTCAAAATGAGCCATGCATGTATTCAGAAGACTTAGCTGGATGCATAAATTATTTTTAAGAAAAAAATAGAGATTGTTTTACATTGGGTTTAAATTAAATTGGTTGCGAATTAATTAAGGATTAATAAAATTCGAATTTGTGTTAGTTTTATAAAAATAAATGTGGCTTAAGTGGTTTAATCATAATTGAAGATCCTGTAAACCCTTCTGAAATAATTTTCAATAATTTTGATAAATGTGATAAAAAATCTCTTATAAAATAAGATTGCGCTTCTATAATAACAAAGGGATAATTATGTTAATGGTCATTAAACACAAACTCTTGTACTGAAATACCTGTTAAATATAATACAAAATGTCTTCAGTTTAGTGGTCCAAATACAATAATTAATCCAAATGTTTGTGCATCAATAGCAAATGATGAATCAGAATATTGTGCTTTTGATATTTAGAATACAAATTGTAAACTTTTTTTCGAAGGTTGTACAACTATATGTTGTAATGAATTAGAATTGATAGGAATAAATGCACATTCATGTAGTAAATTTACAAGTCGAAACGAAATTAAAAACACANATTATATCCATTTCATTTTTAGGTCATTTTAACCTATCAATAGGAAAATGCTTAGAGACTTCATAATAAAATTTGGGTTGTTCACAATATTTGAATAGGGAAGCTTGTATAAATTAATAAACAAACAGTTAAGGTGAAAATATGTACTGTAAGAAATTATAATAATGAAATAGGTGCATTTTTTGAAAAATGCCAAACTATAGATTATGCTGAAGTATAAAAATTGGGTTGTTTTGGGTAGTTCAATAAATTAGCATGTATGAATGTATAAAAAAAAAAATGCTTTTGGAATAATAGATGCCAAGAATTAAATGAAGAGAATAATAATAGTTCTCAACAATGTGATTAATATAATGTTTCTGTTAGCCCTTATACTTGTCAATAAATTCAGTCTGGATTATGTAATATATATATATTTAAATAGGTATGAATAATGGATATGATGGAGATTATAGATGTGTTGAAGTTGGAAGAGGATAATTATCAAAATTAAAATGTAATGATATAGGATTAAATGATAAAGCATGTATTTCTATAACAACAAATGATTAATATTGTAATATTTCACAATATTAAAAAATTAGGTATATTTTAAGATGGTCAATGCAATTCAATATAACAAGAATAAGTTATAACATGTGACCAAAAATTAAATAAAAATGCATGTATTTCTTTAATGAAACCTAATGGAATTTAATTATTATGTGAATGGGTAGATTCATAATGTAGAGTATTTTAAGAAAAAGAATTTAAATGTGAAACTAAAAATGAAGTTAATGCTTAAGTTTGTACATAATCATAATAATTTTGTATGTATGATGAAAAATAAAAAAAATGTAAGAGTCTAGAAATAAATGAATTTAATAAATTAGGATGTAATGCTCCAGGATTATCTAAGAAAGCTTGTCTTAAAATAAAAACAAAAAGATGTTCATTTTATAAAGGAAAATGTTTAGAATTAAATTAAGAAGATCTTAATCTTTATTAATGTCATATGGATTTAAACGAAAGAGCTTGTGTTAATTTAAAAAACCATTCTTAATTATGTTTATGGAATGGTAATAATTGTTAAGCAATATTTATTAATTAAAATACTAATTGTCCTTTAGAATTAAAAAATTCATTAATGAAAGTTAATGGAAATGTCTGTTAAGCTATATCTAAACCAAATGTGATTTGTAAATATGACATTAAAACTAATTTATGTGTTCAAAGTTCAGTAAATGATTAATGTTCTACTCCATTTCTTAATTAATTAGGATGTTTAAGTATTTAAAAACATTAATAAACATGTTAATGGACTAATAATGGATGTGCATTAATTAAGATAGAATAAAAATTAACAACTTGTGAAAGTCTAGGTTATGCCAATCCAATTTCTTGTTCTCAAGTTTATGAAAATGATTAAATAGGATGTTATTATGATGAAAAAAAATAGTAATGCAAATCGATCTAAGTTAATTCTGGTAATAATTAAATAAAACAATTATTAAATACTATTAGTTGCAAAAATTTATCTTTAGGTTTAAATAATGTAATGTGTGCTTCTATTAATACTGAATCAACTCCATGTAGATGGTTTCAATAATAGTGTGTATATTTCTCTGGGAGAAGTGATATTTCAGAAGTCCCATGTTTACATCTATAATATTCTAATTATTAGGCTTGTGCTTTGGCTTCATTTCAAAATGAGCCATGCATGTATCATGAAAGATTCAAAGGATGTGTTAATAATATTCAAGAAAAAACTACAAATTGTGATACTAAAGGATTGAATAAGATTGGGTGTTCATTAATTGATGATAATTGTTAATATGATAAAACAAAATGTATTAAATCAAAAGATACTGATATTATGATTGATCAAGAAATTGATAAAGATTAAGAAATTTAAGAACAAATAAAAATAAATTACAATTCTACTTAAAAATGTAAGGATGCATATTTAAATAAAATCTAATGTTCATCAATTATTACTAAAGGAGAATTATGTATTTGGTCTTACACAACTAACTCTTGTACTTAAACTTTTGTTGAAAATAATCATTATTGTTTAGAATTTGGTAATGAAAGAACAATTGTAAATCCAAATGTTTGTGCATCAATAAATTTAGATTATCCTGAATATTGTGGTTTTGATTATATAACAAAAAAATGTACAATTTATTCTGAAGTATGTAAAACTAAATGTTGCACAGATAAGAAATTGATTGGAATAAATGCTAATTCTTGTAGTAGGTTTTCAAGTAAAGAAATAGGTGTTTATTGTTATTTCAAAGATCTTAAATGTTAAGAATTAAATACAGAAGTGGTTGATATATCCGATCAAAATTTAGTTTAACAATACTATAATGAGTTAAAATTACCTTGTACATCCATGAACATAAATTCCTGCCATATGATTGAGTGGTCAACTTCTTAACTTTGTTATTATAATGGAGAGGCTTGCTTGAATCTAGATTATTCCTAAATCAAAGATTTAATGTCTCTTACCTAACATCCTATAAGATTAAATGAATATTCTTGTTTAGCAATTCAAGCAAAGTTAACAATATATAATAAATAAAAATATTATACTTATGATAAAGTCACAAAAAGATGTAAAGGATTGATAATTAATTCTGAATTTTTATATGCTAAATGTTAAGATGCCTATGGAAATAAAAATCTTTGTACTAGATATACTGGTAATAACTTTTGTAAATGGGATTCAGATAGACTAAATTGTGTGACTATAACTGAAGATGAATTTGGTGAAATTTAAACTTGTAATTCTAACTTAAATATTAAAACTTGTGTTGAGAGTAAAATATTAAATTGTTTTTTTTCTTATGACAATGATGAATGTATTTAAGCACCAATAGATGTTGCTTGTGATTATTTTAATCTCAAAGGGTTAATAACAAATTCAGTATGCAAATATATCAGTAGGCCTAGTTAGCCTTGTGAATATTCTGAAAATTTAAAAATTTGTATAAAATCAGAAACAAAATTTGAAAATTGTGATGTTTCAAGTAAGAATGCAAATAATAGGGCTTGTTATACTAATACAAATGGAAATTGTCGATGGGATTCATAGGCTTATAAATGTTATGAAAATTACACTGAAATTGCAGAATTAAATTGCAATGACAATTTAAATAAAATTCTATGTTCTTAAGTAGAAAAACACGCATGTATGTGGGATGATATATTATATTAATGTTAAGAATTTAAACAATAAACATCTANACCCTTCTGAAATAATTTTCAATAATTTTGATAAATGTGATAAAAAATCTCTTATAAAATAAGATTGCGCTTCTATAATAACAAAGGGATAATTATGTTAATGGTCATTAAACACAAACTCTTGTACTGAAATACCTGTTAAATATAATACAAAATGTCTTCAGTTTAGTGGTCCAAATACAATAATTAATCCAAATGTTTGTGCATCAATAGCAAATGATGAATCAGAATATTGTGCTTTTGATATTTAGAATACAAATTGTAAACTTTTTTTCGAAGGTTGTACAACTATATGTTGTAATGAATTAGAATTGATAGGAATAAATGCACATTCATGTAGTAAATTTACAAGTCGAAACGAAATTAAAAACACAAATATTTTTTGTTTTTTCAATAACCTTAGATGCTAAGAATTGACAAATGATATAGTTGATACATCTAATGAAGAATAAGTCAAATAAAACTATAATGATCTAAGATTACCTTGCACATCCATGAATTATAACTCTTGCCACATGATCGATTGGGACAAATCTTAACGTTGTTATTTTGATGGCAATGTTTGTACTAATTTCCATGATTTTAAAATCTAAGATTTAACAAAGTTAACTTCATAAGAAGCACGTTTAAATAAATTTTCATGTTTATCTATTGAAGCAAAAATCACATCTCTCAACTCACAAAAATACTTTAATTATGATTCTGAAAATAAAAGATGCAAAATTTTAGTTATAACTGAAGATTACCAAACTTGCAAAGATGCAATTGGAAATAAAAATGTGTGTACAAGATATACTGGCAATTAATAATGTATTTGGAATTAAGATGAACTACTATGTGCTGAAATATAAGATGAAGAATTTGGCGAAATAACGACATGCGATTCTAATTTAAACATTAAGGCATGTATTTCTATTAGAAATGCTCTCAGAAATGTATTGCCATGTTTTTTTTCTTATGATACAGATCTTTGTTAAGAGGCTCCTTAATATGTAGAATGTGACTACTTTGTTGGAAAAGGAGTGATAAGTAAATCAGTATGTGAGAGTATAAATCTAACTTAGTAAATTTGTGAATATTCTGAAATTAAAAATACTTGTATAAAATCAGAAACAAAATTTGAAAATTGTGATGTTTCAAGTAAGAATGCAAATAATAGAGCTTGTTATACTAATACAAATGGAAATTGTCGATGGGATTCATAGGCTTATAAATGTTATGAAAATTACACTGAAATTGCAGAATTAAATTGTAATGACAATTTAAATAAAATTCTATGTTCTTAAGTAGAAAAACAGGCATGTATGTGGGATGATATATTATATTAATGTTAAGAATTTAAACAATAAACATCTTATTAATTTGAGAATTCAAATAAAAATGTAAATCATCTTTATAATGAAAAAGCTTGTTTATTAATTACTGGAGCTGGATATTATTTTGATAAAGAAACAAAAAAATGTATAAAAATTGATGAAAGTATTAATAATTTAAGATGTGATCAATATTAAATGAATTAATATGCTTGTTTATATTAAACAAGAACTCATGAATGTTTTTATGATTAAAATGAATAACCTCCTAATAAATTATGTAAATTCTTTGAAGATGAATAATCATAATGTTAAACTTCTATTTTAATTAATATTGAAGTCTGTATGAATTTACCTATTGCATGTATTTTTGATGAAAGTACTCTTTAATGTTAATCATTTTAAGTACAATAAACTATGACTTGTACATAATTATTCAATTATTCCTTAAATAAAAAACATCATAATAAAATTTCATGTGCTTCTGTAAGTTCTAGTTTAACAGAAGTATTTGGAGAAAAATAATGTTCTGAAGAAAAGGAAGATTTTTAACAATGCAGATTTGAAAAATATTGTTATTGGAAAGAATATACATGTTAGGTTTTCAAACTAGTAATTAATTATTTTGATACTGGAAGATCAAAGGCCTAAGAAAGCATTGGTTGCCCTAATGTTGAGATAGTGAATAATTGTCCTAATGAAGTTTTCTAAGCCAATTCTAATTTATATTAAAGAAATAAGCCAAAAATTACAATAAATAGCTTTTGGGAAGAAAAAAACTCATGTAGATTACAAAAATTTTTTACAATATTTGAATATTCGTTTACATCAATTTAAAACCCTTCAGAAACATGCAGAAATTAATTTTGTTCTTATTCTCAATAAGAATTTTGTATGAATGAATATTCAAATCAAATTACTGAAATTTATTTTGAACTTTCCAATGATTAGCTTAACACACTGGCTTCAGTCACTTTAGAAAATTCATCTAATACATTCAATAATCTTTGTGATACTCAATTCGAACCTCCATATAATCAGATTCTTTCAGATAATTGTATTTAATAAGATAATTACGCTTTAACTCCTTGGTGTATATTAATAAAAAATATTATTAGAGTTTGTCATTAATCCTTTTCGTAAGCTCTTTGCCTTGAATTAAATTAAGAAGGATGTTTTTTTGATATAAATTAGGGAGGCTGTCTATATTTAACAAATAATGAACATAAGATACCTAATTGTTCAAGTATATCAAATAATAATTGCTATATAAGTTAAAGCAAGAATGCTATTTGTCAAAATGGAATTGTTGTTAAATAGCCAGGCCCTTCTTGTTTAAGTATTTAAAAGGATCAATAAACCTGTTAAAATATTACAACCTAGCTTTCTAGTTTTAATTGTAATGAAATAAGTGAAGAAATTTCTTAACCAATTTTATGTGCTAAGGCTAATGATTATTGTAGATTTGATGGAATAAAATGTGTTAATACTTTTCCAAATCCTTGTGATTGCAATAAAAGCTATAGTAAATTATTATGTGACCTTTGTGATTGTGATTATGTGTTCTTAGGGTATTGTTAAAAAAAGGGTAGTTTTTTGCACCCTTAATTAAATTAAGATTGCTCAAATAAATATTATTTATGCTATGAAGTCAATTAGTTTGTCATATAAAACAATTAATAAAAGGCTTGCGGTTTAGTTGATTAGGCATGTAAATACACAAATAAATGTGAAGATGCTACTCATTCTACTTGTAATGAATTGATTGATTTTGTTGTATCTTAATAAGCATGTGTAAGATGCACAGGTTTTTCTATGATATATGACAAAATTAATTAAAAATGTGTTCATATAACTCAAAATATAAATTAATGTGAAAATCTGAACAAATAAGCTTGTCTCTCGTTTTCCTATAATATTAAATGTTAATGGCAGAAGTTTCGATCTTAAAAATGTAATTTAAAGAAATATGAATATGGCTGTATTCCAATTTCAAATATCAAAACAACAGATTAATTTGATTGTTTAAGTTTAAATTAGGAATCTTGCAATTAAGAGTAAATAAATTTATGTTGGTTTAATACAGAAAGTAAATTATGTGAAAAATTTAATCCATTAAAAGGAAAATGTGTTTCTTATATGAATTAATCAACTTGTAATTTATCTATGGTTGAATCATGTATATGGAAAGATTTAAAATGTTAAATTGAATTGATTCCATAGAAATGTGAAGGTTTAAATAAATATGGATGCTTAAATTTGTAATAATTACCTTGTGTTTGGTCTGATACTTTATTAAAATGTGAATTAGCTAAATTCATTGATAAACCAGAAAGTTGTATTTCATTTTTAATTAATTAATCTGAAATATCACATATGAATGCTTAAACTTGTACTTAAATTAATGTTAATAAAAGTTGTATATTAGCATAAACCTATAAGTGTAGAGAAATATAAGAACCATAACTTTATCAATGTGAAACTTAAGGATTAAATTATAATGCTTGTCTATTAAAAACTAAGAATAATTGTGCTTTTTTAAATAATAAATGTATAACAATCTAAAATGTCAATGAAGGTTGTAAAGATTATTTAAATTAAGTAGCTTGCTTGATGTAGGATGCATTCTGCAAATTTAATAAAGGGGTATGCTCAGATTTTAAATTTAATTCTATTAATGATATTATTGATAATAAATTTGCACCTTATTCAATAAAGGTTTGCTAAATTTTTAATGAGGAAATAGGTTTAATTTATAGTGACATTTAGAAGAGATGTGTAAAAGTTGATAATTTAAATAGAATCTTGACTGACTGCACTGAATTTGGAATTAACAAATACACATGCTTAAACAAAGTATAATCTTTTTGTGAATTTAAAGATAATAAATGTTAGCATATTAACCCTTCAGATATTACAATTTGTTTAAATACATTAAACTAATTTGCATGTACTTAATCAAGTAATGTATTATGTAAATTTTAAAATAATTAATGTAATGTATTTAGTGAGACAAATGATTTTAATTGTGCCTTATAATAGTCTAAATAGCTGAGTAATCCAAAAATATGTTAAGCAGATAAAAAAAATCCATGTTTCTTTAATGGTAAAACAAGATAATGTCAATTAGTTGAAGAAAAATCAATTCAAATAGAATGTTATGGATTAAACAGGAAAGCTTGTATTTTTAATTCATAAGAATTGGTTTGTCTATATAATGAAACTGATAAGAAATGTGAAGGTTCATATGGATATTCAAAATGCAGCGATTTAGTAAATAAAAATAAATGTTTATCTATCATTACGAAAGGACAAAGTTGTTAATTTAATGATACTGAAGGTTGTCAATATCTTGATAAATCAGAAGATATTTTTAAATGTGAAAAGTAAATTTAAACAAATCCTTATACTTGTTCCTAAAGTTTGGATGTTCCTTGCTTTTATGATAAACAAAAAAAAATGTGTATTTAATATACAACTTTAGAAAATCTTAATAGTATTACTAATTCATCTATTATTTCGAACTACTAATTATCTAACATTGATTCGTTTAACAAACAAACTTGTGAGTAATTTTAAAAAGAAATATTTTTACAAGACTCTCAACTAATTTATAAAGATGTTCTTATTTTTTGGAAGGAATCTTGCATTTAAATTCAAAGTGCATAATTATTCTAATTATAATGCGATTAAAATGTAAATATGAATGCATGCATTAATATTAAAACTCAATTTTAATATTGTTAATATATAAATAATAAATGCATAAATGTTGATTTAAAGGATTATATAAATACACCTTGCGAGTCTATCAAAAATATAAACTCAGGTGCTATATGTGCTTAGACTTTAGATGTTGCTTGTTATTTTGATCCTTTTACTTTTAGTTGCAAAAGTCTTAAAATTGATTCTTCAGATATTCAATAAATTCAGTGTGTTGATAAAAATCCTGAATAAAAAGGGTATAACAAGTAGGCTTGTAGTCTAGATTAAAAGAATTGTATATTTAAGGAACAATGTTATAAAATTAATAAGACCATTATACAATTTTGTGAGGATGCGACAGATATAATTTAATGTTAAAAAGTATAAAGAGAAGGATGTTAGTTTTAATAAAATAGATGTATTAAGATTTAATTTTCTGATTATTACTCACTTCCATGTGAATTAGCTATTAACAGATAAGGATGTATCAATATTTAAACGAAGGGATTGTATTGTTAATATTTTGAAGATAAATGTATGTCTCGCGATTTAATGGATATAAGATAAATTGAATGTCTCGAAGTCAAAAATATTAATCACTATTCTTTTTGTGAATATCCTCAAGATGAAGGTTGCATTTATAATATCTTATCTTAATCTTGTTAAATTGTATCTGCAATGGAAGATCTTATATGTTAAAGAGGAATAAATAGAATAGCATGTTTAAAATAAACAAATAGCTAATTAAATTGCTAATTTATAGATTATTGTTATGATCCTAATTATGGGATCTAAAAGTGTACTAATCCAAATAAAAGTTTATGTTGTAGAGAGGCAGGCTCAATAGAAAATTGCTTAAATTAACAACTATATAAATGTTAATGGAATAATAATGAATGTTAAAATTATTTAGATAGTTAAAATTCTAGATGTGATGATATCAAATTCTCAAGTTTACTTACTTGTATTTCTATATAGGATAATTTTTGTATATATGATTCAATAAATCATATATGTAAATCTATTGAACCTACATCTTGCGATTAATTATAATCACCAAGTTAATGTAGCAGAATACTGACTTTACCTTGTATATGGTACGAAGAGGAATAATAATGTATATATCTTGAAATTTAAGATGATAAAAATGGTTATATTTCAATGATAAGTTCAGCCTAAATGAATTGTGAAGATATAACACATTAAAATGGAAGTTAAAGAGCTTGTATGAATATTGAAAGATAAGGGTAAATGTGTATATATAAAGATAATCAATGTGCAGCTTTTGAATAAGATGAAACTAAGAATAATTGTTTAGATAATATTAATATTAATTCTTGTTTATAACAAAAAATAAGTGATTGTTATTGGAATATCTAATTAGTTAAAGTCAAAAAGACTATTTAAAATATTGAATCAGAAGAAAAATTTGGAAACTGTATTAAATTTGTTTAATATGAATCAAGTAGTTGTGATTCTAAACTTAGTTACACATCTTGTCTAAAAATTATAAAGGAAGGGATAAATTGTAGGTGGAAAAATTAATAGTGTTAAACTATTGATGATAAAGAATTAATTATATTTTAACCTTCATATCTATTTGAGGTCAATGTAAATGCTTGTGGTTTAATAAATAATGGAAACCTTGTAAAATATGATAAAAATATGAGATTCTGCATTAAAGTTGATGATGTTTAGACTTTATCATGTCTAACAGAAGGATTAAATAAAGAAGCTTGTCTAAATATTAAATTTTAAAATTGTTTTTGGGATCCTACAAGAAGAAAATGTAGATATTAGTAATTTTTAATAGATGAAAAATTAAATTCTTGTAAATTATAAAATTTGTCTTCTTATTTATGTTCATAACTAAAATTAGATTTACCATGTGGATTTATGAAAGATGGCTGTGATTTTGTTGATTTAGACTAAGTAAAATGTACTTATGAAGGATTGAATAAATATGCTTGTCTAAATATTAAAAAATATCCTTGTATTTGGTTAAAGAATTCAAATAATGAAAATTATCATTGTGACGATTATTTATAATATCTTCCTTGTGATTAAATACCATCAAATGTTAATTCAAAAGTTTGCTCTATTGTTAAAGAAGGTGCTTGTTATTATGATTAATAAAATTTCAAATGCGAAATTCCAAATGAGGATTAAAAAAGTTGCTCATTGACTGGATTAAATATTATTGGGTGTGTTAAAATTGAAAATTGCTTTTTTGATTAAAATTGCTAATTATTAAATAAATAATAATATATATGTGAAGAATTTCCTATTGCTAATAAATTAATTTGTAAAAATGCTGTAGATTCTTGTAAATATAATGAATTTTAATATGGATGTTCACGTGCTTTCGACGAATTTTGTTCTAATGATTCACTAAGTGAATAAGGATGTTTAAATTAACCAAACTGTGTACTTTAAGCATAAAGATGTCAATGTAAAAAGTTTGTTGAAATTTATGATTGTACTGAAATTCAAGATATGGATAAATGTAACTTAAAGAGTCATTGCAAGGTTTAATAATAAGAAAATTAATAAAGTTTACAATGCATACTAAAATAGTGTTAGGATTATTCTTCTGATGAATGCGAAGGAAAATCTTTTCTAAAATCAATCTGTTATTGGAGTAGTTCTAATGAATGCTTGTCAGCGTAAAAATGTGATGATATTGTTAAACCTATGTTTGATTGTTTTAGATACGAATTTAATGATAGACCTTGTTAAAAGAAAATGAATTCTAAAATGTGTGAATAATTTAACTGTGAAAATTTTAGTAAAGAAAAATGTTTAGCATATGAACAATTTTGTAATTTTGATTAGACTTGTTAAAAAAATTAATGCAATTTATATTAAATAATGGAATCTTGTATTATAAATAACTGCCATTGGGATTCAAAAGAAAATACTTGCTCTGAATAAATTAATTGCTCTAAAATTTATGATGAAATTGAATGTAATAAATATAAATACAATTCCAGACCTTGCCAATGGATAGTTAATGAAGATATTAAATATTGTACATAATATAGATGCAGTGATTTAGACAAATCGTAATAATGTTCTGGATCACGTATTGGATCAGAATTTTGTGTTGAAATTAGTGATTCTATTTGTATATCTTGTGAAGAGATTTTTGATTCTTGTGATTGTCTATAATATTCAAAATATTGTAGTTATGATATAAAAAAAGATAAATGCACTTCTAAGAATTGTGAATCTTATTTAACTAAAGAAGAATGCCCTATAAATTATTGCACATTTATAGAATAGGTAAATTAAATTAATATTCTTAGAAATGTTAAATATAATGTTAATTGATAAATAATTACGACTCATGTTATAATATGAATTATTTATGTGAATGGAGAGAGGAAAATCAAAAGTGTTAACCAAAGTGTGAATATATATTTGATGAAGAAATGTGTAGTTAAGTAGATTAATGCTCTTGGAATTACTAAAAAGATAAATGCTAAAACAATGAACCTATTATAATTGTTAATCCTTTGGGTTACGGAGAAGTTATCATCACAGGCCTAATAACTTTATGCATATCCTTAATGTGAAATTAATTTCATTAAATTCATATTAGAATATTAATATTATTTATTTTTTATTTAATTAAGAATATTTCTCAAATTATTTTCCTTCAGGGTTATACTAATTCATGAAGATTTAAATTTCAGAAAAGATAATTTAATAATGGATGGTGTTCATTTTTTTTTTTAATTTTTTGATAATTTTATAGAGGTTTTTGGAAGGATGCAGAGAAGAAAAATCACTTGTAGGAACAGAGTTTAATGAACAAATTTAAGATTAAAATCATCATTTTGAAAATAAAAAAATGTTAAGCAATAACCAGATAAATATATTGCCAAGGAACAAATTTGTGTTTTTTTCTTTGTTAAACAATTAAATTCAATTACAATAAGTTATGACTTTTAAGAATTACTTATTTATTTTATTTATAGGAAAAATTAATTTACCTCTTTCTAAAAGAAAAAATCCCTTTAAAATATATGATAAAGAATAAGAAATTTTAGCTAAAGGGTGAAAATATCACATTTTCTAATCAAATAGTAAAACTACATTTTAATTACAATTAGTTTCTTATTAAAAAATATTAAATCAGTATATTATTAAGCATGTTTATTATAATCTAACAAAAAAAAGGTTAATGTATAATTCAACATTAGTGTTTGCTCTAAGTATTTACTTCATTTTGTAGTTAATAGAGGCAGTAGCAAATTTTTAATTCACTAAATTTGAAAATTAATAAATTGAATAAAATCTTCAAATTATGCTAGGATTTTGATTATTTATTAGAATTAATAATAGCAAAATTTATCATAATATTTATTAACTCAAATTTTAATAACCCTTTTTCTAAGAATCTTCATAATTTGATCTTAATAAAAAGGAAGCCAATTTAATGTTCCTTAAATTACTAAACTTTTTTTTAAATTCTCTCATTTGTATTAGTCAAAAGCAAAAATTTACATATTTTATAATATTACTAAGCTATCAATAAAAATTTGAGACTATTATTATTTATATATAAATAATTAAATTAATATATCAATTATTAATGATAATAATAATCTATTTGCTCTCTGCTTTTTATACTTAGGAAATAAGACAAAAATAATGCTTAGTATCTCGACCTGACATAAAGACTTGCTTTGAATAAACAAAACAATTTTTTTGTATTTAAATCAACTATAATAATAGGTGGCTTTGACTAATACTTTAACTCTTGTATTCCTATCTTAGATACTAATAATGGATGTGACTCGAAATTAAATGAAAAAGCTTGCATAAGTTAAATAAGTAATAAACAAGGAGAAGAATGTTAATGTATTTGAAACAGTTAATAATTTAGGTGTTTTTGACACAAGATGCAAAAATATTTCAAAACATTAATTATCTAAGATTGAATGTATTGGAAATATTAGTAAATATGCTTGCCTGAATATAAGTAACCATAGATGCTATTGGGATTCATTTTGTAAAGAAATCTTAACAGAATAAATTCGAGGTTTATCATGTGAAGAATAATATGATCTTCCAGTCAACCCTTTAGCTTGTTCAACATTATAAAATTTGGAATGTATTAAATTATTGAAAAATTAAAGGTATGAATACAGGATAGACTGGAGATTTTAAATGCATAAAAATATAACAAAACAATTATTCAACATTAAAATGTTCATAATTAGGGTTGACGGAGTTGGCTTGCATAAAAATACAAACACCTGGAGAAAAATGTATTTGAAAATTTAATTTAGGTATTTATAAAAATCGAGTTTGTCAACCTATCTAGAACAATGAAATTGTAAATTGCAAATAAAAAATCAATAAATTGGCTTGTCTTTCAATAGAAAATCCTAATTTAAATTGTTAGTGGATAAATGATAATTGTTAAGAATTTTAATTTACAAACAAAATATTTGAAATTGTATCAGATGTTAACAAAAATGTTTGTATTAAACTTTAAGGATCTTATAAATATGTGAGAGAAAAATTCTAATGTGAAATAATTCCATTAGAAAATCATTATTCAATCAAAATGCATGTTTATAATAAACTATATCATAATGTTATTGGGATATAAATGTACAAACTAATGAATAAAATTAAATACCATTAGGAATATGTAAATAATTTGATGGACAATAAAATAAATTTGATTGTTTAAATATTTTAAGTTTTCAATCATGTTTGAATATAAATAAAGAAAAAACATATTGTTATTGGAAGGATGGATATTGTTAAAAAGTCATAGATGATAATCTAAATATTGAAAATTTTTCAAAAATTTAGTATGTTAATAAAAATACCTGTTAATTAATCACAATTATTTAATTTATTTATGACTAAACACTTTATAAATGTGTAAAAAATAAAAATTTATCTAATCAATGTACTTGGAACATTTAAAAGCAAATTTGTATGAATCCAACAAATGATTAATTATAAACTTCAGTATAGAATGCTAATCAAAGTTCTTAAGATACTAATAATTCATTAGGCTCTATAGTGGTTTAAGTATAACCTTGTGGGATTATAGATGAAATTTGTTAGATTATTGATTTAAATATAGTGAAATGTGATCATTAAGGATTAAATAAATATGCTTGTTTAAACATAAAGACTTAACCATGTATTTGGATAAAAAATAATGATTAAGATTTTGAGCATTGTGAAGAGAGAATACCAGAAGGATATTGTGAAGAATAAAATGGAAATGAGAAATTAAATGTGAGTGTAAATGCTATTTTATGTAGTATGGTATAAGAAAATGATCCTTGTTCATATGATTCTAGTAAATAGAAGTGTAAAAAACCAGATGATAATTTAACATATTGTGATGTAGAAGGAATTAATGTTTATGGATGTGTATAAATAAAAAATTGCTACTATTAGAATCAAAAATGCTAATTATTTGATCCAAATTTAAATTTAACATGCAAAGATGTTCAATTTGCTAATGAATTAGTTTGTTCTTAAATTAAAAATGATGGATGTAAACATAATTTATTAGAATTTGGATGTATTCAATCTTCTATTTTAGATTCCTGTTCTACTTCAGGAATAAATATGAATGGATGTAATTCAAATGAATAATGTTAATGGAATAATGAAAAATGTTAATGCAAAATGTTATTAGATTTATATAAAGATTGCTCAGAACATATTGATTATCTAAATTGTATTAATTCTGATAAATGTTATTTTGAATAAACTATGTTTATTGAGAATTTAGGTATTTGTAAAGAAAAGTAGTGTAATGATAATAATTTATGCAATTATGAATTATATAAAGGAAAGATCTGTTATTAGAATTTTAATGGATAATGTATTGAAGCTACTTCATGTGATTAAATTAAAGGTCCTTCAATAAATTGTTCTATATTTTCTTTTAATGATTTATAATGTGTAAGTGATGGTAATGATGGTTGTATTCAATTTTAAAGTTGTGAAAATTTAAGTAGAATATAATGTATCAATTATAGTGATTATTGTATCTTACTCAATTCATGCATTACAAAATAATGTCATCATATTTCTGATTAATATTAATGTATTAATTTTGATTGTGCTTGGATCAATAAATAATGTATCAATTAAATTTAATGTTCTGAAATTTTATAAGAAAAAGATTGCAATAACAATTAATATTAAGGTGTATAATGTACTTGGAATTTAGTAAAAAATGATAATATTGATACTTAAATTTGTACTTCAGAGGGTTGTAATTTTCTCCATAAAAATAGTTCTTGTCAAGGAACTTAAATTGGATAGTCAGTTTGTCTATAAACTTAAGATTTAATCTGTCTTTCATGTGAATAAATTTCAGATATCTGTGAATGTATGGAAAAAGTAGAATATTGCACTTATAATATTTAAAAAAATAGATGTATTTCTCAACCATGTTAAAACTATAATAAATAGTCTTGCCCTAAAAATAGATGCTATTTTTATGAATAACACTAAGTAGAATATAATTATAAATTATTAGATTTGCATTCCTTAATGTTAGTTTCAATCTTCTAAAACTTAGTGTTAAAAATTAACTTTATGTATTTGGGATGAGTATCAAAGACCTCCATGCATAGATACATAATATGTTAAAGATAATGTTTTGACAAATATTTTAGTTGATAAAGCATTAGATAGAGTACTAACCTTAATTCCATTTTTTTTATTGCTATAGCTTTGAATCATCTTTATTGAATTATTTTTTTCAAAGATTTTTAAGAATATATATTATTATAACATATTTCTGAACATTAAAATTCAAAATATTTAAGGAGTATTCAATAAATAATTATTNATAAAATTAAATACCATTAGGAATATGTAAATAATTTGATGGACAATAAAATAAATTTGATTGTTTAAATATTTTAAGTTTTCAATCATGTTTGAATATAAATAAAGAAAAAACATATTGTTATTGGAAGGATGGATATTGTTAAAAAGTCATAGATGATAATCTAAATATTGAAAATTTTTCAAAAATTTAGTATGTTAATAAAAATACCTGTTAATTAATCACAATTATTTAATTTATTTATGACTAAACACTTTATAAATGTGTAAAAAATAAAAATTTATCTAATCAATGTACTTGGAACATTTAAAAGCAAATTTGTATGAATCCAACAAATGATTAATTATAAACTTCAGTATAGAATGCTAATCAAAGTTCTTAAGATACTAATAATTCATTAGGCTCTATAGTGGTTTAAGTATAACCTTGTGGGATTATAGATGAAATTTGTTAGATTATTGATTTAAATATAGTGAAATGTGATCATTAAGGATTAAATAAATATGCTTGTTTAAACATAAAGACTTAACCATGTATTTGGATAAAAAATAATGATTAAGATTTTGAGCATTGTGAAGAGAGAATACCAGAAGGATATTGTGAAGAATAAAATGGAAATGAGAAATTAAATGTGAGTGTAAATGCTATTTTATGTAGTATGGTATAAGAAAATGATCCTTGTTCATATGATTCTAGTAAATAGAAGTGTAAAAAACCAGATGATAATTTAACATATTGTGATGTAGAAGGAATTAATGTTTATGGATGTGTATAAATAAAAAATTGCTACTATTAGAATCAAAAATGCTAATTATTTGATCCAAATTTAAATTTAACATGCAAAGATGTTCAATTTGCTAATGAATTAGTTTGTTCTTAAATTAAAAATGATGGATGTAAACATAATTTATTAGAATTTGGATGTATTCAATCTTCTATTTTAGATTCCTGTTCTACTTCAGGAATAAATATGAATGGATGTAATTCAAATGAATAATGTTAATGGAATAATGAAAAATGTTAATGCAAAATGTTATTAGATTTATATAAAGATTGCTCAGAACATATTGATTATCTAAATTGTATTAATTCTGATAAATGTTATTTTGAATAAACTATGTTTATTGAGAATTTAGGTATTTGTAAAGAAAAGTAGTGTAATGATAATAATTTATGCAATTATGAATTATATAAAGGAAAGATCTGTTATTAGAATTTTAATGGATAATGTATTGAAGCTACTTCATGTGATTAAATTAAAGGTCCTTCAATAAATTGTTCTATATTTTCTTTTAATGATTTATAATGTGTAAGTGATGGTAATGATGGTTGTATTCAATTTTAAAGTTGTGAAAATTTAAGTAGAATATAATGTATCAATTATAGTGATTATTGTATCTTACTCAATTCATGCATTACAAAATAATGTCATCATATTTCTGATTAATATTAATGTATTAATTTTGATTGTGCTTGGATCAATAAATAATGTATCAATTAAATTTAATGTTCTGAAATTTTATAAGAAAAAGATTGCAATAACAATTAATATTAAGGTGTATAATGTACTTGGAATTTAGTAAAAAATGATAATATTGATACTTAAATTTGTACTTCAGAGGGTTGTAATTTTCTCCATAAAAATAGTTCTTGTCAAGGAACTTAAATTGGATAGTCAGTTTGTCTATAAACTTAAGATTTAATCTGTCTTTCATGTGAATAAATTTCAGATATCTGTGAATGTATGGAAAAAGTAGAATATTGCACTTATAATATTTAAAAAAATAGATGTATTTCTCAACCATGTTAAAACTATAATAAATAGTCTTGCCCTAAAAATAGATGCTATTTTTATGAATAACACTAAGTAGAATATAATTATAAATTATTAGATTTGCATTCCTTAATGTTAGTTTCAATCTTCTAAAACTTAGTGTTAAAAATTAACTTTATGTATTTGGGATGAGTATCAAAGACCTCCATGCATAGATACATAATATGTTAAAGATAATGTTTTGACAAATATTTTAGTTGATAAAGCATTAGATAGAGTACTAACCTTAATTCCATTTTTTTTATTGCTATAGCTTTGAATCATCTTTATTGAATTATTTTTTTCAAAGATTTTTAAGAATATATATTATTATAACATATTTCTGAACATTAAAATTCAAAATATTTAAGGAGTATTCAATAAATAATTATTGAACATACTAAGAAAATTCTTTTTTATAAATGAATATATAGTGATTAATTTTATAATTAATTATTATTATAATATCCAAAATTATCATTCATTATAAATATAAAAGCCTCTTAACTTTCTTTTGAGATTATTATTTAAATCTTATGTAATTTGGAATAATTCTATTAATAATTACCAAAACATATATTTGCAAGATAATATCATCCTGCTAATTATATTCTGACAATCCAGAAGCATGTATAGAAAAAACAACTGACTATAAATGTACTTTTATTTTTTTTTAAATTAGGCAATTTCAATTATTTTGAGAGTAAGTGCATTCTTGAAAATTCGATATCTCTAGGTTGTATTGAAAATTTGAATCAAGGTGCTTGCATTAGTTAATAAACTGATTTTTAAGGAAAAGAAGTTTAATGTAAAGAAGATATTATAGTTAAGGTGTCTTTAATAAGAAGTGCTAACCTGTGTTATAGACAGAACTATAAAACCAAGGTTGTAGGACAACCTATAACAAATATGCATGCTTTAATGTAGTAAATGCAGATTGCGAATGGAAGAATAATTAGTGCTAGCCTTTGGAAGAAATAAAAGAAACAGCATATTCATGCGAAGAATCTTATTAAAAATCTGTTACATTTGTAACATGCTCTAAATTATAGAATCTATCATGTATTATTTGATCGAAATTATAAGGTATAAGTTCTGGATTTACAGGTGAATATGGTTGCATAACTGTCTAGGAATAATAATTGAAGACTTTGTAATGTACTGAAAAGGGTTTGACAAAATAAGCTTGTATATCTATTTAAACAGAAGGATAGGAATGTAAGAAAAATGATTAATCTATAGGTATCTTCAAAGATCAGATGTGTCGAAATATTGAAGAGTCAGAAATAAATACTTGTTAAAGGAATTTAAATAGATGGGCTTGTTTATCAATTAAAAATCCTAAAATCTCTTGTTAGTGGATAGAAAATTCTTGTTATCCTTATATATAATTAAATGAAAACCAATAAAATGAAATATTAGAAGTGAATGTCAGTGTCTGTCAATCCATAAAAGGATTATATAGGTATGATAAAAAAAATACTAAGTGCATTCAAATAATTGATTTTTAAGATCTATCATGTAATACTGAAGGATTATCTAAGGATGGATGTTTAAAAATAAAGAATAAAAATTGTATATTTATTGAAGGAAAATGTTAAGAATTAAATGAATAAGATCTTGAAAGTTATTTATGTAATATGGATTTAAATGAAATGAGTTGTGTTAATTTAAAAACAGAATTTTAATATTGTAAATGGAATATAAATAAATGTGAAAGAATATTTATGAATTAAGATATTAATTGTCCATTAAATTTTGAAGATATATCTATTAAAGTTAATGGAAATGTATGTTAAGCTATATCTAAACCTAATATATTATGTAAATATGATTAAAATACTAATTTATGTATTACAAGTTTAATTGATGATGATTGTAATNTTATAAATATAAAAGCCTCTTAACTTTCTTTTGAGATTATTATTTAAATCTTATGTAATTTGGAATAATTCTATTAATAATTACCAAAACATATATTTGCAAGATAATATCATCCTGCTAATTATATTCTGACAATCCAGAAGCATGTATAGAAAAAACAACTGACTATAAATGTACTTTTATTTTTTTTTAAATTAGGCAATTTCAATTATTTTGAGAGTAAGTGCATTCTTGAAAATTCGATATCTCTAGGTTGTATTGAAAATTTGAATCAAGGTGCTTGCATTAGTTAATAAACTGATTTTTAAGGAAAAGAAGTTTAATGTAAAGAAGATATTATAGTTAAGGTGTCTTTAATAAGAAGTGCTAACCTGTGTTATAGACAGAACTATAAAACCAAGGTTGTAGGACAACCTATAACAAATATGCATGCTTTAATGTAGTAAATGCAGATTGCGAATGGAAGAATAATTAGTGCTAGCCTTTGGAAGAAATAAAAGAAACAGCATATTCATGCGAAGAATCTTATTAAAAATCTGTTACATTTGTAACATGCTCTAAATTATAGAATCTATCATGTATTATTTGATCGAAATTATAAGGTATAAGTTCTGGATTTACAGGTGAATATGGTTGCATAACTGTCTAGGAATAATAATTGAAGACTTTGTAATGTACTGAAAAGGGTTTGACAAAATAAGCTTGTATATCTATTTAAACAGAAGGATAGGAATGTAAGAAAAATGATTAATCTATAGGTATCTTCAAAGATCAGATGTGTCGAAATATTGAAGAGTCAGAAATAAATACTTGTTAAAGGAATTTAAATAGATGGGCTTGTTTATCAATTAAAAATCCTAAAATCTCTTGTTAGTGGATAGAAAATTCTTGTTATCCTTATATATAATTAAATGAAAACCAATAAAATGAAATATTAGAAGTGAATGTCAGTGTCTGTCAATCCATAAAAGGATTATATAGGTATGATAAAAAAAATACTAAGTGCATTCAAATAATTGATTTTTAAGATCTATCATGTAATACTGAAGGATTATCTAAGGATGGATGTTTAAAAATAAAGAATAAAAATTGTATATTTATTGAAGGAAAATGTTAAGAATTAAATGAATAAGATCTTGAAAGTTATTTATGTAATATGGATTTAAATGAAATGAGTTGTGTTAATTTAAAAACAGAATTTTAATATTGTAAATGGAATATAAATAAATGTGAAAGAATATTTATGAATTAAGATATTAATTGTCCATTAAATTTTGAAGATATATCTATTAAAGTTAATGGAAATGTATGTTAAGCTATATCTAAACCTAATATATTATGTAAATATGATTAAAATACTAATTTATGTATTACAAGTTTAATTGATGATGATTGTAATACACCATATCTTAATTAAAAAGGATGTCTAAGTATAATTACTAATAAAAAAACATGTTAATGGACTAATAAAGGTTGTATTTCTATATCAATTAATTAATATTTTACTACTTGTGAAACTATTGGACATGCAAATCCTTATACTTGTTCTTAAATTTATGAAAATAATACAAAAGGATGTTATTATAATTAAATTTTATAAAAATGCATTCCTTTATTGATAAAAGTAGATAAGGATGCTTAGCAAGAATAAATACAACAATAAAAACTAGATCTTCAATTCTTAAATAGTGTCTCTTGTGAGAATTAAGAGCTAGGATTAAATAGAGTAGCTTGTGGATCAATCACAACAAATGGAGTGGCATGCATGTGGAGATAAGAAAAATGTGTATTTATTTAGAATAAAGCAATTATTTCAGCAATATCTTGCTTAAGTTTATAATGGGCAAATGCTAGAGCCTGTAATTATGCTGAATTTTAAAAGGAAATTTGTAGATATGATGAAGAATAAATTTCATGTGTGACATCAGCCAAAAATAATATGAAATGTGAAGAAATAGGTTTAAATCGTTATGGTTGCATGATAGCAGAAGGATTTTGTTACTTTAATGAAGAATTATCTTTGTGTTTGAATGATGCTTCACCAAATATTACAGAATTATTAACATGTGTTGGGAATTCACCATCAAAACCTATGTGTTTAAGTATTACAAAAAAAGGAGAGTACTGTATATGGCAAGCAAGTAATGGCAAATGTTCTAAGGCTAACCTTCCATTTAACAGCAATTGTCTTTCACTAAATCTTTAAGGTGTATAAATGAATGCGAATACATGCACTCTGATTGAAATGAGTTATCCAGATTATGATTTATTAAAAGAGAAATCATTAACTGAAAATTATGGATATTGCTCATATAATTCTAAATTAAATATTTGCTAAATTAAAACTACTTTTTGTAAAACAAATTGTTGTACAGAAATTGAAGAGATTGGGATAAATGCTCATTCTTGTAGTAAATATTCATCGCAATAACCAGGAGTTTATTGCTATTTTGAAGAAGCAAGATGTAAAGAATTAACTCCTGAATAAGTGAATACTTTAGATGCAGAAGCTGTAAAAAGGTACTACAATGTTAAATAATTCAAATGTTCTTAAATGAATCTAAATTCTTGTCATATGATTGAATGGAGCACAACTTAGAGATGTGCACACTTTGGAACTTCATGCATTAATATAAATCTTAAAGAATAACCTTCTCTTGACTTTCTAACAAAAGAGCCAACAAAAACTAATAAATACACATGTTTCGCTATTGAGGCAGAATCATAGGTTGATAAATACTTTACTTTTGATGAAGTTAATCAAAGATGTAAAAGCTTATAATTTGAATCAGAGACTCCTTTTAATAAGTGTGAAGATGCAATAGGAAACAGAAATCTCTGTTTGAGATATACAGGAAATAATTATTGTAAATGGAATTCAGAGAAGCTATTATGTGAAACTATAATGGATTATTAGGTTGATAATATTTAATCCTGTGATTCAAATTTAAACATAAAAGCATGCATTGAAAATAAAGTAAGTCCATGTTTTTTTTCTTTTGATGCTGATAAATGTTAATATGCACCAAAAGAAGTTGAATGCAATCATTTTGATACTTTAGGTAAGGTTAGTGAAAAAGTATGCAAACTCATCATTAAATCAGGATAGATTTGTTAATTTAAAGATTATTTATGTGCTAAATTTGAAACATATGAAAATAAATGTGAAGTTTAAGGTGCCAATTCTATTGCATGTTATAATAATATAAATGGAAATTGTAGATGGGATAGTATTACACTATAATGTTATGAGAATTTTAGTGATATAAGCACTTTATATTGCTCAAGCAATTTAAATAAAATACTTTGTTTATAAGTATTAAAAGAACCATGTTTTTGGAATGAAGAGGATTTATAATGCTAAAGATTTAATTCAACTCCAGATGCTAAATTTAAAAAGTTAAATTCGAATAATTTATATACAAAAGATGCATGTTCATTAATAACTGGTGCTGGATATATTTATTAATCTGATAAATGTGTTTTATTACCTGATACATCTAATACTAATGAATGTTCAAAGTATTGGATGAATGAATATGCATGTTTATATTTAACTAAAGGATTTAATTGTTATTATGATGTGACAGAATAGTTATAAAGAATGAAATGTAAACCATTTTAAGGAGAGTACTCTTAATGTTAAGATGAGAATTCATAAATATTAATTAATATAGAGGTTTGTATGAATATACCTAAATCTTGTATTTTTGATCAGAATATTCTCAGATGTGTTAATGTTGAAATAGGACTTCAAGAGAAATGTTCAACAATAGCTGGGTTAATAAAAGAAAAGAAGTATTATAATAAATTAGCTTGTTCATCAATTAATCCATAAATTCAAGATACTTATGGTAATTAATAATGTTTTCAAGATTAATAGAATTTTTAGAATTGTTTATATGAAAAGTATTGTTTTTGGGACAAATTATTTTATTCATGTAATGTATATGTTCCAGTAATTACATATTTTTATACTGATAATTGGGTAAAAAAGGAGTTAAAAGTATGTAAAAATGAAAAAAATTAATTTGAAAATTTTGATGATGGGTGTTCCTATACAATTAGATATAAAGATGGACGTAAATTTGTAGGTTAACAATAAGTTGGACAGCCTTTGCAATGTAGTAAAACCAATTCAACATGTCAGTCAGATGATAATTGTATTCCATATTAAACAAGCACTCTTTAATTGGATTATGTTAATGGTAATATGACAATAACGTTTCCCTAAAATTACACATAAACATGCGAAAAACGCTGTGGATTTTAAGGTTAAAAAACTAATTTTTGTAATTAAGATTCAGATTGTGGTTAGGAGTACATTAAAATGTCAGATATTTAGTATGCTGACTTTCAAGATTGTAGAGTAATGAAAAGAAGATGGCGTTATGAAAATTAGACAATTTATGAAGAAACATTAATTAAACCGACTTATCCAAATGATATTTATAGTAGCTACTTTGACTCAACTATTAATATGACAATATATGTTATTGAAAAATAAATTAAAGTAATTGTATATGAACCCATAAAAGAAGAGGATTGTGAAGATGATGACAAAGGTTGTTATTGTAGATACACTAGAGAATTTTGTAAATATAAATCTGATTGTCCTAAATAAGTAAGTGACGATTTGATTTATAGAAAAATATGCGTTGTTGAAGTTTTTTATTCTAAAGAACCTTATTGTATATCTAAAACATTATTAATCGATAAATGTGAGAATATCTATTCTTAGGCACTTTGTCTAGAATTGGTGAGTTAACGTTGTTATTTTGATATAAAATAAGGAGGATGTCGTAAATTAGAAGGCAATGAAGATAAATTACCTGAATGCATTAGTGTTTCAATGGATAGTTGTTTATTAAGCGAAACAAAAAAAGTAGCATGTGCAAAAGGTGGTTAGTCTACAAAACCTGGTGATTCTTGCTATACTTTAATAAAAGTGTTTAATGGTTGTAATGACACTTAATATTACAATTCTTATTATACTTGCCAAAAAGTAAAAAAAGAAGATGTATAAAGTTCATTATGTGCAAGAGCAACTGATGAATGTAGATTTTCTGGAAGTAATTGTGTAAGTGATCCTTTACTTGATAAGAATGGTGCTTGTTTATGTGATAAAAGTTATAGTTAAACATTATGTGAAAAATGTAATTGTGATTCTTCTTTTGGATTTTGTCAATAAACAAAACAAACACTTTAATATGATATAAATAATCGTTACTTTTTTTGTCATCTAATTAATCTATTAGATATTAAGAATGTTAAATAAAAATAATAAGCTTGTGCAAGTGTACCTTAAGCATGTAAATTCATAGATTAATGTGAAGATGCAACTCATACTACATGTGATGATATGATAGGATAGATTGTTTCTTTAAAAACATGTTAATCATGCAAAGATTAACCAGTTCATTATGATCCAATTAAAATATAATGTTTGGCATTAAATGATGATTCATTAGTCTTTTAATGTTAATATTTAAATAAAGTATCTTGTTTGAAAAATTCAAGAAATATTAAATGTCAATGGGATTAAATTTAATGTAAAGAAATTGAAGTATTTTAAATTACAGATAAAGTAGATTGTTCTATCTTAAATTATGATGCTTGTTATCAAAAATAAGTAAATTAATGTTGGTTTGATCCTTATTTAAAATAATGTACTGAATTTAATCCTTATAAAGCAAATTGTGAATTTGTATTTGATCAATAAATATTATGTAATTTATCTATGGCTGAAAATTGTGTTTGGTTAAATAATCAATGTACAAAATAAGATAAAATACCTCCTAATATATGTTCAGGATTAAATAAATATGCTTGTTTAAATTAATAACTCATACCATGTGGATGGTCTGAAAATTAAGAATGTGTTGAATTAATTAATTTAATAGATTTTAATAATTTTTAGTTAAGTGCTTAATAAAATTAAATTATTTAATTTAATGCATAAGCATGTTCATTGATTAATGAATCTAAAAATTATTTAATTGATAAATAATTTAAATGCAAAGAAGTAACTACAATTGATTTGGTATATTGTAATACTTCTGGTATCAATTTATAGACTTGTATTGGATTAACTATTGGAAAATGTAAATATTAAAATAACATTTGTTAATTTACAAATGAAACTAATCTAAATTGTCAAGACTATTTAAATAAAGAAGCTTGTTTGATTTAAAAAGCACCATGTAAATTCATTAATAAATGTGAAATATTTATTGATCCAAATATAGATTAAATTTTATATTAAGTATAGTATAGTTACTCTGATTAAATATGTAAAACAGTAGATCTCTAAACTAAACCTACAACTAGTTTAATATTCTTATAATCTAAAGGATAATGTATAGATATCTCAGAATAAAACCCTAGTATAACAGATTGTTAATTAAGAGGTATGAATTAAAATGCTTGTTTACAAAAAACAATAAAAATACAATGTGAATTTAAAGATAATCAATGTCAATTAGCAAGTAAAACAGCTATATCTTAATGTTCATAAACATTAAATTGGGTTGCTTGTATCTAAAGTGATTCTTAATGTAAATTTGTTAATTATAATTGTGATTATCTATAACCTACTGATAATTGTGTATAATTAGAATAATCATAAGCTATAGTAAATGAAAATATTTGTGTTAAAACTAATGATGTTCCTTGCAAATATAACATTAATACAAGAGGTTGTTCATAAGTTAGTACTAATTAAGATTGTTCAATATCAGGATTAAATGAAAAGAGTTGTATTTTCTACACTAGTGGTTAAGATTGCAAATTCGAAATTAATAGATGCATTCCTTATTATTAGTAGGCTAAATGTACAGATAAAATCAATAAAGAAAAATGTTTAAATTTAAGAGATAGATAATAGAATTGTTAATTTGATCAAACATTAGGATGCATCTAAATAAAATCTGATCTAAATATTTGTCTTAAATCTTTTTAAACTAATCCATCTACATGTTCATAAGCTACAGATATTCCATGTTATTATAATCTTGATACAAAAATGTGTGAATAATTCATTAATCCATCTTAATTTGAAACACCCTCTAGAAGTCAAATTTGGTAAAATAAAATATCCTTCAATATTCTCACTTGTTAAATGTATGACATAAATCAAATGAAAACAGTTTGGGATAATGGATGTTAAGAAACAACTTAAACACAGCTTTCTACTTTAGATTGTAAAGACTATTTAAATTATTACACATGTGTAAACCTATAAACACCATTATAATATTGTTAATATATCAATAATATTTGTTATGAAAAAGATTGGTTTACATACTAAAATTAGTCATGTAAAACAATAAAAAATATCAATCATGGTAATTTTTGTTAAGTTACTACTGATATTGGTTGTAAATATGATATAAATACTAAAAATTGTGTAGAAGTAATTGATGGTGAGATTATTTAATGTTAAATTGGAAGTTTATATCATATTGGATATAATATTATAGCATGTGGTAAGAGTCAAAATTGTATATTTATTGATAAATGTCAATAATTTGATGAAAATAATTTATATTATTGTTAATAAGCTATTTCTATAGAAAATTGTAAAAATGTATTATTAGAAGGATGTTATAGAAATTCTTAATAAAAATGTTCAATAATTTATGAGTTTATCATAAGAAAATTCAATTTTACCATTCTTTTTTTCTGGAATATTAAATTAATATAATGAATTTGCTAAAGATAATTTCAATCCCATAGAATTATATTATAAAGCAATAATTCCAAATATTGAAGATATGATTTTTAACATACCACCAAAATATGAAAGAAATTAATCTATGGTATTAACTTTTTTTGTTGTTTATTTGAATTCTTAACTTAATCTAAAAATGACAGAGAATAAAGATCCTGGAATATCATTGAATTTCTAGAATATAATAGGATATATTTACTTTAATTTCTCTATAACTATAAATTGGGAATACCCAATAATCAATTATTTAATCATCATTGTAAAAACTAAATATACTATTTTAATTGACTATTTTGTTAGATTCAAAAAATATATCAGCTGTTGATTCAGCATCAAAGTTAGTGGCTAAAAAAAAATCAGAATTTAAGTATTAATATAATGGGTATTCAGTTTAATTTGCCATAAATATTGCTGATTATATAATTGTTGAAAGAGATACCATAATTGAACTATTTTTAGCTAATTCTAAAATTTCAGATTATGAATAACAGTCTTCTGATTTACATAATGAAATAGATAATTTTGGAAATTACATTATATAGGAACTGTATGTACCTTATAACCATAATTGATAATCTTTAGGTAAACAAAGATATTGAGTTAATTAATTTTCAATTTAATGAAATTCTTCAAAATTTATTTAAGGAAAATGTTGGGTTGTACAAGTTTCTAAATTATATGTTTTAGTGATATTTTTAGTTCTAGTCCCATTTTTTAAAGTTTCAATATAAACTTAACTCATAGAAATAGTAAAAGGGTTTTTTTATATTTTTGGAAATCTGTCTATAAACGGATTGTCAACTTTTATCGCAAACATAAAATTTTTATTATTCATTTCTTTTAGATCTGGATCCATATCTTATAGTTATTAAACTTCAATCTTTAATAGTTCCATATATTTACAGTGTAGTTATCTCTTTAAAATATTCCAATTAAGCCAGATATAAGAATATAAATCAAAACAATTGTCATCATAAGAGAGAGTACACCTCCACATACACTTTTATACTCTTATTACTTATTAATATTAAGATTAGGTGGAACTCCAAAATTGTCATAGCTTCTAATCAATTTGTTTATTTTCTATAGCATTTTAATTCAAAAAATGTTTAAAAGTTATTAATATTTTAATATAAAAATGACATAATCATACTATAAAACGAAGTTTTAATTTGAATAGTTAAATAATTATATATATAAGTANCATAGAATTGTTAATTTGATCAAACATTAGGATGCATCTAAATAAAATCTGATCTAAATATTTGTCTTAAATCTTTTTAAACTAATCCATCTACATGTTCATAAGCTACAGATATTCCATGTTATTATAATCTTGATACAAAAATGTGTGAATAATTCATTAATCCATCTTAATTTGAAACACCCTCTAGAAGTCAAATTTGGTAAAATAAAATATCCTTCAATATTCTCACTTGTTAAATGTATGACATAAATCAAATGAAAACAGTTTGGGATAATGGATGTTAAGAAACAACTTAAACACAGCTTTCTACTTTAGATTGTAAAGACTATTTAAATTATTACACATGTGTAAACCTATAAACACCATTATAATATTGTTAATATATCAATAATATTTGTTATGAAAAAGATTGGTTTACATACTAAAATTAGTCATGTAAAACAATAAAAAATATCAATCATGGTAATTTTTGTTAAGTTACTACTGATATTGGTTGTAAATATGATATAAATACTAAAAATTGTGTAGAAGTAATTGATGGTGAGATTATTTAATGTTAAATTGGAAGTTTATATCATATTGGATATAATATTATAGCATGTGGTAAGAGTCAAAATTGTATATTTATTGATAAATGTCAATAATTTGATGAAAATAATTTATATTATTGTTAATAAGCTATTTCTATAGAAAATTGTAAAAATGTATTATTAGAAGGATGTTATAGAAATTCTTAATAAAAATGTTCAATAATTTATGAGTTTATCATAAGAAAATTCAATTTTACCATTCTTTTTTTCTGGAATATTAAATTAATATAATGAATTTGCTAAAGATAATTTCAATCCCATAGAATTATATTATAAAGCAATAATTCCAAATATTGAAGATATGATTTTTAACATACCACCAAAATATGAAAGAAATTAATCTATGGTATTAACTTTTTTTGTTGTTTATTTGAATTCTTAACTTAATCTAAAAATGACAGAGAATAAAGATCCTGGAATATCATTGAATTTCTAGAATATAATAGGATATATTTACTTTAATTTCTCTATAACTATAAATTGGGAATACCCAATAATCAATTATTTAATCATCATTGTAAAAACTAAATATACTATTTTAATTGACTATTTTGTTAGATTCAAAAAATATATCAGCTGTTGATTCAGCATCAAAGTTAGTGGCTAAAAAAAAATCAGAATTTAAGTATTAATATAATGGGTATTCAGTTTAATTTGCCATAAATATTGCTGATTATATAATTGTTGAAAGAGATACCATAATTGAACTATTTTTAGCTAATTCTAAAATTTCAGATTATGAATAACAGTCTTCTGATTTACATAATGAAATAGATAATTTTGGAAATTACATTATATAGGAACTGTATGTACCTTATAACCATAATTGATAATCTTTAGGTAAACAAAGATATTGAGTTAATTAATTTTCAATTTAATGAAATTCTTCAAAATTTATTTAAGGAAAATGTTGGGTTGTACAAGTTTCTAAATTATATGTTTTAGTGATATTTTTAGTTCTAGTCCCATTTTTTAAAGTTTCAATATAAACTTAACTCATAGAAATAGTAAAAGGGTTTTTTTATATTTTTGGAAATCTGTCTATAAACGGATTGTCAACTTTTATCGCAAACATAAAATTTTTATTATTCATTTCTTTTAGATCTGGATCCATATCTTATAGTTATTAAACTTCAATCTTTAATAGTTCCATATATTTACAGTGTAGTTATCTCTTTAAAATATTCCAATTAAGCCAGATATAAGAATATAAATCAAAACAATTGTCATCATAAGAGAGAGTACACCTCCACATACACTTTTATACTCTTATTACTTATTAATATTAAGATTAGGTGGAACTCCAAAATTGTCATAGCTTCTAATCAATTTGTTTATTTTCTATAGCATTTTAATTCAAAAAATGTTTAAAAGTTATTAATATTTTAATATAAAAATGACATAATCATACTATAAAACGAAGTTTTAATTTGAATAGTTAAATAATTATATATATAAGTATTTATATGGCTGGAAACTTTTTTAAAGGGACTTCAACAGATTAGGATTCTCGATTTGGTGATAAGGAGCGTAAACTTATAATGAATAAACAATGGCCTGAAGTATTTAATCGAAAGTTAAATATGAAAAATGTAGAGAAACTTTATATTAAATTAGATTGATTTATCAGTGATAAAGCCTTGGATTGAAAAAAAAATGATTTAATATATTGGAATAGAAGATGAAGTAGTTTAGAGATAAATAATTAATTACTTAGAACAATAAAGTGAAGATATTAGGGGACCTGATCCGAAAGTTCTAAGCATTCAAATAATGGGATATTTTGAAAAAAATACCTTACCATTTATGACTGAATTATGGAATTTATTGGTTGATGCAGAAGGACAAGATTCTGGAATTGTAAAATGATTTAATGTTATTTTGAGCCAAATTAATTATTGGATAGTAAGAAATTGGAGTATGAGGAGAAGAAAAAAGAATTATAAAGGTTATTAGAAAGATAAAAATTATTATATCAGGCTATTGAATATTCAGAGAAAACTAGAAAAAAAACAAAATTAGAATAATAATAATGAATTTATAGTATTAAAATGTATTTCCATTTTATTATAGATATATATATATATGATTATCATTTTTATATATAAAGCATTTAATATAAGAAAGAGAATAATCATAATAGAGAATTCGCAATATTAAATGCAAAGTTAAATATATTATGAATGTATTAATGTAATTGATTTCAATCAAACAAACCTCCCATATCAACATCTTCTTCAGGTTCAGGGTCTTTTGGTTTTTCAACTGCCTTTGGAGCTTCAGCTGGTTTAGCAGCAGCTTAAGTTGTTTAAGCAGCTGGGGCTGAGCTTGATCCTCCTCCAACAGAGAGTAAACTCATGATGTCTTTACCCTCGAAAGCTTTAACGAATGCGGCTGCCAATTATTTTGGAACATCCACTCCTGCCTGTAAATCATTTCGAATATGTGAAATACTTTTTTTGTCAATTTTTCAACATTATCAGCTGTTAATGGAGTATTTGAGCCTGCTAAAAGAAGTGCTGCATATGCTACTGCTTATGATTATTGTGCCATTTTGATTATAATTATATTTTTAAATTAAAAGATTTCCTAGTTTAATTAAATGCAAACCCTTCTTAACTTAATAATATGAAAACTCATATATTAATGTCCATATAAAGGTCAAATCTATGGCACAATTATATATTAAGAAATATTTGGTTTCATGATATCCAAATAACATGATTTTTTCTAATTGTTCCTGAATAAAAAATGATTGAAAGTAGAAATAATACCATAGTTGAAACTTATTTTTGATAAAATATCAAACTAAAGATACTATTTGTAAATATTCTTATGGATAAAGTACAGAATAATAATATGGTTATTTGTATAAGAAACGAATAGTTGATTGGATGTAATACATAGAATATTAAATAAGTTAAAGATTTGAAGTTTATTTTAAAAAACAAACTATTTTATTTTTGATAGAGCAGAAGTATGGGTTTAATATCATCTTATCTTTTTATTTAAAAAAAAATATTAAAATTACTTATAAGCCCTACTTTTTACTTATAAAAATGATGATACATATTGTTTATTATTGCTGTAACATTAATGAAGATTTTTAGATCCAGGCTTTTTTGAAATTAGTGAAAAATAGATGACTCAAAAAAGAGGAGTTAGCTACTTTTCACTATTGAGATGTTGGTTAATTATTTATAGAAATTACTTATGGTGATGACAGAAATAAGATAAAAGGGTTGATTAATTTAAAAGATTTAATAATGGATTTAAAATTTAAAATTCTTGATTAAATTTAAAGGAGCTTATGTTGCATAGTTAATAAAATTATAAAAGATAAAATGTTAGTGAATTACTAATAGATATTCATAAATTGCAATAAAATTAAAAAGGGAATTTCAAATGTCTATAAGAATAGTGGAAAAATTTGTAAACATTTGGTTGTTGAGATATTGCTTTAAGATTGATAGATTATTAAATTAAAAGAAAAAGTATTAGCAATTATTAACCCACAAGTGCAGCCTTTTCACCTGAGGGAATCTAAATACTATTATTAAATTAATGATTTTTATTATATGATATGAATTATATTTTAAATTAAAAGTATAGCTATTGTTGTATATCATTTATGAATTTTCAAAAAATTAAGTTCAAAGAATGCAATATTTTTCTTACAAACTACATCCAAATATCATATCTCATTTTTGGAGTTTTCATTTTTGGTAATGGTAAAAACGTTGTTACTTTTTCATATAATTTTTATGCTTTTCTAAATTTTTCTAATCTACATGTTCTTTTAATCTGTTTATATTCTTCATTCTATTTTTTCATATCTTCAGCAATTGTTGATAATCTTTTGATTATTACCATTTTGTTTTTTATCTTAAATTAATCTGTTTCAATCGAGAAAACAACAGGAGGTAGATATGTCACTTCTCCAATACCACCAAAACAGAATATATTAGAGGCAAATACACAACTACAATGACTCCATCTTTTTGTCATTAAACCTTATCTCTTAACTTAAATCCATTAATTTAAAATCAGATTGAATATAACTATTTCATTTTAATATTCTTATATTGTTTATGATCTTCCTCCAATCAAAATTAAATTATCATTCAAACTTTCCATTGTATGATTATATCTTCCTTAAGGTGCTACTCCAGTTCCTTAGACTCTCTCCCAACTCTAAGGAGCTTATCCAGAGAAAACCAATCTCATTAATGGAAATGAACCCAAAGATTTAGTTTTACCACCAAATAAATAAATTGTATCTACATTTCTTTTAAAATCAAATGCTTCACAAATAGCATGTTAAGCTATTCCTTCATCAAAATATATTTTAGATCCTAACCATCTTCTTGAATCTAAAGAATACATAAGTGTATCATTTAATAATTATTCACCTGAATCTATTCCACCTGTTATAATCATATATTTTCCCAAATATAAAACAGCTTTATGTTCTCTTCTAGGTTCTATAGATTCTAATGTTATTGACCATTAATTAGTTTGAGTATTAAAATAAGCTAGAGTTGAATAAACTTGTCTTATTTTCATTTTATGATCATAATAACCACTACCACCAAATATAATTAACATATGTTTCCATGCTATCATAGAATGATTAGTAATTTTCAAATTGATATCTGATTAATGTAACTGCCATTCTTATTTTTCTAAATTCATAACACTATTTCTTACTTATATCATAAGACCATAAATCACTACTTAAACCTGCTCCACTCATACCTCCAAATACATAAACTTTATCTCTAATTACAGCTATTTATGCTGATTCTCTTCTACTAGGTATTGCATATGAATAAGCATTTAAAGCTTCTTCAAAAAAAGCAATATTAGTTTCTGGTTTATTTTTTGTTTAAGGTGGCATTTATTGTAGGTACATTAAATTTGAATAATCCTCTAAATTACTGCCCATTTATCTCTCTAGATTTCTGACAGTATATTATTCTTTATTTGCTATTATTCTTTAATGACAATTAAATTTATTTCTCATATTACTCATATCTCTCATTGTTATAGACATTTTAGTTTATTCTAGTTCTAAAAAACTTTGCTAAATAAATTCCAATTAGAATTTGTTAACTTAAAGTTTATCACTTTATTTTTCAGGAGACTTACTAGAAGTGACACATTTATTGAAATGCATTGAAATATCTTCGAGAGTACTATTTTCAATAGAAGGTAGTAATAATTTATTCTTTCTAACAGAATTATCACGAATTCTTTAAAGACTATGATAATCATTTCTTTTTAATTTATTAAGAGAAACCTATTCAAAATAAGGAGAATAGTTCAAATCTGTTCTCTTTAAATCCTAATTCATAAATTAAATTCATATATTTTATATAAACAAGAAAACAATATTATTTATTAAATCAATATCCAATCTCTCTTCACCTCTAATTCATGCTTCTATTTATACTTAGAATTTTGGAACCAAATTTAGTATTTAATAGTTATTGCCATATCAAACAATGTCATCATCTAATTTAACTCCAACAACAGACATAGATTCTTTAATAATTTACTAATTTAAGAATTTAGCTTGGGTTTGATCAGTAAATACTTCTTAATTATCATCCCAACTTCTAAATCCCTTTTAAATCTCAAAAGATTGAAAGTTTAAAATTTGAATAAATACCTAGAATTCTAGATAGTCAACATTTATTATAATCAATTAAATAACAAAATCATACTTATTTTATTTTCCATTTATTCTTCTATTTTTCCAACAATCATTTAATTAAACAATAGATATTAAGCAATAACTCTTTCAAAATATTTTTAATTATCCAAAATGCATAATTTAAAATTGATTATTTTTATTGAATTTAATCATTACTTTAGAAATATGACTGTAATTATACCCATATCTGCCAATATTAATAAATTATTTTATCGTTTTCAATCTAATTTAACTTCTCCTCTTCCATAAGTAATTATATTCATATGAATCTATTTATTTAATCTTAAGGGATATAATAATAATAATTTAAAGTCAGAATCTTATCCTTTATAAATAAATATAAATGATGGTATCTTATTCTATATTCATTAGGACAAAAATTGTAAATTTACCTGATTCCAATTATAATATTCCATAACAAACTAATAATTCACAATCAAATAAATATTTAAAATAACTTTTCTACTTGAACCTATTATATTAATCTAAATGTGATTTTTGAATATCTTTTACCATCATCATCATATTTATCAATTAATTTTTGCTGCTCTTTTAGAAATATAAATACTATTCTTTATTTATTCTCCTTATATTTTATTTAAAGAATATAGAAATCTCTTCCTAAGATTAAATGAAAATCACAAGGAATAGGATACTCTTTTGATAAAAGGAACTTGATTTTAATCCATATTTTAATATTATTTGTAATAATACATCATCATTTATCTATTTCTTATTCAAATTTGATTTCTTATTGTAACAAATCCTTTAATTATTACATGAAATTACCGGATCTAAATATCTTAAGTCTTTTTTTCCCTCTAATTATGGTCTAAAAGGTGGCTCAACCTATCTTTTGGAAATTGCTTCTAGGTCGATGTCTTCAAAAAAAGGATGTCGAAGGATTTCATCAGCTCCCTTAAACCCTAAGCGTTTTGAAACCTTAATGAAACTCTCTATTATGAACCTCATTCTCTGTTAATCTCTTTATCAGATCAACTGCTTTTTAACTCAAATATTTTGGAAATTCAAAAGGCTATGATAGTCTCTTATTGATCATTTCTTGCTACTACTATGAATAGAACGGAATGGATCCACATAACATTTAGTAAATAAGAATTCCCTATGTAAATTCAACAATTTTACCAATGAATACCAATCTACACATTCATTATAACCTTATTCAAGTAATATTTCAGGTGCCACATATTCTGGTGTTCCACATGCTGTATATGTAATTTAACTAAATTTAAATTTGGATAAACCAAAGTCTGTTAATTTGATATGTCCAAATTAATCCAATAAAATATTTTCTGGTTTTAAATCTCTATATATAATTCTATTTTCATGTAAATATTTCAATGCTAAAATTAATTCGACAGCATAAAATCTTGTCCTTTCCTCTGAAAATTATATATTTTTCTTCAAATGTACAAATAAATCACCACCATTAATAAATTCTGTACCCAAATATAATTTATTTTAATTTTCAAAAGTGAAATAAAGCTTAATTATAAAAGGACTTTATGTTTGCTACAAAATCTAATGTTCTGATTCTACAAAATTATAATTTTCTAATTGCTTTTTGTCAATGATTTTTATTGCAAAATATTACTTTGTTTTGATGTGTTCTGCCAATAATACTTTTCCAAATGCTCCTGCCCCAAGTACCTATTCATAAAATTTTTTTATTACATTCTTAAAAGTGAAATTTTCAAGTTAATAACTTATTTCCTCTTCCTTTTCTTTTTAAGATGCTTATTCTTCAATCTGAATAGGATTCTTTTTCTTATCTTCTTCTTAATTGTTTTCATCTAAAATCCCAAAACATATACCCATTTTTAATTAATTAAATATTAAATACATGAATCCAGATCCTAAAAGTCTTAATATCCCTAAGGGAAGACATTCGTTTTAATGTGGAGGTACTTATTAAATGAAATTCTTAAGGCCAGGCCTTTGTAGTCGATTAAAAATATGAATATATAAAACAGATTGGACATGGAGCTTACGGAGTTGTATGTTCTGCTTAAAATAAGAGAACTGGATAGAAAGTAGCAATAAAAAAAGTAATACTACATATTTATGAAGGTCGCTAATGCATTTGATGATTTGATTGATGGCAAAAGGATAGTTAGAGAAATCAAATTACTAAGTACATTTTAAATTATATAAAGAATTTTTTAAACATGAGAATATCATATCACTTTATGATGTATAAAAGCCTGAAGCAAAAACTGGATTTAATGATATTTATATTGTAACAGAATTTATGGAAACAGATTTACATAGAGTCATATACTCTAGGTAAGAACTTACAGATGAGCACATTCAATATTTTGTTTACTAGATTTTAAGAGGATTACTTTACATGCATTCAGCTAATGTAATTCATCGCGATCTTAAACCAGGTAATATATTGGTTAACAAAAATTGTGATTTAAAAATATGCGATTTAGGCTTAGCAAGGGGATATGAAAATGAAGAAGACTTCAAAACAGAGTATTTCATAATAAAAATTATTAAAGATACGTTGTTACTAGATGGTATAGAGCTCCTGAAGTAATATTGAATGCATCAGAATATAGTAAGGCTGTTGATATTTACTCTGTTGGTTGTATCTTGGCAGAATTATTGGGAAGAACTCCTTTATTTCCAGGTGAAAATTATTTAGATTAAGTTTAAAGAATTATTGCAGTCTTAGGAACACCGACTGCTGATGATATGAAATATATAGGAAACAATAATGCTATTAAATATATCAAAAGTCTTCCAAAAAGATCTAAATAAAAATGGGAAGCTCTTTTTCCAAAAGTATGAATTCTAATTATTATTATAGGCAAATAATAAAGCCTTAGATTTGTTAGGAAAGATGATCACATTTAATCCAGAACTACGTTATACTGTTGAATAATGTCTTTAACATCCTTACTTTGATGAATTACATAATCCTGATGAAGAACCTCTAAGTGGTAAAGCATTTGATTGGAGTTGGGATAATTTTGAACCAACTAAAGAATTACTTTAAAATATGATATATTAAGAATCCCTCTCTTTTAATGATGAAGTACCTGAAAGAAAAAAAAAGTCAAATTAATTCTAATTGAAAGCTTGAATTTATATAGATATATATCAAGAATAATAATAAATAACTTTATTTTCTACTAATATTTTCCATATTTTAATTATGCAAAATTATAAATTTTATAGAGAATTGTTTTTAAAATTAAATTGTTATTTTTATTTAAATTGAGAATTCTTTATTTATATATTTATATATATATATTAATTGATCTCACTTTCGATGACACTTTAGAGAATCCATAAAGATTTGTAGACTATTTTATCATTCCAAAATTGGTTTTATCATTTTTTAAATAATTTAATTTTATAGAGAAAGTTTTCTTTTTATTGGCTTTTGTTATACTTAAATTCAAAAAATCAAAAACTGACAATCTTCCTGTACTATTTCTACAGCTATTAGTATTTTTTGTATTGATAGTTGGTTTTTCTAATGCATACAATAATTCTATATTAAATATAAATTTATGTACTTTAAGAAATGTCAAATTAATTTTCATTTGATTGTTTTTATGATTTAGAAGAGTCATAGTCTATTTCATTAGTGTTTGATTTAAAAGTTGAATTTAACAATTATTGTTTTTTGAACATATATAATTATTTAAAAAAACAATAAATTACCGAAAGATAAGTTATAATAAAATTCATTGTTAATATAGCATTTGTCTTAATCTTTAAATTTCTTCATTTTTTTATCTGAGTTTATCTTATGATTCTTATAATTCATCATTTAATAATAAATTATGTTCAATCAATAATTTATTTTCTCTTTTATAATTCTCCAGAATTATTTTTGTTTTAGCTAAAACCTTTTTTAAATCTTAAATTGTAAATGATTATTTCTTCTACTAATGACCTTTTAATAGAAAAGCCAAATTTTATGATTCTTTCATCTTTTAATTTTATTTATTCATTTATTGAAGCTTTTCAGCTAATCTCTTTGTTTTACACACAACATCTACTAAAATGATTATTGAATTTCATACCAATGAATTTATCTTTAATAGGTTTTTTGTCAATTTCATCTGTCAACACACTTTATCCATCTGCTGTCTATGATCTTATCTAACTTGAATCATTTTTATTTGGAAAGTATGAATTGTTAGCCTTCTAATTTAAAATACTATTTGAACTATTGATGGTTGTGAGATATGATTTCAATCCTTTGGAACTATGTATTAATAATAATATATTACACTACCTCTTATCCAAGTTGAAGTTATCGAGAGAAAATCTATGTACACCAACTTCATTTTTTTTATTTAAATAATGCAGGGAAGTAGATTATTGTAAAGGACTTCGAGCTTCATCCATTTAATGAGATCTTTTCCTTCCCTGACAATTCAAATATTTTTCATAAAGATTCAAAAAATTGTCTTATCGAAGTGGTGTTCTTTATTAGTAGGATTCTTTGTATGAATATTTCGAAGCAGCTCTGCATTATCAAATTGAATTTACTTAGGGGTATTTTATTGGCTTACTTAAGTCTTCATTAAATAATGAAATTAATGTAATATTAAATCAATACATAAAGACATCATCATTTATTACTAAAATTAAAAAATATAAAATTCCTTTATTCTATTGTACAAAAATGTTTCATGATTCAATTATTTATTTATTTAAGTAACAAATAATTATACCATTATTATTTATGGAAATAACTACTTTAAAAGACTTGATCATCAAATAAATGCTTGATTTACAAAGTACAGTTTATTGTGGTATCTTATTTTACTGAAATAAGTAATCCCCAAATTGCCCTCAATTAAGAGTTCCAATTATTAAGATGGAATATTAATTGGAAGAATATTGTTATAAGCTAATGAATAAATTTAGAATATAGTCTAAAGACTTATAGAAGATTAAAATTCTATGATTACTAGAAGCAAATTTAAAGGATCAAACATAAATAATAATTTAGATTAAAACCCTCCAAAATAGATTTAACGTGAGTTACATTAGAATAAAGAGAAAATATTATAAATTAAAATAACCCCTGAACCTAATATCGACAGACCATGTTGTTTATGTTATGAAGGAAATGAAAACACTTGTGGTAAAATTATTACAATACCTAATTCTGTAAGGAAATTATAGGCACATTCTTAATGCTTTAAAAATATTAATAATCCAAAATAAATAGAATTTGATAAGGTATATTTATTATATAGAACATATGTAAATTAGATTAATTTATATTTAGGAATGTACAATTTGTGAAAAATAAGGGGCTTCATTTGTTTGTGAGAAATGTAACTAAAAATATCATTTTCCATGCTTTGTTGACTCTAGCTAAGAAGGTATATTACAATGTAATTGTNCTTGAATCATTTTTATTTGGAAAGTATGAATTGTTAGCCTTCTAATTTAAAATACTATTTGAACTATTGATGGTTGTGAGATATGATTTCAATCCTTTGGAACTATGTATTAATAATAATATATTACACTACCTCTTATCCAAGTTGAAGTTATCGAGAGAAAATCTATGTACACCAACTTCATTTTTTTTATTTAAATAATGCAGGGAAGTAGATTATTGTAAAGGACTTCGAGCTTCATCCATTTAATGAGATCTTTTCCTTCCCTGACAATTCAAATATTTTTCATAAAGATTCAAAAAATTGTCTTATCGAAGTGGTGTTCTTTATTAGTAGGATTCTTTGTATGAATATTTCGAAGCAGCTCTGCATTATCAAATTGAATTTACTTAGGGGTATTTTATTGGCTTACTTAAGTCTTCATTAAATAATGAAATTAATGTAATATTAAATCAATACATAAAGACATCATCATTTATTACTAAAATTAAAAAATATAAAATTCCTTTATTCTATTGTACAAAAATGTTTCATGATTCAATTATTTATTTATTTAAGTAACAAATAATTATACCATTATTATTTATGGAAATAACTACTTTAAAAGACTTGATCATCAAATAAATGCTTGATTTACAAAGTACAGTTTATTGTGGTATCTTATTTTACTGAAATAAGTAATCCCCAAATTGCCCTCAATTAAGAGTTCCAATTATTAAGATGGAATATTAATTGGAAGAATATTGTTATAAGCTAATGAATAAATTTAGAATATAGTCTAAAGACTTATAGAAGATTAAAATTCTATGATTACTAGAAGCAAATTTAAAGGATCAAACATAAATAATAATTTAGATTAAAACCCTCCAAAATAGATTTAACGTGAGTTACATTAGAATAAAGAGAAAATATTATAAATTAAAATAACCCCTGAACCTAATATCGACAGACCATGTTGTTTATGTTATGAAGGAAATGAAAACACTTGTGGTAAAATTATTACAATACCTAATTCTGTAAGGAAATTATAGGCACATTCTTAATGCTTTAAAAATATTAATAATCCAAAATAAATAGAATTTGATAAGGTATATTTATTATATAGAACATATGTAAATTAGATTAATTTATATTTAGGAATGTACAATTTGTGAAAAATAAGGGGCTTCATTTGTTTGTGAGAAATGTAACTAAAAATATCATTTTCCATGCTTTGTTGACTCTAGCTAAGAAGGTATATTACAATGTAATTGTTAAAAAAATTGATTAACTATTATTAATATTATAATAATATTCTCATTATAAAATTATTTCCAATCAATTATATATTATATACTGATTAATTGTTATTTATGAGTATTATTAATAAACTATAGTAATTCAGATCCAAAATAAGTTCATTTAAAAATTAATAAAGACTAATATAATAATTTCCTCTCTATATTAAAATTAAATTCTTATTAATATACATATATGTTTGATAAATATCGATTGTAAAATAGGATTAGCAATAGATAAAAGGAATAGTTTCTCAAAAAAATAATTATGGTAATAAATAAAATTAGACCTATAAAATATTAAAATTTTTCATACATCAAGAAGAGATTTTCTATTCTATGAAATAAACAATAGAAAAGATATCTTGAGATTATTTTATAGCGCCTTAAAATTAAATATATAAAGCAAAGAAAATATAATTTATTGATTAAAGTGTTTCTAAAAAGTTGAGTAATCAAAAATAATTAATGAATTCATTCAATTTACTAATTTTAACACTCTATTGACTAGATGTGATAGATATCCAAGTTGTATTAAAAATTTGAAAGAAAAAAAAAAAATTTTTATTATTTCTCAAATAAAAGAATCTTAGATTTGATAAAAGGATTATTTTGTTCACTTTCAAAAATTTGATTATGACAATTTTATATTGTGTATTACACATTAATTATAATTTTAACTGTATTAGTGTTATTTTAAAATAAATAATATTGATTAGGCAATTAATTACGTAATGCTTGACTTTTTACTTTCAAATTAAGGGGAAGAAGAGCCAAAAAGCTAGGCACTTAATGTTATAAGTAACATTATAGGATGGACATATTTCGTATGTTGGTCTGCTAGTTTTTATGGATAGCTATATGAAAACTTCAAAGTGAAAAAGTAATGTTGATTTACTATTATTAAGTGTAAAAGGAATAGCCTTTGAATTTCTTGGTTTAAATTTAACTGGATTCTTATTTTTAAGTGCTTATAGTTCTGCTGGCTATTTTAAAGGAGGAGATAATGGATGGCCATTTAGTGGTGGTATAACAAAGCAAGATTTATTCTTTGCGTATCATGCAGTTGCAATAACAGTCTTAACCATTCTCTAAACAGCTTATTACTATAAAAAAGGTGATAATCCAGGAGTAAGCTAATGGTGCATAATTGTCCTAATTGTACTTTGGTCTCAAACTATATTATATGTCCTCTTGACTTGGATATTTGGGTGGGATGTTATATTTAAACAAGAAAAATTAAATGTTTTATATTGGATGGGATATGAGAAACTCTTTATTTCCTTTATTAAATATGTTCCTTAAGTGTATCTAAATTATAAAAGAAAGTCAACAGTGGGTTGGAGTATTTTCAATATCTTACTAGACTTTATGGGAGGATTCTTATCATTCTTATAAATGTTACTTGACTCATTAAATGGAAGTAATTATTTAATATTTAATTTAAGAGAGTGCCAATCTAGTTGATGTGAATATTGTTAAATTTATTTTGAGTTGGATAGCAATGGGCTTTGATGGTATATTTATGTTCTAACATTACATTCTCTATAATCCTAAGAAAAGAACAAGAGATGCTTTACTAGATGAATATTCTATTCCAAAAAAATGAATAATCTAATATATTTAAATTATTTATATATTTTAAAAATAATAATATTTAAAGATTAAAAATAATGAATTTGACTAATAGTTTAAGGAGGAATAATTAATAAATATGATTTTATAGAAATCAGATAGAACATATAAAAATAATTATATAATATAAATCTATCTTAAAATTCATTAATGTACTATCTAATATAAAGGATGAAGCTAAATTGGAAGAATTAAAATAATTGATAAAATTAAAAATTATATTAAAAATTATGAATGTGCACATTTCTTAATAAAATTTATTAATATTTTAATAATAAAAATTTAATTATATTTAATTATTTCATAACGAGTCTATTATTTTTATTTAAATCTTTTTAAGATTAGAATATTATTACAAGTATATTAATAAATAAATATATTAAAAACTTGACACATCTATAAGACATTTATCTTAAAGTATTACATTCAAATGAAAAATAATTAGTTTTAATATTAAAACACATTTTAGTAATAATAAATTTTTCAATAACTATGTTTGAATCTATAGTAAATCAAAATAAAAGTGCCTCTAATATTGATACTAATAAGTAAGATACAAATGATGTATAAATATATGAGAAAATTATGATTCAATGAAAATCTAAAGATTAATCAATCCTTATGAGTAACAAATGAAACTAAACTTAATTAATCTCTAAGCTTTTGCAATTATATTCTAAACTAAATGAAATTTAGAAACTATTAAGTAAAAATTGAATCTTACTTAACTATAAGACTAATTAACAAACAAAATTAGAAAATATTGAGATTATCCATAATTAGTGGAATTCTTAAAAAAAAGATAAAAGAGAGGAGTAGAAATATCTAATTGGGTGTTAGATTTCTTTAAAAAGAGAGAAAATAAAAATTGTAAAGGAAATCAAGAAGAACAATGAAAAAAGATGAAAGAATAATAATATAAATACATTGATAATATGATTAGTTAAAATAAAAATAATAGATATGTGACGTAATTCTAAGTTTCTATTGATAGCAATAAAACATATATAAAAACCAGTAAATATTTAGATAAGTAGATTAGATTAGATAACATAACAATAATAATCTTTTGAACTCAAAATGCGATTACTGTTAAAACTGTTCAATTTTAAGCTAGAATAACATGTATATTTTAGGAAAAGTAAAATAATATTTAAATCACATATCTTATAAGAATAATGATTTGAATATTATAATATCCAGATTATTATTCAATTTATGTAGTAAACTTTAGAATGTTATATGTAAATATTTCAATAAAAAGGTTATTTGATTATTATATTTTATTTTAATAAAAATGAATTATGTTACAGCTTCTCTAAAGGATTTATTACCATCAAATTAAAAGGCTGTGATTAAGTTCAAAATAACCCCTGCTAAGAAAATAGACTCAATCTGCTAATGTAATTTAAAAACCTGCATGATATGTTCTCGTAAAAGATCATCATCTATGCTTTCATTAAAATCAATTAAAAACTCAGTTGTTGTAGATGAAAATTCTCCTGGACTTAAAAGAACAGAAAATAAAAACAATTTTGTAATACAATCTAGCCTTCTTTCTAAGTAACTATCAAGATAAGTATCTAACCATCAAATCCAAAATTAATTTTACAATGGAAAAATCAATTAAGAATCAAAAGGTAGCACAAATTCAACTACTTGGATAATGACAAATTCTCATTCTCGAAAAATTTCGGTAGATAGTCCGATAAAGGAAATCTAATAATAAAGTCTAAATACAATGGGAATAGGAAGACATTCTTTTAAATTTTTATATGTAGTAGGTAAGGGAGGATTTGGAAAAGTATGGAGAGTGGAAATGAAATCAAATAGATAAGAATTTGCTTTAAAAGAAATGTTAAAAACCAAGTATTAATATATAGAAAATTTAGGATTATATCTAAAAGATCAGTAAATTCAGTCATGAATGAGAAATTCCTATTAGAACATTTGAAACATCCTTTTATAGTGAATATGCATTATGCATTTTAGGACAGAGAAAATCTTTATTTAGTTTTAGATTTATTAAGAGGAGGTGATTTAAGATATCATATAGGTAGGATGAAAAAGTTCTCTGAAGAATAAACAAGTATTTAAATAATAAAGACTAGAATTTTTTGCTTGTTGTATTTTATTGTCATTACAATATTTACATTAGCATGGAATTATCCATAGAGATGTCAAACCTGAAAATTTAGTATTTGATAAAGAAGGATTTCTAAGATTAACAGATTTAGGAGTAGCTCGTTTAAATAAAGATAGTGTGGCTAATGATACTTCAGGTACTCCTGGATATATGGCACCTGAAGTTATGTGTAGAATGGAGCATTCATTTCCTGTAGATTATTATGCAGTAGGTGTAATTGTTTATGAACTTTTAATGGGTAAGAGACCTTATAATGGGAAGAATCGTTAAGAAATTAGAGAATAAATATTGGCAAAATAAATATAAATTAAAGAAAATACTCCAGGAATAACAAATAAGGCTATTGATTTTGTTAATAAAGTATATAAAAAATATATAATATTAGTTATTGATAAGAAAGCCTTAATAAAGACTTGGATTTAATGGAATTGATGAGATTTTAAATCATTCTTGGTTACACAATTTTCCTTGGGGGAAGCTTCTAAATAAAGAAATCAGATCTCTCTATGTACCTGGAGTATGTTATATAAATTAAGTAGAGTATCGATGGCAATTATGATTTTTAAAGTTAGATCTCAGCTGATAGTGAACCTTCAGAAGACAGTTCAATGGTATTAAGAAGGAAGAGTGTATAAGGATTATTTGAAGGATACAAATTCTAATGAAATTTTACATTTATATTCTTCCTCCATTTATAATTTTGTGATAAAAATTATCAATTTTTTTAAATAATTCTCAAAATATCTTTATTTATGATCAATTTTAAATAAAAGCATAAAAATTAATATAAAATATTATTATGTTATAACATCTGAGTTTACAATAATTGGAGCTTCTATATACAAAAAGAAAAAGGTAGTAAAAATATTAGTCTGCAGAATTATAATTAACAGCAAAAGAGCTTTAAGATTTCAATGGTAAAAGACCTGAAGACACAAGATTATAATTTGAGAATGAAGATGAAGACTAATTAAATACTCATTAAGATTCAATTAATCTTTTAAATGAAGAGATAGTTGATCATATCTATTAAAATCCATCAAAAAAAAGATTAATGATAATTGGAATGGGTTTAATGTAATGTGTGTTAATTCTTATTACTCATTTTATGGGAGTATTTCTTTTTGATTCTGAAATATTTTCTTTTATTTTTTGCACTACTTTAGTTATTTATTTCATTAAAATAGCAGTAAGTTGGATTTAAAGTCCAGATAGAGGAAAATTAATAACAAAATAATAAGTATGTGCATTTGTTTTAGGAATGTAATTAGGAATGATTACTACCATTATCTTAAATTTGAATCAAGAAAATAAATTATTTAATATCCTGATTGCTTTTATTCCATGTACAATAATGAATATCATGTTTATATATTTTTCATACAAATATTAAACAATATTATGATGCAATAAAATATTTAATATTTATTTGAATGATGATATATTTAGATAATTATACTCATATATCTATTTAACATAAAAAAGTAATTTTAAATATCTATTAATTATTTTATAACAATTAATAATCATAAAAAAGGTTTTGTATAAATAAAATCTAAAATAATGAAATTTTATTGAAATTTAATTTTGGATTGAAATATAATCAAAAAGAAAATAGTCAATATAATTCCTTTAATTTAAATTTTGTTCTTTTTTTATTTAATCTTATTGTTCTAATAGTTTCTTTTTAAATTTATTCTGCACTTCTAACCAAAAAAGACTTATCCTTCTATCTATTTGATAGTTCTTCTTAAAGATTACCTATTGTAACAATCACAATATCAGGACAATAATGTATAAAAGATAATGATTAATCATATAATAATCTATTTAAGTTTACATCATATATTCTATTTTTTTTGGTTACAGTCAACAAATCTTAATATGAATGAACAGTATTTGAGGAATTAGTACTTGAAATAGTTACTTATGTAATAAAGAAAGAGGGATGGTGTTATGTAATAAAAAAATGATCAGGAAGTTAATCAAAATAATTTGAATTAAACAAATATGAAACAAATTAAGTATGATTATTAACAACTACAACAGTTATAATTCTATTTTTATTTTACACAATTAATCGTTTAAGTTATTATGCTTTATTTTTAAGAGATTAATGATGATCTGATTTAAAATGAATAGTCTATAATAAACTAATGATAGTTGATTAATGATTGTGATCTTTTTTTTAAAGTATAACATTTTGATATTTTCTTGATGATTATTCTTATTATTATTATACATTAAATATTTCTTCTAATTCTAATGAAGGTAAATCAGTTTAACTGCTAGCATTATTGTATTATTTAGATTCTTCTTAAATTCCACTATTTTATTATTTGTAAAATTAAGAGTTCATTTTTCTAAGATTCTATTAAAGTGATAGATTATTTAATCTTCCTGTTTTTGGCTATATATAAGGTGATAATGATAATTATGCCTTATTTTAAAGTCTATGTGTTATAGGATCTATTTTTTTACTCCAAGGAGAAAAATGTAGCATTAAATATTATCTATATAATTAAAAAAAGTAATAAAATGTTTATGTAAATATTATAATTATATTCCAGTTTATTCTATAAATACTGGTATATCTATTTCTTATGAAATCTAAAAAAACATAAATTTTAATAATGCATAATTACTCCAAAATTATAAAAAATCTAAAATCAGAAGAAATTGATTAAGAGTATGAAAGAATTAGAAGTCAATCAAAAAACAGAAGTTATAGCACTAAAAATAGTAATTATGAATCAACTAAAACATCATCATTTCAAGAAAATATATCTCTCAAAGTATTTGTTGAACATTTAATCTTCTTTAGAATTAACTGTATATATTATAAGAATAATTGAATAATGAGAAATAAAGAACTAATTAATTAGAAATAGTAATCAAAAAGTTAAAATCTTCTCTACTTTAATAAGATAAGTATGCTTTATAAATATTTTTTGAGTATCGAGAGATTTGTTGTCTAAATGTGAAGAAAAAATATAAATTATTATTGAGAAAGATTAACTCATTAAATAATTATAAGAATAAATGAAATCTTTGTAAACTGAGAATGACCATTTACAAACTACATTATCAGAATTTTAAGATGTATAAATTAATAATATTTACAGTTAGAATTAACTATAAATTAATTAACATCTTCTTATAATTCAATAGCTCCTAATATGTTAGATTAATAATCAATCCTTGAATAATGTTTAGATTATTTGAATTCATTAACTAAATTGATAAATCCCATTTTATATGGATCATAGCCATAACTCTAAGATCTTTTCAAAACAAAATAAAAATTTAAACCTAGAAAAAAATTCTAAATAACTGAATTATGTGAGAATAATATGAAGCATATTTAGGATATAGAAAAATAATTAGTTCACATTCTAGACTTAATTGATTAAAAATTTATAAATGAGCTTGCTTAATATATTAAATGAAATTCTACTTGTTTATATATGAGTTATAACTACTTAATTTAGTTATATAGTAATAAATATTCTGAAAAATTACTAATTATAATTTTACTTTGAAATTTAATTAGTAAGGAATAAAATATTATTTCATAATTATAAATGATCTTTATTTCAATTATTATTAATTCTTAAAATTATTCAATTCATTATATTTAAAATTTTTTATATTCATGTAACAATATATTGGTCTAGATAGTAATAATATCTATTAATACAATTTGAATAAATAATAAATGTTAATTATAAAATTAATACTTGAACAATTACTCTTTAATATATTTAATTTAATGCTATTAATTTAATTTTATTTAAATTGTCTAAACTTGTGTTGTTGTGTTCAATTTTTTATAAAGATATGAAGATAAACTAGATTAATTAGAATAAATTTTATAAATAATTTTTTCTATGATATAAAAACGCTGTTTCCATCAAAACAAAAAGAATAGGAGTTTACCAAAAATAAATTTATGGTATTCTTACACATGAATAGTTTATTATTAGTTTTGATAATAAATAATTTTCTTATGAAGGTAATAGTATTAATAATGAATTTTTAAGAACAAGATAAACTTAAGCTTCAATTTAAGAATTTGATCTAATAAAATAGAATTTTGGAATTAGACTATGTGATTGTTTAATTAAAATAGGGGTAAAACAAACAAATTAGATTTAGAGATTTTTTGTAATTCGAAATTATCTGTTTTCTGAGAAGAAAATTATTTTAGTTAGTTTTCTCAAAAAAAGGGAATATGTATTCTTTTGTTTGCATTTATTAAATTTTATGTAATTGCAAACAAATTATCAATTTTTGAAAGTTATACCAATTTATATATTTATATTAAAAATAGAAAAAGATATAAGATGAATATCCAAGTTTTTGCAATTAGGAAAAAGTGAGAGATTGATATAGATTCTAAGAATGTTTAATAGAAGATGCCATTTTTGGATGATTATAGATAATGTTTATTTATAAATAATTAAGGAAATATTTATTTCCAATATATAATTGCATATTAATTTGAAGAGGCTGAAACAATGTTATTTAATAGTGAAATAGGGACCAAGTTTTAAAAAGCATTGAAGAGGGCAAGCAAGTCTTTAATGATTATCCGAAATTAAAAGGTAGAGCCAATCAAATTTGAGTTTATCGATTCTTAAACAGAGTATATATTAGTTTTTAAAGCTTAAAATAAATTAGCATCAAAATGGTAATATATGCATAATATAGTGTAGAGTGGCATTGCAAAGAGCGCAAAAGGAGGAAAAGGTGGAAAAGGTGGAAAAGGAGGAAAATTTGGTCAAGGAAAGAATAAGAAAGCCCCCTAATCCAGGTCATTGAAAGCAGGGCTTTAAGTAGTGAATTTCACAATAATAAGTTCCCTGTGGGTCGTATTCATAGATATTTGAAGTAAAGAGTATCAGCCAAGAACAGAGTAGGAACAACATCAGCTGTATACACATCAGCAATTTTAGAGTATTTGACAGCTGAAGTACTTGAATTAGCTGGAAATGCTTCAAAAGACTTTAAGGGTATTGTAATTATGATTAATTTCTTCCTTAGTGAGAAGAATCACACCAAGACATCTTTAATTAGCAATTAGAGGTGATGAGGAACTAGATATTCTTATCAGAGCCACTATTGCAGGAGGTGGTGTTATTCCACATATTCACAAGGCTCTATTAGGAAAATAAACACCAGAAGGAGGAATTCCAAAGGAATGATATATATTATATTAATTCATAGAAAATATTAATGTTATAGAGCCTAGCTCATAGTAATTCTTCTTGAAGGCTCTAACTAAATCATCCTATCAATTAAATCAGCTCCTTCGTATCCTATTTTAGAGAGTAACTCTTACTAAAATAAATACTTAGTTGGATAAAATCGAGGAAATGCTGCAGCCTCCTTATTAATTTGATATAATTACATTGAACAAAGGTAAACTACAAAGAGAAGGTGCAATAAAGGCACTGGGAGTACCTAATTTAGAGAATATTTTAAAAAGCATCTCAATTTAAGAGTCACCATAAAAAAGTATTTCTTTCATAACTACTTAATAGAATACACAACCCAATGACCATACATCTACAGAAACATGATACTTGTAAGATTAAAATACAATTTACATTATCACAACCTAATAAATTTTCAGGTGGTCTAAAATGCAATGTAATAACTTCATAAGAATGTTTCTCACAATTAGAATTAAAATTTCTACATTATCCAAAATTCATTCTAGCTATACCAAAATCACTTATGTAAACATTTTAGTTTTCATCCACAAGAATATTCAAAGGTTTCAAATCTCTATGCATGAACCCTAATTTATGAATATTGTAGACTCCAAGTATTAGCTACTTGAAAATCTTTTTATAATTGATTTCATTGTATTTTTTGATGAATCCATAAAGATTATATGGGTAAAATGGTAAAACAATATAAACACATCCTTTTTCAAAAATTACTTATTGTAAAGGAACTATATGATTTTGTCCCTTTAAAGAACTAAGGGCAGATATTTCCCTAAAAATAACACTTCTGACTATACCTGATAGTTGATTAATCAATCTATTGTGACTTACCAGAAAAAATTCTTTTAATAGCAAAGACTTCATCTAATATTATAAATAATCATGTGTTTACTTGTATTTTCATCAATTGCCTTATAAACATCTCCGAAGGCTCCATAACCTACTTTTTCTTAAAGAATAAATTATCGGATTTTTTTATTATCCTACATTATCAAACAAATTTACAAAAAGAACAAATTAAATAATGTAAATTACATCTTAATCTTTAATTTAATAATTACACTATCTAAACAATCATTATATTATTTTTTTATAATTTATATAATTTTTCATTTATTTTATTTTAAATTATGTTAAAATTTAGTGGAGAGTTTAATCATGCTTACATTATTACTTATGAAAGAAAACCTAAACTCTATAAGAAACTTATTTACTTGAATCTACTACTTTTTGTAATAATTAGTTGGCTTTAGTTCAATTTATAGTAAACTATATTGATTACTATTATTTACAATATTTTAATATATATAATTGGAGGAAATGAAATAATAATTGAACAAATGCAAATTATTAAAAATATTGGTATACAAATAGAAAAAAGAAAGAGCAATGGAAGTGTGTCTAGAGAATTTATTAATTAAAATATTATCAGAGATGTTGTTCTTTAAGAAGGATTAACCACTTTTACTGTTGAAATTTATTTAGCAATTATCTGCAAAGGCATGAAATAAATGATTTTACCTTTTTAATATAATCTAAGCACAGATTAATTAATGTAAATTTATTATCCTTTGAGATAAATGATTATGTGATTAAATTTATATTAAATAATATATTTTTATATATAATATTTCTAATCAATCACTAGAGTATTTAACATAATAATTTTAAATATAATATTTAATTTTATTAATCCATAAACATATAATTAAATATTGAATTTTAAGTATTAAATTATTTGATAAGTAAGAAATATATTTGATAATAACATTCAACTCATAATCTAACTGTAATTCAAAAGATTATTTAAAATCAAAGAATAATATAGAACTTTTTTTTTTCTAAGTCGTATCTTTAGAGAATTAATAACAAATTAAAAAAAATATATGTATTATATAGAATATAAAATAGTTTAATATTTTTAAGATTAATAAGACTATCAGAGTCTTCATAATCGTTAGAAATATCATTTGTTATCAAGAGTTTCTTTATTTTCTTCAATAATTTAAGTATCTTTTTAATTTTAGTTCTAAAGTGTTTTGGCAACATTATCATGACTATTTGGTACTTGTAATAAACACGTAACTACTGAATCTACTATTTTTTCTTTAATTCTTCTCTAATTAGATTCTTTTCGACTTTAAGGAATCAGCAATCTAAACTAATCATTCTAATTTGAAGACAAGGTTTAATTTATAAATTTTCTTATCTTTTTGCTTAAACTTTTCTTGTCTATCATCTAAAATAATTTTATTATTACATCATATTCGATTTTATCCTAAAAGTACTTTAAAACATATGAGATCATTTTTTATATAAATTCCTTGTATTCTGATTTTCTTTCATCACTCTTAACCGAGTCAATTGACTTTATCTTTTTGTTCATTATCTTTGCTATCTCTTTAGAATGCTTTCCTTATCTCTTTAATTCCATAATCTATTTTCTCTCTTCAATTGAATTGAGATTATACGCCATACCAATTCGATTAAGTTTTGTATTTTTTTTCAGCATTAAAATCTAAATAATTAATCAAATTAAAAATGATTATAATATATCAAAATTAAATTATATTATTATAACTTATTATATTATTAACATAAATATATATATTATTATTAAGCTTAACAATTTTATTATAATATATAGTAATGTACATATTGAACATAACATTATGAAATAATGATGTAATAGGGCATTTACTATAATTAATATAATATAATTTTGATAAATTTATTATAAATATCATATTAATTAATATAATCTTTTCTACCTATTAAGAATATGATACAAAAGAAATAGGATTATAGATATAAAAATTATTCTATGATTAAAATAAATATATTCACACTTTTTTATGATCTAAACAAAACTTCTTTATTCTATTGCATGCTTCTTCTATTATTTCTAGATCACAACAAATGACCAATCTAACAAACTTTTCTCCATAAAACAATTCACCAGGAAAGACTAAGACATTCTACTCTTATTAAAGCTTCTTGGCAAAATCTATTGAAGATTTAATGTCTGAAAACTCTTCAATATTAATAATCAACGTTGAATACATAGCCCCTTTAGTTTCTCCAACACTAATTCCATAAGCATCATGAAGTCCATGATGTAATGCCTTATATCTAGCATGAAGTTCATCCATTTTTTCAGGAATAATATCTAAACTCTTTTTATATACATCACAAAGTGCTGCCTAACATATAGTATTGGGCATCAATAAAATGTTTGAAATATTTCTTAAGGCTTTTTTAACTTCTTTGAAGGTGTCTCCTTCTCCATATAGAGCTAACCAACCTAATCTCCAACCAGGGACGAGACATTTTTTGGTTAAACCAGAACATCTCAAAACAGGAACAGTTTTAGCATAATCAGATATGAATTTAAATTCTCTCTTTTCAAAAATCATATTTTCATAGATTTCATCACTCACTATAGGAAGATTATTATGTCTTTCACAAACTAATTTTGATAATATATGATTATATTACAATTTACAATTTCTGTTAAAGCTTATGGACTTAACTCACTACCCATAGGATTACTTGGAGAATTGACTAAAATAAATTTGATATCTGGATTCTATTCATAGATGTATTCCAATTCTACAATGTTAACTTACCAAGTTCCTGGGTTTAAATCATAAAAAACAACTTAAATGCCATAGAAATCAGCAAATGCTTTTACCAATGGAAAAGTTGGTCTAGGCATTAAGATCTTCTCTCCAGGTTTAGCTAAAGCTAATGTAGCATAAAAAAGAGCTCCACTGCCACCACTTGCAAGAATAATATCATCTGCCTCTAATTTTCTATGATGTGATGATAACACTTCTGCCAACTGAGTTCTCACCTTTAGATCACCAAAAAAATCTGTATAACCATCTATTTTTCCAACAGAATTCGCTACCATTACCTTATATTCATTGGGAGTTTAGAATTTTGGATAAGCAGTAGGATCACCAAGAAGGAAGACAATTTTTTTTTCTGGTCTTCCTTCTTATTTTCCTGCTTTTTCTACTTCTGGTACTACATGTTCAACCCAATTTCTTATTGGATTTAAAGATACTTAAGCTCTTGCAGAAGGTTTTAACATATCCCATTATCTTTCTACCTATTACATATTATTTTATTAATGTGATGCAATAAATGATCAAATATTTTATATCAAGAGTTAAAAATTTTATATTTTATACACTTTGTTTCACAAAAATGTCAAAATTAATAATGGAATTTTATAAATTAAATATTATTATATTAATAACTCATGAAATATATTGATGATATTTATTTAAATCTTTTAAAGTATTAATTCTTATATTTATTGAATCTCATTCATACATAAAAAATATAATAATATATATTTATTTCACCATTCATTTTATAAATTTAAAAGTCTATATAGATTATTATTTAAAATGATTCATATGCATCATTCTATTTTACGATAAAGTCTTTTAAATACATAATAATATTTTATAGATTTGATAAAAGATTATAGTAATATTTTTAATCATCGAAATATAATAATAGAGAAATATGAAAAATATTAATATTTAACAATTTTGAAAACTTAACATGATATTATCAAATTATGATTTCATCATCATCATCATCATCATTGTTTTCAATCTCTTTCTAAATGATATTTTAATCTTGTACTTTCTCATAAATATCTTCTTATTTAATTGGATTCTATATAACTTACTAATTCTCTTTTTCTTATTAACTATTCTTTCTTTAGTTCTTTTCAGATGGTTCCTCTTATTACTCATATTTCTATATTTATTATATTGTTTATTAATTCTATTAAATCTAATTAAAGATATCATTTTCTTAGAATAATTAAAATTTAATATTTAAACTCATCATCTAACAAGTATTCAATAACTATTTTATCATCTAATAACCTTCTAAAGATTATTAGTCATAATTCAACTTATCTGAATCATGTAAATTATTATTTTCATTTCCTCTAAGATATACTAAATCAATATATATATCATCATCAAATGATTATTGAAAATCTAAATCATTTCCTTTGAAACGAATTATATTTTTGAATAAGAATCCAGTATGAATCTAAAATCTAAATATTGGAATTAAATCATTTTCTGGTGTAATATGTTTACATCGAAATACAATATCATTGCTTATTTATAAGTTTGGGAGAATAAATATGCATTGTTCATTTTTTTGTATAATTTGATTTTTTTCTTCATACAGTATTCCTTTCCTATCCAATACTTGAAATAATGGTTTGAAGTTTTCAAACTTTTTTGGAATTCCACTTAAGATAACAGATTTCACCTTAATAATTTGAGTATTCAATTATCCATTAGACAATAAATGCTGTAAATACTTATGAATATACATGAGTTAAGATTTCAATGGAGATGTAAGTCCTAATGCTTTTGCAATAATATAAAAACTCTCCTCAATACTTGTTTTAAAAACAAGACACCAAAATATTGAAAGAAGTATTGCACTCCTTCCTTTATTTTATTAACAATGTACAATTGCTATATTACCTTCATGTTGTATCCATTCTAAAATACATTTACAAATTAATAATAATTCATATAGTGGAGGACATGCAAATCCAATATAAGAATGCATTGAAACCTAATTCTAAAATAACTCTCTTGTATAATCATGTTCACTCAAATTCCATATATAATAATGATGTCCATATTTTCTATTCAAATACTAAGAAACCTATAAAATATATTCTTGCTTTGGAAAAGGCATCCAAAATACATTATCTGTAATTTATTATAAAGTTTTCATAAAATATTAATTTATGGATTATTAGAAACATCTAAAGATACTGAAAGAGACCTTGGATTAACATAAGATTACTCCAGAAAACTTAAGAGAAAAAAGAAAGTCTATCAAAGAGTTCCCAAAACAAATAAATAATAGAGTAGTTGATGCCTTTTAATCATTTGCACCTTTTGATAGAGCACCAGTATGGATGATGAGGTTTAATTTATTAATAATATATATTATAGATAAGCTGGTAGATATTTACCTGAATATAGAGAAATTAAGGCAGAAATGGATTTTTTTGCTACTTGTCAAAATCCATTTATTGCTGCTGAAATCACTTTACAACCAACTAAATAATTTGAAATTGATGCAGCTATTATCTTTTCAGATATTCTAGTTTTACCTAAAATGATGGGAATGGAAGTAAGAATAATCTTAAGAATATTAGATTACAATTGAAGAAAAAAAAGGACCAGTTATTGCAAATCCATTGGTTACTCCAGCTGATATTCAAAGACTTCATCCTCCAAATCCAGAACATTTAGAACATGTTTATGATGCTTTATTCTTAACAAGATTGGCATTATAAGGGAAATGTAATTTAATAGGGTTTTGTGGTGCTCCTTGGACTGTCTTTGCATATATGGTAGAAGGAGGGTCTAGTAAATTATTTACAAAAGTTAAGAAATGGTTATATTTATATACAGAGGGATCCTTATAAGTTTTAGAATTATTAGCAAAAGAAAGTGCTAAATATTTAATCAATCAAGTTAAATAAGGTGGTGCTTAAGTTGTATAGATATTTGATTCTTGGGCAGGGTATATCTTATTATTATTTAATATAGTTAAATTCCAGCATTGGATTACATTGAATTTATTATTCCTTCTTTAAGAATTTTGTTTGAAGATTTCAAGAAAGAATGTCCTGACACTCCTTTAATTATGTTTCCTAAGGATTAAAATGATAAAAAGGTTATCGTTGAATTTTTAAAATTGATATATAATGATAAACCATTAGTTGATGGATTTCAACTTGATTCTAATGTAAGTGATGAAACTCTTGTTAAAATTATAGAAGCCAATAGAACCATATAAGGAAATTTAGAACCAGGAGTAATTCTTATTTATAATATATTTTAGGTGTTATTTGGAACTCCTGTAATAATAAAAAAAAGGATCTCACAAATGATTGAGAAGCTATAGACTACAAGGAGATACATAATTAATTTAGCACATGGACTTACTCCAGATCATGAAGTTGAGAAAGTTAGATTATTTGTTTAAGAGTCTTAACGTTAATCCAAATTATACAAAGCTAAGGAAATTTTAGAATGAATTTTCAATTCAAGCAGTTATTTATACAATTGAGTCTTCTAAACTTCCCATTAGTTTACTATTATTATTCTTTATTTTGATTCAATTCTAATATTCTAAACTCTTAGACCCCCGTGCAAAAGATGGTAATTACATAAATCGATTAAAGCAAAAGTTATCATTAAAAAGACAAAAAAATTCAGCAAGTTACATTCTATCACTTTAAACATTTCATAATTTCCAAAAAGTCATGAAGCCCAGTAGTAAAAGAAAGATCAAGAAAAAAATAACAAAACACATCATTCATTTAATCATATTCAAAGAGGAGCATCTAAGTTCTCCACATAATACAAATCAATATCTACTAACAAAACACATGAACTAAGAAATTTGCCAAGATATTGAACCTAAAGAACCCGGCAGTATGTTATCCTTCTTATTAAATGAATAAAGGCCACAATCGAGAGATCCTCTATTTTAACTTTAAGACTAAGAAAGACTAGTTAAAGACTGCACTGATATGCTAAAAAATTAACCCTGAACATACTCAATCACTATTGTTTAATGTTATTATTTATTCCTTATATTTAGTTTTTTATATAATTTATTAATGATGGCTTCTCTATAAATAAAACTAAGTAAATTATGGTCTTTTGATAACTATAATCTCTTCAAGAAAATTAGAGAGTATGGTATTAATACAATTAAATTTTTGAAATTCTGATGAAACGTGTTTTATATAATTTATTTTTTTAAGTGAATTTTTATTTAAAGTAAAATAACTCTCAAAATATAATACATATAAATATATTGAAGAATCATCATTTATTATTCCAGCATATTCTTTAAATTTACTGATTATTATTGTTTATATTATGATTTCATATGATTTCTATTATTTAGAATTATAAAAAATTTAATGGCAAAAAGTAATATTTTTATTAGAAAATTCTGGTTATTAAAATTTTCAGTGCAAATCGATTATTTTTATAGCATCAAATTAATAAATATTTGTTTGAATAATTATAAATGGGTTGTAGTTCTACTAAAGGAAGGAGAAAAGGTTCACTTTCTATTCCAAAAACTGGTATTTTGAAAAGACCAAGCACTTAATAATAAGTTTAATAAGAAATAGTTAATACTAAAAAGAAGACTCTTAGTTTTTAAATGATATCAATCAATTCCCAAGAAGTAAACAGAAGAAGTATACATACAAGACAGATTATTTCTGACTGAAATCACTAATAGATATGATTATATTTTGATTATATATTGTAGTTTATAATAGAGTAATAAAAATCATAATTTATTTCTAGTATTTTCTTAAAACCATATCACTTCTTAATAACTCAAAATTTATTATTGCCAAGTCTATACTTCTCAATTTATTTATCAACAGTATTGTTTACACTATTGAATGAAGATTTAAAATGAGGTTACATTTTATACAAAATTTGATGAATTTATAATATTATTTATTTAGAGAAATTCTAATCTGATTTCAACGATATTTAAATTCTTTTAGTGTTGTATATAATTCATTTATATTATTTCTTAACATTAATAATTTAATATAAAGTATTATATTATATATTTATTTGTTAAATAATGGCAACATTAAAAAAATTTTAATTTAACTTTAATTTATTAATTAATTAAATTCCACTTCATAAAATGAACTACAAAGCAATCCTAAATTGCAAGAAATTCGATTAATTAAATATTTAGAATTCATGAGTTGGGGATAGCCAGAATAAACACCCTAGCAAGAATAATCTTGGGGTAATACAGAATCAACATGGGGCAATAATGGTGATTAATAATAATAGGATAATAAGCCTGCTTGGGGAGGAGATTCAAATAATGGTTAGGAGAATAAAGAATTTAGAGGAAGAGGTGGAAGAGGAGGAAGAGGTGGTAGAGGTGATAGAGGAGGAAGAGGAAGAGGAGGTGATAGAGGAGGACGAGGAGGTAGAGGTAGAGGAAGAGGCAACAATGAAAACAAAGAAGAAGGAGAGATTAAACCTTAAAATGAAGGTGGAGGATGGGGATAATCTACATAAGAAGGATGGGGTTAAAGTTAGTAAGAGAATAAAGGACCTACAGAAGGGTCATCATAATGGGGTAATGATGGTAATAATGGTGGAGGAGGAGTTGCTACTGAGAATGCTGGAGGATGGGGATAATAGAATAATGAAACTCAAGGATGGGGTGGAAATTAAGAGAATAATAATTAAGATGGTTAAGAGGAATAATAGAAAGGAAAAGGGAAGGGAAGGAAAAGAGATTCACCTCCTCCTGCTAAAAGAGTTAGACCTAATCCAATAGTAATAACAGTAGAAGATGAAGAGGATAGTGAAACATAGAATATTATAATAAATGAATATCCAGTGTTATAAAATAAATAGAAGGGATTTATTAAAAGTGAAGAATAGTAAATATGTTTTGAAGGTAATATTAAGATAGACGAAAATAATATGAATACATAATTTATTAGTTTTGATACAGAAATAAAAGTTAAAATTGATTAAATTGAAGATTACACAATAGAGAATTCAAAGGATTTATTAAAAACAATTGGAGATTAAATTATAGTAGGAATAGTTTAAGGAGTTGACAAAGATAATTAAAAAGCTATAAATAAAATAGCAGATAATCTTTTGGATAAGCAATAATCAATTCATTTCAAAGATGTCAGTTTGTTTAGTATCAAATAATTGTATAAGGGAGAAAGTACTTCAAGATTGGCTTTCGTTAAATAGATATAAATTTGATTATTATGGATATTATTAAATAACATATATATGTATGCTTTCATTATTTAATTGGATGTTCATGATTCCATTCTTCATATGACCCATCAAATAAAAGTAATCTAAATATATATATATATTTGTTATTACTCTTTTTTCTTCAGAATTTCTTATGCTAAAAGTGCAATGCAACTTAATTTCCCTGTTTGACAAGTGTTAACAATTTTCTTGGTAATATCAATTTAATGACTTTTGTATAGCTTTTGTAAATTTTCTGTAGATTTCATTGTGTGATCATCATTCAAATATTCTGTATAAGGTAAATTATAAGATCCAGGTATAGATCCCTTTTTATACCTTGGTGGATCTCTGGCATCTAAAAGTAGCCAATCATCACCTTTTGTGTCCTTATGTTGTTTAAGATAGGAAATCACTTATACATCTTTTGTTGTTAATGATGTAACTTAATCCTTTGGTTAATCCTCTTAAAATAAACACTAAACATACACAAATTCAAATCTTCAAAAACTTTGCTTTCATGTTTATCAGTGTCATGTTGATGATGCCATTTATTAAATCCACCATCTAAGACATAAACCCTTTTGAATCCAAAATATCTAAAAGTATACCAAGCTCTAGCTGCGAAATGAATATGTTCATCAAAAAATACAATTGGAGTGAGATGATCATATTAATTCTCTTAAATAAATTTCTCAAAAGTCTTTTAGGTTGGTAATTTACGAGGTACTGGAACTGGAGTTGCTGTAATATCTATTAAATTAAGTGTAGATTAGTCTAAAGTAATTCTATGAGCATGAACAAATTTATTGTTTTCTTCTTTGTTATGATGATGATCTGTCATGATTACATTGACAATTTTGATTTTGGATTTATTTTTGACTAAATAATGTAAATATGGTGCAGATATTAATGATCCACGCATTTTAATATATAAAATTGATTAATTTTAAGAATTTGATATTAAATATAATTAAGTATTAAATGATGTAAAATTAAAATCCCATTTGATAATTAGTTAAACAGAGGGGATAAATTAAGTAAACTTTAATGAGTAATAAATAATTATGAATTTACTTTTATTTATTACTTTGATAAAAATATGCTACAACTAGGCTGTAGATACTTATCTTAAAATAGGATGTATTGATGTTGTAAATGGAGATTGTGTAAAATTATGTAACCTTGGATTATTTGATTGTGATGATTAATAGAATCTTATTTGTGAATATGGTTACTTTAATTACTAAAGTACATGTGTTTAATGTCCAAAATAAAATCTGCATGATGATTCTGTAATATATTGTGGTGATTGTATTGAAAATTCAAAGACATGGTAAAATAATAGATAATGCACTTATGATTTTATAATAGAAGATGATGATAGAACAAATGGTGCCTATATAAAAAGAGTTAATGATTACAGTGAATTATATGTGATTGGTATTGCTACAACTTAATTATTATGGAATAAACCAATTAGTCGTGATACAACAAGATAATTTGAAACATAGATATGTAGTGGATGTAATAGTATTTGTACATCAGCATCAAATCCATTCTGCAATACTTTCTAAAATGAAGTAGATTTATTAGTAAAAGGTATCACTTGTTTAGATGGATATTTTTTTTTAAATGGAGTATGTGTAGCATGTGGGATAAATTGTATTTAATGTAAAGATAGATAATAATGTATTGAATGTTATTCTGGTTACTTTTTAAATGATATAGTATGTGATAAATGTTAATCTAATTGTTTAGATTGTATTAAATCTATTTAAGAATCAACTATTAAATGCTACTCATGTTTGAGTCCATATATCATATCTATTGATAGATCAGTCTGTGAAAGTTGTGGAGATTCATGTCTAAGATGTGAATATGTAAGTTATGATTAATTAACAAAATATAAATATATTACAAGAGATAATGTGGATCCTGCACAAGATGATATTAATAAATATGTTAAAAGATGTAGATAATGTGAAGGCAATAATTTAATTGATTATAAAGGATAAGATTGTGTACAATGTTAAATCAAAGATTGTTTAAAATGTTATTATACAATAACTATTTCTGGAGTAACAAGATCTACTCTTGATTTAGACTTTAAACCTCTATAACCATAAGAATAAGCTTCTAAATAATTATGTTATTTATGTGCATCTGGAACTTCTTTAAGTCCTGATATGTCTTCATGTTTACCTTAAGCACCATCAATACCTGTTTTAGATTGTCTTTATTATGGAAGTAATAATAATTAGTGTCAGTAATGTTAAAATAATTAAATATTGGATTTTGATAATAATATTTGCAAATTAGATTTTTGTTTTACTTAAATCAAATTCTGTCTCAATTGTTATCAATATAGAATAACATACATAACAGAATTTAAAACATTTTATCATTGTACTAAATGTGAAGATAATTATTATCCTGATTTTTTCACAGGAAAATGTATATAATGTCCTAATCATTGTTCTTCTTGTTGGTAATACTCATAAACTTATAATTTTACTTTATATAATGAAATTCCAAATATAATTTAGAATAGAAAAATCTATTATTTAGATGGTGCTATCAATATCTATTGTTCAGAATGTGATGATGGATTTTAATTATATAATAATTAATGTTTAGGATGTACAAGTAATTGTATGATACCTACTACTGGAATTGTAACTTAAAAATCATCTTGTCTATATAAATCTAAATATGCTTTATGTTCATAATGTTATGAACCCATATATTAAAAATCATTAGTCTCTGATTTAACAGAATGTTAAGAATGTCCAAATTATTGTCTAGCTTGTAATGAACGATAATAATCTTAATTTCCTAATAAATACTTTAATCCAAGTAGTTAAATCCTATAAAAATATAGTAGATCTTGTTATAAACTATAGACATTAATTGGAAGTTCTGTTGTTATTCATTATAATTCCTATTTAAACATGCCAATAAGTTGTAATACAAATTGGCCTTGTAGACATTAATTTGATATAGATGTAACCTTATTTTGTAGTATTAATGATTATCTCTAATAATTAACAATTTCTCCATCAAATTCTAAATACTATTATGATCTAGCTACATTTTATACTACAAAAAGTGAAGATGTTGCCACAATTAAATTTTCTAATTTAGAAACATTAGTATTTTATGAATATTTAAATACTCTACCACTTGAAATCCTTAATTTGAATCTTAAAATTAAAGGAGATACATAAAATAAATGTACTTTCTCAAAATCTACAACAATTTTGACTCAATTTCATGAAAATATCTTTTCTTTAACTAATTTCAAATTCACAATTATGAGTTATTCAACAGATCCTTTAGATTTATATATTAATGGAAATTTTACCTTATCAAATTATCCTAATATTGTAATCCAAAATATAAGAATATATACATTAGAGTCTTAATTCATTTTCAATTTAGATTTATGTTCAAATTTGTTTC